TGTGAATCATATGTTATTTTGGGATATGCAGTTCATATTGCCATGTTTAGGAAACGTTATTTTGGCACAATTGACATTGATATTGATATGTTGGAAAATGCTTGGAAAAGGAGTTCATATTGACATGATCGGAACACCCAACTATTTTGCTGACAAACATGACAGACATATCTTTTAGAGTCTGCTATCTGACATTATCATGTCATGTCGCGTGTCGCGTTTTGCGTTTCGTTCCCAGGTGGAATTGGCTCAGAGGTGGGATGACTTGAGTCTTTCAATGTATTTCAGTGTTCAACAGTTCAAAAATCACAGAGCTAGGATTGATTTTCCTATATCTAGTAAATTCAAACAAGGTGGTTTGGTTTAGTGTATTTCTATGTAACCCAAACCAAACCTTCTCAGTTTTGTTGATCTACCATCACCAGAGGTGAAGTGGTCTCGCCTCCACTGCTTCTGGAGGCATCTCCCTGGGATGAGAGGCAGATTTTGTCGTCGAATTTTGTTGGACAAATCTTGGGTTGAGAAACTCGTTCTTTGGAAGTGCTTGAAGCTGAGGTGTGGAGGGAAATGGTGGGAAGATGTGGGAAGGTGCACTATTGAGACCTAACTTAGGAAACGACACTGGCGCCAACCTGGCACCAATGACACCAAGCCCATCCGCCCCACCTGTACTCCTCTTCGGAGCCCCACACCTTGGGGCTGGGGACTTTCGAGTCATCTGCAGGATGGGAAGTCTTTGAACCGGCAGTATGCCATCTGTCCTGCACAAAGATTGGTTGTTGAAATTGTTTTCATTCCCATCTTCTTCATCCCCTTCCATCCCCTTCCATCCCCTCCATCTCTTCCATCTCTTCCATCTCTTCCATCTCTTCCATCTCTTTCCCAATTTTCATTGTCTTTCCCCAAGTTTTTCTTTCACATTTTCCCCTATCTTTCCCATATTTTTGCCACGCACATCTCGGCATCCCAACACGCAGGGTGCCATCGTCGCTGGCAGAGATGAGCCAGGCGGTGTCCTGGACACTTTGCGAACTGGAAGCCATGGCCTATTTATAGATGATACAAATGATGATCTACCTATCATTTCCATGGTGATACATATATATATATATATATGTGATGATCATCATTGATGATTAGCTTATGGTCATGATGATGAGTGTGAGGATTAATTATGATGATTGTCTATTGTTTCGTGTTGCATTGATGATTCTCAAAGGTAAACAAGTACCAAATAATTACATTCTGTTTGATTGATGATGACCTTTTTGTTGCTGATAGTTTTTGACAATTATCCTTTGAACACTTTTTCTTTTGTATACATATGTTGATCTGTATGGAAAATTTGAGCATCCATGATGATCAATGCTCCAAAATACAATGACTAGGCACCCAATAAACAGCTGAGCTGATTGGTCAAACGGCCTATGGATTGGCTTCTGATTTGTAGCCTCATACCCATGTTTGACCCGCGTCCTTAAGCACGTGGGGGTTAATTCCGAATATTGCTTGCATCTGTTTCAAATCCCCCAAAATAGCTCATATTAGTTTTTTCGGATATCCAACCTGTAGTTGGGAATGTTGGGATATGTGACATTCGATATATCCCCCACCAGTGGCTGATTTCCTAAACGGCTATGCTAGGGCCTTGTCCGCACCGCGCACCCAGCCTCAGTGCATGTTTGGTTGAATTTCGGAGGATTTCATCGAGCATTTCACACCATTTCATTAAAACGGCATGAAGGATTTGTTGACCAAAAAGAAGCGTAACGGACTAGCCAACATGATTGATCTACTGACATGTGGTTTGACCAGCAAACAGTCCCAAGATTTCACAATGTGACTGGCGGCACAGTCGCGATCAGTGGAGGTTTGGACTGTGAATGGCAGCTAGTATGCAAAGCCCTTGGGAATGGATGAGATAATCACTCTCAATAGTAAGGTAGGTAAGTAATGCAATGCAATGCAATGCAATGTAATGTAATGGTGTGTATGTATGTATGCATGCATGTATGTAATATACATGTAAGAATTGAGCACCCCAAAAACTGTCTATAGTTATTTTGTCTGATTGGTTGTTGAATCCCATTGGATAGTCATGGGGCAATGGGAGTCACCTGGATTTACCAGCAAAAAGTGGGGAGTGGAAAGTAAAACACAGGTTTGAATAGATTTGACACATTTTGAAACCACAGAAACTCGCGCAGTTTTCCATTCACTCGCGCAAGAGTTTCCCTCAGCGACGACCAGAAAACACCGAGCTCTTGGCACACCGTGTTGACTGTTGCGGAATGGCCCGCTAGAACCTGCACGATGCGCTGTCGATACCTCTCTGGATGGAGTTCAACTGGGTGAAATGCACAACAAATGGAGAGTGAGTGCAAAAAAGGAGGGAGATTTCATTCTCTCGGGATTTCTGGGATGCTGTGTCACATATCAACATATATCAACCACCCAATAAATGCTCACAACCTCATGGCATCTGTTATGATCGAGGCCAAGTCCCATCAAGACTTCGCAGGGCCCCTGTTTCTACCGGAGGCTTCTAGGAGACCTTCCATCATCGTGGTGTATAACCATGAATAATCATTCTGCAACACGCTGAATCGTGGATTGAGTGGAAAGGGTGATTGAACACTGCAACAGTTGTTGCATAATTTTCAGCCCCTCGCGTTTTCTGTTTCTTTGTCATATTTTTCCGTGGGACCGTCGGTTTCATTCCCTTTCATTCCCAGGACCAGGCCCTCATCGCCTGCAGAAGGGATCCGTAATGTCGATGCCAAATGTAGACCTGGAAACGCATCTGGTCACAACCCATGGATGAAACATCTAAGATATTTGTTGCTATAGGTTGATGATGGTTGATGATATTGTATGTTGTATGGCCGATAGTAACCTCCCGGATAAGTTAAACATTTTGGAGTGGGGGGAATCTTGAGAAAACCTGGCGGACACTTCAATGCTTTTGCAGCTTGATGCTCAAACAAAAGAACATTCCTTTTGCTCCAAAATCACACCCATTTTTAGTGCTATCAATAGAAAACCAATCTAAATGCCCCTAAAGCAATGGACGTCAACCAACACTTCAAATGCTTCTAGGTCAACACCCTGTGAACAGAGCTTGACCCTTGGTCTTAACCTGGAGATACCGGCAGGGTCGATGAAGTGTATACTGTATACCCATCATTCTTGCTGAACAAAAACACATCCTAATACATATCAATCATAGGGTGAAATCCGACATTTTTGAAATCAGTCTGTTCAATGGTTTCGGCTCCCTTTTTAAATTTAGCTTGTCTGTGAACTCCTGCTAGTCTTCGCCAGCAGTTTCCATGACCTGAGCATCTTCTGAACCGCTCACCACCATCTCCTTGAAAGGGGACGGGCAGACAGGCATCGGCATTGGCTAAGGGCATCCTATCGGCATCCAGATTCCCCAATTTTCATGTCAAAACCAAGCCTTTAACTCAACAAATGTCCCTATGGAAGAAGTATCTTTGGCAAATCATCTAGAAATAAGGCAAATTCCTTTGAACATTCGGACACGTTGATCCTACCTCGATTTCCACGATTTTCCCAGCAATCCATAACACCAGACTCCCGTCTTACTGTTCTCTGATGTTCTGGGTCTGTTTTTGAACACGTCTTGTTGATATTGTTGATATCTCATTAGCTAAGTTCGGCAAATGTCATGATGATTTACGATAGGAGCCAGGTTGGTCATCACATTACACGTCAAAAACACATTTTTGAGGGCACACCCAAAAATAATGTTGTTAGTTATATCCATTAATATCCCCATATCCCCATTAAGATTTCATTAATGCCAAGATATGCCAAGAAACCCACACTTTTAGGGTCAAATCATTTCCGAGGCCATTCCCATGACATTTTGAACAATGGCTCCTCCCGGTCGCCCGCAAAGCAGCTGCGTACCACGAAGCGGCTCTGGGGGCGGACGGCCAAACCCAGATGGAAATGGGGATAGTTCCATGATGAAACCAGCAATCATGACAATCATGAAGACAATGTGCAGACTGTGGAGATCATGGAATGGACATTTGGCACACTCTTTGACCAATATGATTATGATCATTCTACTTTTGGGAATCAAGTTTTTTCCCAGTGGAGATCTTGAGATCTTAGTCCCCAATCTCACCAAATGGATGGCTGGTGATCTGACAGCTGGAACTCAACCAACAGTTTTCAGTCGGACGCAACCATCCGAAATTTTCTTCTGGAGTTCAACATGATGATCAATCTCTAAAAAGTATGTTGGAGTGGTTTCTTTTTTAATCATCCAACATTTTGATTCTGTTTTATTTCTTTTTTTTGAGGGGGGGGAGTTCAACAAATTGGCTCCATCTCTAAACAGAGTAGCCAGTCAAAGTATGTCAAAGTCTGATTGATGGTCTCAACCCCAATATGAGTCATTGGTGATCATCATGAACAGAACATTTCTTTAAAAAAGTCCTGTTGGACTAAATGGTGGATCCATCTCAAATGACAACGGTGACAGCGGACGTTTTCAAAACATCGCCCAACTCACCCGGCCCTGCTTTAAGCAGTGGTTCAAGCTGGTCGGCGCGTATTAACAAACCGCTGCAACCAGCGGGTTTTGAGAAACGGAATGGATGGCACCAAAGGAGATGCGGTTGAGAATTGGAGCATTTTCTGTGATTCTGCTCATGTTTCTGCGTGGGGTACTGGCAGAGTATGATATTTTTGGGGTCAGGATCTCTCACGATTAAGCGTGGTCCTCTCTGCCACAGTCCACAGTGCTCTGGAGTGCGGTACTGCTTTCTATCTCTGAACTGGAAAATTATCTTCTTGAATTCAATGGGCCACTTGAACCTTCCCTTTGCCATTTCGCAAAATGTGGCTCCCGGCAAAACAGACTAAATCTAAGTCACCAGCATCCCACAACCCCATCTATTTTGGTGGATCCATCGTTTTTTTTCTCAATTTTCAGGAGTTTACACCTGGCAGCCATTCTGGAATCACCAGAAAAGCCCCAGCTGGGTCGAACATGCGAACAGCAGCAGCAGCAGCGTCAAAGCCACCGTGAGGAGATATGAGATGAGCTGAGTGGCCTCGGATGTGAAGCTGGTGGCATCGGGTGACTATTTCACCAATAACTGGTGGAAAATAGGGAAAACATGCAGATATGGGCTTTGAATCGTTTGAATCATGGAATTTTCAGATGAATCCAACATGGAAAGTGGGAGATAGTGAGGAATGATGGGCCCGCCATGACCTGGGAATGGGGTTCCCACCTGCCGGTCCAACTGGCTACTGAAACAGACCTGGAAATGATCGACTTCAGAATTCTGACTGTTCTGACTGGCTACCAGTTGACATTTCCAAATGGAACTGCCTGGCATATTTCGAAAAATCACACCCGTCTCTCATCATTGCGTATGACGGTGCGCCATTAGGTGACCAGTCCCACAATGTCTGCCAGGCTAGCTCCATTAACGGCCAGAATAAGGGTCGTTTCTGTTCCAGCGATGAACATGCAGATACATGCATGCTCTGTGCATGTACACTTGAAACTGACATGATACACCAGTTAAACAAATAGATTCAAGATTCATAGATTCATATGGGTGTGTGTTGGGATAGAGTATACGATAGTATACCCCAATTGGATGCAATTCTAATGAGGAAAACAATGATAAACCGTAACATTTTTCCCCGACTTTTTGCAGACTTTTTCAGCGCCTCGTGAATCCGATGCTCCGCTTCTTCAATCAGCTCTTTGATCTCAGTGTCACAGGAGATCAAGATGGGGGATATCAAACAGAACCATTTCTTGGGGGTAATCATGCGTCATTTCCAACGCTAGTGATCGTTGTTTCACATTAAAGCCTATCCGAGGTGTTTTGTTCATGAGTGTATATGCAAATGTTCATGACGCAGAACCACCGGTTTAATATTCTAATCAGGTTTAATCGATGACATCTGCCTGCCTTGTCGCATCATCTCCCAGATAACTCCGTACAGTATTTGGATAGTTGCCAACGGTGGTTGCATACGGCATGATAGGCATTGGTTTGCCTCAGCTTTCTGGCAGCTTTATTTTAAGTTCACCTTTCCATTGCAGTTGTCCTCATTTCTGTGGTCCCTCGCCCTCGAGCCAGACATACCTTTTGGATCCTTCTGGATCCTTTTGGATGAAGTATCAATCCCCATGCATGGTATCACCATCCCTTCATCCAACGGTACTCCAAAAACACCCAGCATCCGCAGCCGTCCGCAGACTTTTTTCAACAAGGTGGCTGTGAGTTTTGATCCCGCCCAGATATGGTTGTGCATCTCACTTTGGCACCTCTGAGCGTCTTTGGCGCAAGCAAAATGCACCCAGCATTTCGCCTGCGGATTCTTGTAGCTCCATCTCCTCAGATCTTAGAGACGAAACAACATGAGATATTTACAGGATACATGTTACAACTGGCATAGCGTCAAAGATGGGCAACAAACTTGGTTTGTGAATGACGCAAGCGGTGGTTACTAAAATCCTAGTCCTGGGGTCCTGGGTCCTTATCAGAAATTCACAATCCTATGGTGAAAATGGCTTCAGCCGAGTTTCCTTTCTGCGCCCACAAATAAGACCTCTCCAAACTTTTCACCTGGTGAAAGATCTGCAGATGTCTAGGCTGACACTGAAGATCTGCAGGAATTTTGCGGTGCTGATGTCCAGGCTTACGTTTTGGGAGTCGTTCAGGGTTCCTAGTTGGTTCATTGGAAATTTGCCGGTGCATGACCATGCGTAGATGATCTGATCCAGGGCATCCCAAGGAAATCCACTCCAAAAATCTCCAAAATACCACTTGTGTACTAAAAGATACGAACATCAGCAGTTTCTGTAGTTTTTTATCCGTGTTGACCAGCCATGATCATCCCAGGAGTGGAGATCCCAGGATGGGACCCTCTCCGTATTGCATCGATTGCATCGATTGCATCTGAGGAACAGTAGTGGGCCAAATCATCCTGCATATCACTGTAAAATGTATGCCATTCCTCGAGGTTCACAGTGCCTCAGCAAGGCTGGGGGAAGTTGGACCTATGACCACAAAAAAAGGATCATTTGAAACATTTGTATTCATGTGTAGCATCAAGCATCCAGAGGGAATGCCCAAATCATGCAAAACTCCATGAAATGATTTGAACCCATTGGAGCTTTTCTTATATATACGTCCAACTCTTCCAACTCTTTTTGTTGAAATCCGTACTGTTTTGCTCGGAAGAGGCTTCATTCAGTTGCTAATATTCCTGGGTCGAGGTAACCCGGTAAACCCCGCTGGTGCAATTGCGAGCTTCCACCAGCTTTCCTACCAACTAATTCACTGTGATGGACATGGTTATTTGCCCATCCAACTAGAACATCTGCCAATCTAAACACCAAAAACAATCTTCAGCATTCTGCCCACATCGTCGTGCCCTCCTTTTGGGCCAAGATGCGCATGTTCTTGATATTTCCGAGGCACACGGATTGACCAGTTGCCCGGGCTTCCGGTGTCCTGGACACCATGGGGTTCCAAACATCGGGTCCCATGGAAATCCCTATGGAGTGACAGGTGATAACCATCCCAAGAACATCCAAGAACTGGCTTCATCAAGGCTTAATCCAATCCAACCAACTTGACGGCACATATGGCACATATGATGGGAAGCCCACTTCCACTCGAGGCGACCAAGGTGACGGCCAAGCGTCATCTGCCGCAGTGGCTCGGGAAGTTCCTCCATGTGGATTTCCTTCGCTTCCTGAGTTCCGAAGGATGGGAAAGGATGGGAAAGGATCAAAGATGTTCAACGATGTTCGAAGCCAACTCGCAGCACTAACCATCTTCCATCTTTTCTAACGAAAAAAAATGGCACGGTAATCTCCCGGTCTTCAACATCAACATCAACAGAGAGAATCAAGTCCAGATCAGTCTGTCCGGAGGCCTCTGTCTCAATCGCTGTCCACGTGGTTGGAGCTGCCTGTCGTTAAAATTTGCACCTGGAACTGCCTGGAACTGCCCGGAACTGAAGGGACTCCAATGTGACCCTCATAGGTTTCGGTTGAACAACATTTCCCGTAGCTGTTCCGTCAGAATTAGCCTATCATCACGTCACGTGTCTTTTTGATCCCTTTTGATCCCTGCCTCCATTTCATCAGGGTTCCATTCCTCCTCACTTTCTAGCTGAAAGTCCTCCTCTTCTTCTTCCTCCAGAGATTTCTGAACCACAGGGGATTTCTTTTTGAATCCATCTGGGGGAGATCAGTGTGTAACCTGTAAGCTGGAGTTACAGGCAGCAAGACAGTTCATGGAGGTCCCTGAGAACGTGTAGTCAATAGTGATCTTCTACATATTGAGAAATCCTATGAAATCCTCAATCAGCGCGCATCCCCCAAGAAAACATGATCATCATGCTTCAAAATGGACTATTTTAGAATGATCATCATACAATACTCTCCTCTTGACTTATTGTTTTAGACATTTTTGCACTCAATCATCCCGTCCCCAAAACCCCCCCTAAAAATACTCCACCTCCACAGCTTGTTCCTGTGCGATCCAGGAATCCTGACGGATTCAAAGGCTTTTCCCGGAACCACAGTAAACACCGAGTTTTTGGGATGATCTGGTTTAATTGGATAGGATATCATTGGAAAGATTTGCAAGTTGGAACCACCGACACTGTGGGGATAACAACTCCCCGACCTCCTCTGCGTCCACAGCATTGTCTTCCTGCCAGGAGACATCGTCCTGCCAAAAAATCATCAACAAGTCGTCTTTCTGGTGGTTTTATGGTGGTTTTCGAGCAGACCAAGATGTAAAGTCGTCTTTCAGGAATGTTTTTCTTTGGGAAAGCCAATGCTTCTGGGTGAGTTCTGGGTGAGTTCAATGGTTCGGGTGTCCCTGATGTCCGATGGCCCTGATTCTTGGACTCAAAATGCACAACAAGGATTGCATTTTGTGTATTAACAACGAGGAATGCACAACAGCTGAGCAGCTTCAAGAAGGGAATCTACATGGAAAAACATCCTAGTCAAACTACTCAAAGTGAGACATGCTGAGAGTTTACCCATGTTGCCAGAGGGTACAGTAGTACTACAGCACAGATGATGACCTCACTAAGTGGCACTAGTGGCTGAGTACATCTGAGTACCTTGGTAATGGCTGCGAATCATGTCATAACCATGGCTTCCACTCAGCTCAAGCAGTTGCTGGTTGATACTGGTTGTATGTTGCCAGTCGGCTTAGAACACCTTATCAAATTCTGCAAGTGTGAATTGAAACTGGATTTTGGCTGTTTGAGGGATGATTTTGAAGTGGGGATGGGTCAGAACTGAGGCGTTTGGATGCCTTTTTTTGATTGAGACACGCCAATATCCTTGAGCTTCGCAAATTCCCTGCTTGGTAACTGGGGACCATCACCAATAAACATCAGTAGGCTGTGCTTGGAAATAGTGCAGTTCCGAACTTTGGGTCATGGCTCATGCCAATACCATTCACACCCCAAATGAAAGGTCCAACAAACTAAATATATTGGGTTATCAATCACAATTTCTGACACCAGGGATAGTTTGTCTTGTGAGGACATGGGTGTGGGCTGGTATGGGCTCAAAACTGGGTACCCACGTCCCCAACCCACCGAAAGTCCTCTTCACTCCGTCGCCAAAGGCGTTCCACTTCCTCCTCGGAACTGTCCGGAGCGATGGCAGCGGGATCGGCCTGTCACGAGGGCGTGGAGTATCAAAATCGAAGGTAAATCATGAAGAGATGAAGAGTTCCTTTTTTTCCCAAACGTAGAATTGACATCTTAAAATCTCATGCCATGGGCCCTGGCCGCGAACTGGCTGCCGGCCTCTTCGCCACTGGAATCCTCCGCCGGATCCCAGGCTTCGTCCGCGCGCCGCTTGCGCCACGGTGGCGGCGACGTCTTCGGCGCTGGCGCCGCTTCGGCCTGCGCCGTGCGGGGCGCCTCGCTGTCCCCGCCGTCCTCGCCGTTCTCGGTGCTGGGCACCGTGACGGGCATGGCCGTCGCCTCGCCGTCCTCGTCCTCGTCGTCCCACGGCGCCCAGTTGGCCTCGGGCACTTGCTCCGAGTCCGCAGCTTCCACCGGTAAAGGGGTGAAGGTGATCACGGTATTCACGGTATCTGTGTCCACTTTCTGATTGACATGCGTGGCCTCAGCAATGACATCTCTGGGAGATGTCTTGACTTGCGAGTGGTCTTTTTCGAGGTGGGAGGAGGCCGGCTCTGTGTGCGGCACCTTGTTCTCAGCATGGGAAAGTTGGGCCTCAGTGTAGGGAAGATCCTCAGCTGTAGCGGAATTCTCAGTCTGCTCAAGTTGCTCCTTGGAAAATGGGATCTCACCATCAAGAGCTGTGTAGCCATCGTCCACAACTGCATCCTCAGTGAGCTCAGTCAAGGATTCCTTCTGCTCGGAGGCGATCTTCTCACCTCAGGTTTTGAGACCAAGGGCGTTTGAAAAAAAATAAGAATTGGAGACTCCCAAACTGATTTCCCAGCCATCTTTGATGAGCCCAGCTTTACTGGATCTTCTCAACAAACAGTGCAGCATTTTGATGGTCCAGCGTGGTATATTTGAGGGAAACAGAACCGCCTTATCTTTTTTTGGGGGGTCCCTAAGTTCAAGGAACATTTACAGTTTCTGAACAAAACCAGTGAATCTATGATCGGGACTTCATGGTTTCATTCTCCGCGTGGAACTTTCCTTGAATTTCGAGAATTGTGCGGTCAACAAAAATCATGGTTGCTTCAAGAATCATACCGCAACATGTGCATACAACTTAATATCTCCTTCCGCCAAAATTGGTTGATTTCAGATCCTCAAACAATTATGACAGCAGCCATTCATGTGATGAATCATTGCCCCCATTGGCCCTGCCTGAGTTCTCAGTCGCTCCCTCCGTCTCCATGTTGACCGCAGGGTTCACATAGGGAGGCGTATCCACCAGCAGCTCATCTTGGAGCTGCGGTTCACCTGAATCTACCAGAACCTTGGGGCTGGATATCCCACTCGCTGAGTAACGTCCATGGGATCCACAACCTTGAACTTACAATCTTTGTGCACGTGAAATATCGACACCAGCATGTTTTAAAACATCAACCTTCCGGGAAAATTGCTCACGGGTTGTCCAAAATACCTTGGTTTAGGGGTGGATTTTTGTGGTGGATCTGTTCATTCTAGGGCCCCTAGAATGGGGGAAATTATTAGGATTAGGGGATAACATCGGATAACACCGGATAACATCGGATAACACATCACTTTGGGATAAATACATCACCAATCATCAGCAACCTTGGCACATCCCAAATCTTCTTGGCACACAGAACCTCCAGTGGCTTCTTTTTCGCCCACCTTCGTGGCGCCTACAAAACGACACGAAACGGCAATGGTTTGGCTCGAAGATGTTGAAGGTGAAAGATAGTCCGGAAAAAAAAAGACGCTGGGAAGACGTAGGAACGTCACGGGGTTCAACTGGCTTGAAACTTCTTGAAGTCCATATAGTTGCGGAGAAAAACGAGTTACAATCATACATTTAGTTGTGAAATGTTGTGTTCGAATCCGATCTAAGTCTTGTAGAAACTACCCAAATCACCTGGATCTGCCATGGTTTTCAGCCTTCGAATGGATGGTTTCTATTGGACTTTCTGGACCCGAATGATGTCAATGACATGGATTGAAGCTGTCACCCGAAGACAAGGATTGTGGTACAGTGCTTGGAACCCAACGGAAAATTGACGCCACCACTTAAAATGGCTTCCAAGACAAAGACCTCATTGTCCCTGGATTCAACAGTCAAATTAGTGAGGCGGCGTTGTTACTTGTGCTTTCAAGATTGATGGTTTGGTTCACTTTTTTGATCTTGGAACCCACATATTTTTTCTGGCTTTGGCCAGCCTTCTGCAGTTTCCTTGGACTGCAAACTCTAAGTCTTGTTAAAATCGGCAAACGTTGCTCCAACATCCCAATCATGCATACCCTCTGGCAATCACCCATGGCAATGGAACATCACCCATTTTATGATTTTCCATTGAAACCTCCATTTATATACGATTTTCCAGCCATGGAGGGTACCCATCCTTCGCTGATGCTGCGCCTTCAGCAGCCTCAGCAGCCTCGGCCGTGGCAGGCGCAGCATCACCTGCAACCATTGAGAACTGGGGTATGGCATGTCCAACATACTATGGAGATCTATGGAGATTGAAGGGTAATGAGTAAAGGATCATTTTGGATCATTTTGGTCAAAATGGCATTGTGATTTTGGAATAAACATCACCAAGCATTTTAGATATAAAAAACAAAACAAAGGCGAGGAACAAAAAAGAAAGGATCACAATGTGCGCGTAAGACGTCATGTTTTTGATTGTTTTTTTTGTAACCGTCTAGGCCCAAACGATAGCTGATCCTTCGAAGTTGCAGCGCCATGATATCCCAGGGGCTGAAACATGAGCATATCAAATTTTCTACGAAGATCCATATGGGCCATATCAATCTTGCCAAAAAATCATCCAACATATCCAGCTCATCCAATCACAGAAATCTCAGTCAGACATACCCTCTGGTAAACTAACATAGCTATATGGAAAATCACCATTTTTAATTGGTAAATCCACTATAAATGGTGATTTTCAATAACTTTTTGTATGTTTACCAGAGCGTAAATCCAAAGACCTTTTCTTCCCAGAAATTCTACATGCCAAGCTGCCCCCGCCGCTCAGCTGGAGGTCGTCCTGGTCCGATGGGGAAAAGACCTCCGTGGGCACGTCGCTGCCGAGGTCCTGGGACTTCAGGGGATGGGTGGGATTTCATCCAAGATGGAGGAAAAAATGGGGGAAAAAACCCAGAGGGAATGGTTTTCTGATGTTTTTAGTTGGATTTTCGTGAGACTTTTAGGATTTTGATGTGAACGAGCAGTGGCTGTGTTTTCAATCAGGTACATTGGTGGGGAGAATCAGCTAAGTACAGGTGGGAGTACTCTATGAAGATGAGTCGGACTCAAACGAAGCCCCATAGATCCTCCTGCATCTCATCGTTCTGCTGCTCCGTCTCTGCAGTTTTCTCCTCGTGCTTCTCCTGCAGGCTGACCCTCTGGTTACTGGAAATGGTGAGGAAAAACCATCGAGAAGGGTGACCTGAACTGACAAACTGACATGCTGGATGTTGTTGGTTCTTATTCCGTACATATACTTACTTACCAACATTTTCATTTACAAAGAAACACTATAGCTTCAACGACTCGTTGATCCGCTTCTTCTGCACGGACCAATTCACCTTGTGACCTACCGAGAGATCCATCATGGTCCACTCCCCAGTGCTGCCATAGCCGTGGCCAAGCTTCCAGACCCCAAAAAGGGATGGACCAATCAAGCACTTACCTAGTCGTCTTCGATTGGTCAAACCCCATCTTTGGTGAAACACCAGTCATTCTTGGAGACTTTCAACTTGAGCCGTGCTTCCCTTGAATTGCCTTGGGGATCATCTCACTTTGGCGTTTGGCGGATAGATTCGGATAGTAATTGTAAGTTCATCAACTGGGAACTCAAAAACATCTTAAAACTGGGCCAGGGATGATCCTCACTTCATCCTGTCCCCCTTTGCCATCCTCATCGGACTTGGCTTGTCCAACATTTGGGCCATCTGCCGATTTCCTGTCGCGACACAAACAATCAGGCAGCTTGCTCTGAATTCCCAGGAAGTTGCGGGATCACATGATGGAGAAACGTCCTAGCTTTATCATTGCCTTAAAGTAGCCCGCACATCCACTAACCTTAGCTTTCTGCAAAATTCTCACCCCATCTTTCACCCCAAAGACCCAGCAGGGAAGCCACATATATTCTACTAAACAAACATGATTAAACCCCTTTGTCCGTTGTACCCATCCCTGTTTATCTGACCAGTTTAGTTGCTTAAGTCCCCAAGTGTTAGACTAAACCACATTAAACCACATTAAACCACATTAAAACCACATTAAAATCCTATGAAATCCCCATCTGTGGTTGATCTTCCCATGACATCGCTCCGGTAGCCATCTCCTCATCACCGAGTCCAAATCCGTCATGCCCAACCACAAGGCTTCAAGGCTCCCGGGGACTGCCGCTGGATCCGGTGCAAGGCCAGATGGTGGATTCTCCGGAGCAGGTGGGCCAGGTGGGCCAGGTGGGCCAGGTGGGCTAAGCCCACGATTCGCAGTTTCAGGTGGTTCTTCAAGTTTTTCAGGTTCTTCAGGTGGTTTGTCATCATTTTCCACATCAATTTCCACCATTTGTCCATCCCTGGAATCACCGGGAAGTTCTGCCAGTTCCTGTGGAGACGGATCTTGAGGATCGCTGGGCTGTTTGAAGGCTCCCTCTTGCGATTCCTCGTTCACTTCCTGGAAACTCACGTTGCGTGGTCAGATGCGTCTCCAACCAGGAACAAAACATGACAAACATGACATCACCAAACCATTCCACCATTCCACCATTCCCCGCCCGTTTTGAACCGAGCTATACCGAGCTTCAGCTGCAACACTCAAATTGGGCTCTGGCGGCTCTGAAGCTGGTGGCTCTGGTACTTCGTCCGCGCCTTGCCGTTGTCTTTTGAAGGTCCCTACAGGCTCTACCTGACAGGGCCGTGACCGGGTCACAGCCATGATGAAAAATGGCTTCATCACCCGGACTGCGTGAGACCCCCGGACTTTCGCATGCAAATCGTTGGAGATCTTAGACGGCCAGAGAGGAAGACGAGTCTGGATACTTTGGGGTGTAAATCCTGAAGGAAATCCACAAGATTGTGCCATTTACCCTCTGGTAATGACTAACATAGCTATTAAAAATGGTGATTTATCCTGAGTTTTTCCATTAAACATGGTGATTTTCCATAGTTTTTTGTATGTTTACCAGAGGGTAAATCCCTTTAAGATACATGATTTCTCGGGAATAGTCCATCCAATTTGTCCCCAGACACCTCAACACCTTCATGCTGCGACAGGTCGATATCTTCAGCGCTTGGTGGCCGCTTCTTTGGCAAGCAAAGCCTGGTGAGTCACAGACATCCAGATGGCGCTGTCCAAAAATATTTTTTTTTTCAAGTTACCCTCTGGTAAACTAACATAGCGAACTGGAAAATCACCATTTTTTATGGGTAAATCCACTATTTCAATGGACCATTTCCAATAGCTTTTTGTATGTTTACCAGAGGTTATACCCTGAAGCCACTGATTCATCATCAACATATTGGAAAATTGGGCTTCATCATCCAAAACCCATTGAACATGACTAAGTAGCTTGACCTTTGTATCTCCGGTGGTAAGCCATGGCATTGCCCCAGTGTTGCGCCTGTCGACTTGACCCATTTTATGGCAACATATGCTGCACGTTGGTTGGCTCAACCCCCGTCACTTTTTAAACAGAACACACAGCGAAAACTGACTAAGGTCCTCGATTTTTCAGAAGCAAAACTTCATCCGAATCCCTCAAACATGTGTTTGTCTGAAAAATCGAGAAGACACCCAAATTATTTTTTCTTGATGGTTGTATCTTTCAATTTCGTGATTCACAATAGATATTAACATTCATATTAACACATTCAAAAAACTCATCATTGTCAGTTGTGTCAGTTAGTATCTCCAAAAAACCACCATCATATCAATGGGAATTCCAGGATCCTAAAATAGAGGTACTGTACCATATAAGGCCATTCTTGGGTGGTATATCCCCTTACATAGCCTTGAAAAATAGGCCTTATATATGGTAGGTACCTCCAATCAATCGGTTCCTGAAATGGCCATTGAATATATTAACACATTCAAAAAACCCATCACTGTCAGTTATGTCAGTTAGTATCTCCATGGGTTAATATATTAATATATACTAATATGGTGGTTAGTATCTCCACCACCATCATACCACCATCTCTTATGGACTTTCCCAATGTCGCCCAGGAGGCGATCTCCGTTTCTTTGGCTCGGCGTCTGAATGCTTCACATCGAGAGGGACTTCTTGAAGATGCCTTGGAAATGGGGGATGGATCAATACATGTTGTTATTTAAAAATTTGGTGGATAAATCATAGGTGGATGTTTTATGGTTTAAACAAAAACATGTGGAAACCGCAAAAAAAACATAAAACATGGTGGTTTTTATGGAATACCAATGGGGATATCATGGGATATGTCACCAAGTATACCCAATTTGGTCTTGTCTACAAAAAGTACCCCCTAATGCATCGGTCAATCATCATTATCCCCACTATTTGATGGCCATTTGGTGTAATTACCCCATTTTCAAACACACTCATTTGGAATCCCCGGCAAATCATCCATGGTTTGGAAGACCATGGAAAATCTGTTTGAACAAATCAAGTAGTCAATTTCACCAAGGATTTGATGGCTACGCACGCGAGATCCATCGTTGGTATATTTTGAGTTGCTTTCTGCAAAAAGAACATCACATGCAATAGTTGGCTTATGGAACCAATAACAAGTCGACTTCAGCAACATCTATCTTTTCTTTTGGTATTGTTGGCATATACTTCACTCAAATGAACACTTTCTAAACGCGATGACGACGACAACAATAATTACAATCCGATACAACCAAAAACTTCTGTGGTTCGGACATCTTGCTGGCAAAGACGCAGGTGCCGAACATAGTGCAGTATGTTTTCGTATGACACCATTTCGTTGTTTTGTTTCCTGTTGTGTCATTGCGCGAGAAGTAGCAGAAACGGCATGGCTATCATCCGGTTTTAGATTTTTTAGAAGGGATCATCCAGCAACTCAACTTTGAACTTATTCATTGAGGTTTAAATCCATTTATCACAGCAACTGAGATGATTCGCTTAAACCCATGTATATCCATTTATCACAGTGATGATTCGCTAAATCCAAGGAACTCTAAAACATCCGGCACGGCTTGCCCTCTAGGTCTGGCCATGGCAACAAGCCATTGCTGGCAGCTTCGATGGATTTCATGGATTGGTTGAGGGCCGGGAAAATCTGAAACTGGCTACCACCAACTTCATCGGGCCCTTCCTGTAGATTTTTCCTTCACTCAAGTCTTGGAGTCTTGGAGTGTAATTTACCCTCTGGTAATTTAACATAGCTATGGAAAATAACCATGCTATTAATGGGAAAATCCACTATTTAAATGGCCATTTTCAATAGCTATATTAGTTTACCAGAGGGTACTTCATTTGCCATACTTTGACAAACTGAAGTCTTCATTGGAAATTGGTCACTTCGGTAAAGATTTTCTCCAGGGGTAATGTTTGAGAATTCTTGAAGGCGGCTATGGCTCTTCAAATCTTTTGGCTTCGCAAGCCGTCACTACTGACCTGATTTTTGCTGTGCCCCTGTGGCCCTTTTGAGGGCTTGGAAGCAGCGGGAAACGCAGCGACATCTTGGAGTTTCCCATCCACGATCTGCCAGAGATGCATGGGACGTGTCCTAAGCTTTACCTGCCAATGACTTAAAGTTGGTTAATGTTACTCAAACACCTCCCACTATCTCAATGATTTAAAATCATATGTCATGATCCCATTGTATCACCTTCATTTCCACATGGAAAAACATCATCAACTTCACATCAACATTTTCCATGGGGATGGTTGGTGAACCCATCCCCATCCAAGGCACGTCTTCGCCGGTCACCGGATCCAGTTTTGGCAGCTCCTCGCTACAACTCTTCTTCAGCAGCTTCCGCGCGCCGTGCCAACGCTTGGAGGCGCTGGTGGGGTCGTGGTTCGCCTGGTGGAAACAACTCTTGATCGAAAGGATGGTCATCTCCGGTGAGGGAGCCGCCTTGATGGAAACGCTCGTGAAAGCAGACACAACCTATGGGTTTTTACTGCAGCTTTTAACCATGATGCTTTTTCGGGGAATTTTGTCTCTTCAATTTTGATTTTTTTGGCTTCTTAGATTCCATTCCCACCTCGGTGATGTATTGACCATCCACCCTGTATCCAAAGAGAGCTCACAATCTGATGGAATTCCCATGCTTTCGCTGATTTAATCGCCATCTTTGGCCGATTTAAAATCATGTCCGTTGGTAACCCAGCCTCTGATGGTTGAATCTCCATTTCGGGCCCAACAAAATCACCTTTCTTCGAAGTGGAAGCGACAGTTGTGTAGCTACAAATCCACCGATTCTTGCTGAAATCCCAAGTCTTGCCGGTCAACATCTCCATTTTGGCCGAAATCACTATCTTGTGTAAACATCACCATTTTCGCCCAAAAAAAATCCGTCAAATCCACTGGGGTCAACATCTCCAAATCCCCGGCTCCACCTTGCGACCCTTCCCGCAGCAGCTCTCGCTGGTGTCGGGAGCCCGCGCGAACCAGCGGCCGCAGTCGCGGTAACCCTTCCAGAAGATGCCTGGAAAGTCGCGATTTGGATACACAGTTGATTTGTGTGATATGGGAACATCATTGGATACTCTCTGGTAATTTGTTACATAGCTACGGAAAATGACCCAGACAATAATTTAACATAGCTATGGAAAATGACCCAGAAAATAGTGAGTTTTCTTATTAGAAATGGTGATTTTCCAAAGTTATGTATCTTGGAAAGACTTGCCCCAGACTGCTCCTTGTCTGTTCCATGATCAATTTTGACCAAGTCCCAATTTTGATCATGCATAATTAATTGTAGCCACACAGTGCACACATTTACATTTACACATTGTAGATGTCTACACTCAATGCTACATTATATAACAAAATATAGATAAACTATGATATACCCTCTGGTAAATAAACATAGACCCTGAAAATAGCCAATTTTTAATGGAAACTAGTCTTCCAACCCCGACAACTGCCAGGGTCTATGTTAATTTACCAGAGGGTAAACTATGATAAACATAATGTAGACATCTACAATGTTATAGATATAAACTATGACAAACATAATAGGGGTGATTCTTTGTCACCATGGCATCTGCCAGGGCTTCCCGCACCTCGCAAGAGCCGCGGATCCGGTGGTAGGATGGCCCACCAGTAGAGCACTCGATCAATCCTCGGGTATGGCCCTGGAAACCTAACATGGATGATCTAACCAGTTGACATATTTGACATTTTCATTATTTATTCATTATTCATTTGTTTTTATATGTTTTTACATTGCAGATAATATAAATTATATAAGACTTGGCAGTTCAGTGTTGTTCAAAAGCGAATCTTCTGCTGCCCCTTTGGTCAGATTGACAAAACCCAGAAGCCTTCCTGATGCGCTTCATCGTCATGAACAAATGGAGGCAAAAAAAGATCACGGCAGTGCTATGAATGCCATGAAACTGACTTCCCAAAGTTTTCATGAGCTCAAGAACTAGGGGCCACCAACATTTTTCCGGCTTGTGTCCCATTCCTGATTCCACGATGTTTTTCAGACAGGAGTAACAAATATCCAATCTTTTTAAACCACAGAATCACCATTTAAAATGGCAAGATTTCCATCAAAACATCATCTTTCATCCCCTTTCATCACTGGCCATTTCAGGAACCTAAATTGGAGGTACCTACCATATATCCACACAAAATATGGCCTTATATGGTAGAGTACCTTCATTTTAGGATCCTAAAATTCCCATTGATTTCATCCCGTGGCTGTGTGGCCAAGGTTCTTCACATCGGCCAAGGGATGAGCGCAGGCAGAGATGCGAATCACCTGGTCTCCTGCGGCATCGCAAGTGGGTCACCATATGAATCAAATGAATCATACACCACTTTGATATGGTATATCCCCAGCTACAAATATATACATATACAATACATATACAATACATATACAATACATATACAATACATATACAATACAATACATATACAATACATATACAATACATATACAATACATATATATATATATATATATTAAACTTATGAGCTGGGGATGCATATGCAAGTAGTGGCTATGATTGGGTTGAACCCTGAAGCTCCTATGTTATATCACCTGTTGCACCTAGTTGGAGGAAGTGCCAGTGACAATCAATGTCTCAATGACCCACACATATCATGTGAATATTACAATGACTAACAGATCTACCATCTATGACCATCAAAACTGGTTCGCACATTCAACACCTTCTTTGCTGGTTTTGAATCTTTAGATTCAAACACTTCTAGTTCGAGTTCATATTACACCAGCAATTATCAACTGAATATATAGTTGAATCATGTTGAATCTATAGATACAAACTAAAGATAACTAAAGTGTCAATCTGTCAATACAAGAAGTGACAACGGGGAGGGGCCGAGGGGCCTGGCGCACCGCGCCAGGGCACCAGCAATCGATCGGGCCACACCAGGCCATCGTAGTAGAAACGGCCTGGCGCTGACACATGGATCTTTAAAACCAAAGAGATGCAAAGAGTCAGGTACAAATTATGTCAAACACCATGCGGTGAGCAACTCTCAAGTCGTGAATGATAAGGCAAAGTGACAGACGATTCTACCATATATATCCATGTATTATATCAATGTCTAGCAAGTTGCGGGGAAAGCAAGGGGAAAGCAAGGGCAAAGCAAAGCTCCTCTGTTTTGGTCCGTACGGCGAAAGAGTTCAAACGACTTCAGGGCTGTGGAGCCAAATAGCACTAGACAAAACACAACTCCTAGGACTCCTAGGACTCCTAGGAAGCTCGTCCGGAGTCAGAGGGCACTGACGTGATCTCAACGGCACACGGCGAGAATTGTCTGATAAATTGGAAAAGCCAAGACGGCGACAGTCGCAATAAGCGCATTGAAAACACGAAAAAAAATGAGAAACAAAACGCCCATCATCTACATGCCTGTTCATGGTAACCGACCAGGTCTTCCAGCCACATGGCTGTCCCCTGCTTCGACATCGAGAACATCATCACGGAATAGGAGCTCCGCTGGCAGGAGGAAAGATGGTGCAAAAGCAAGGCGATCGGTGAGACTTTTGAAAAATACCACGACAGTGCTGACCAGGTAGAGGGCGTAGAGGGTCACGAAAGAAATTCGAAACATCTCAGTGGATCCATCACAGTCGAGCCAACCCCTGTAGAGCACCAGGATGCAAGGTAACACATGGATACACACTAGACGAATCAGGACATGCAGAATCCCCCAGTGAACATTACCAATCTTGTGTCGCAGACATAGATATTTGAAGGGTTGATTTCTGATCTTGCCTTTTTCGTCTTCTGTGAGGCAGTTCCATGGCTTCTTCAAGAACTCTTCCGGATGATGCTTTGCGGCTTTGCGGAACATGGAGCAAGCAGTTTCTTCCCTACCTTTGTCCCAGCACTCAGAATGAATAAGAACCTGCTGATGGGAAACAAGACGAAGTGACGAAGTCCAATAGCGTCTGAATTTGGCCATGGCGAGGGCAGGTCAAAGCTTGGCAGGATGCAAACAAACAAGTGACTATAGTGATAGTATACTATAGTATACTATAGTAAAGTTTTCATGTGCGATGGAACACAATTTTTCAAAAACAATCAGGTGGAATTTGAGTTTTATGGGTTCGGGGCTGTCATTTTGCAAAGCACACAAACGCTTCAATCAAACGCGATACGATCTCGGACTTTGGATGTCTGAGAAAATTAGGCAGTAGAAATCTGTAGATTTCCCCTGAAGGTTGAAGATTGCAGGGGAAACACAACGGCAGTGCAGACAACTGTTCAACACAGTTGCTACCAGCCATGTCCGCCTGCAATGCATCTGGGAAGAAGCCCGGCAAAGAGCGGCACATGACCTGGTCAAGAACGAATATGAGGCAAACCAATGCTTTGTGAGGGTCCTACACATGGCCAGTCTAGAATATTTACCAACATTTACCCCATAAATCACCCAGTTTTGTAGGTAAATATATATCATTCATCTGTCAGAAAGTCAACTTTGAGACATGCCGTGACATGCCCTGATGTGGATCAGCTAGAATCCCCTGACATCTTTTCACATCTGGACCTCTCATGTCATGCTGCGCGCAAGAAAAAGATGCAACTGCAACAAAGTCTAGGCCGGGGCGGCCCGGGCGGCCCGTCCAATTGGTCGTAATTAGTCGACATCAGCCAGCTGGGATCAGAGTTGAAGCCACCATTTACACCGCTGATAGCTGGGCTCATTTAATGGTGGTTAAATCCCCCCCGAAATGTTGGGAAACCAGCAAAAAACCAGCAAAATCGCAGAAGATCAGGCCGCTAAGCTGCATGAAGCACAAAGCACTTGGATGGTCGTCTCATTGTCACTGAACTGATCAATGACCTGTCAGGGTGGTAATGCAACAGGCGCAGTTGGTTCAAAGTTGAAGATGTTCCGCAGATGTATCGTTTTGAAGTATTACCACGGTGTTTTTCAAACCGAGATACTTACATCATTCACAGCCACTTCCAAAGTGCTTTGATCTTGATCTTCTGGGTGTACCATTGGACTGGCCCGTCATGGTCTTAGGTCAGGATGAGTCCAAGATTCGATTGACAGCACCAATACAAACGAAGCACAGTGCGAAAGCAACTGACCATCAACTGACCATGAACTGACCCTTGATTTGGTAGATGAATGACTCAATGACCACCATGAACTACATCAAACCATCCACTCCAGGGGATCGCCTGGCCATTTTTGGCCATGGTATGAAAACATTTGCCATCCTCTGGTGCCGCCATTTATGTTGAATATCTTCACCACAGATCGGTTTGGGATGGTTCTCCATGAATCTCCTATCTGATTAAGTCCTGATTTTAGATCTATCCACATGACTAAGTTCCTCATCTGGTGATTTGAATTTACACCATCCCCATTTTTCCTGGTGTTATATAACCATTAGTTATAGGTTTATAGGGGTTATATCCCAACTTATGGAGGTCCTTACCGTAGTTATACCGTAGTTATAGCCATGAAAGGGCTGCCTCTCCCTGCACGAAGGGTGGCGTGCGCGTGATGCGCGTCAGCAGCACCCGCATGCGGCCGTTAGCCCGGAGATAGGCGCCCTGCACAGTGCTGCAGTGCTGTGGTGGGGTTGGACCATTGGAGCTGGGAGCTGGGCTATTTGAAGCAAAATATACAACCAGCTGAGGATTTTGATTTCGACATCCAACTTTATTGGGTTGGTCTAACTTCAAATGGAACATAAAAAATATGAAAATGGTGAAGGATTCCAGGATTTTATGATAATATGGTCTAATCAATGAATGGTGTCCTTTGTCACACGGATTTGAACCCCTGGAGCCGGACCTGGTGAATCCATCTGATCAGATGAATCCCAGAATGCTACTGTTGTTCGAAGCAGGGATAGAAGAAATTTGAAAAAAACCCAACATAGTTGCAAATCCATTCTTGTTAGGGATATATCCCTATTTATAGGCTTCACATGGCTTCACTGTTATTCTTCTTAGTTGCATTCCCACTATTTAGATCCATTTAGCATATTTAGCATGATTCTATATTCTACAATGTTCTACAAGGTTCTACACTCACTCGATCAACTTGAAGACATTTGGCTCATGGCCATTGGCCACGGAATTTCACCTCAAACTGAAAGTGCCGCAGTGCACGCTCCACAGCTGGAAACATCTCCTCGTCAAAGGCGCTGACATCCACTTGAGAGCTGGGAATGGCAGAGCAGGAAACTTGTTTTGATGGATTTGAAATGAAGAGGAAAGGGTAATACAAGTACAGTTGCTGTCTGATGTGGAAATCCATCCTACAAATATGATTGATCTTTCACCATGTTGAGATCAGCTGCAAATCTGGGGCTTGTTGACTACTTTGCATTGATCCAAATTGCTGAAGATCTGGCATTTCTATGCACTTTTAATGTTAGGTGTAACGGTAAATCAAAGAAAAAAACACTAAAAGTTATATTACCTTTGTTACCAATGGAATCTGGTACCCAAACTCACCGATTCCAGTGATTTCAGCAGAGTCTATCCACTGCAGTCGAGTTGCTGTCGGATTTCTACGACAAAGTGGTTGCCTTTGTTGGCACTAAGGGTGATGGTGTCCAGCACTTGAGAGACTTGGAATTGAGATTAATGGTGTTATTAATCTCAGTATAAAATCATGACTATATAGCCTATGTATAGCCGAATGGTTGTTGATCACTTTGATGGCTCGTATTGGCTCATCATCGAATCATGTTGTGTTTCTGATATCGTTCTCCACTTGCATCAAAGCACAACTAACAAGCTCTGCTCAAGAAACTTCTGTGAGAAAAATATGATGTGACATATTTCATCCAGACCAACAGGACCACATCATGTTTCGAGATTTCATGCTTTCACATGTTTTCACCTGCTTTCCGTCTTTATGTCCCGAACATCAACAAAAACAATGTGCAGAATCCATCGGCCCATTTTGACATTTGTGGTTGTAACATGTCGTAACCCATTCGCAGAGGGTGCGCCAAGGGACTGTTCCACAATGAAATCAAAGACGTCACGAACCTTTTGGCCACATGCCAAGACACACCTCAACGAAACGTCGGGTGGTTGACTTCCCGACTTTGTTAACTTTAGAAGCCAGGATTTATTCAATGGCTGCCATCTGGTCATTTGACACGTTGCGAAGTGTAAAATCAGAAAAAACACCATTTTGATAGGCAAATATAGGCAATTGAGTGAAAAAAATCCATAGATATCCAGCTATTTGGGTTATTTTTATCTACGCAAGGTGTTAAATGACCGGAGGGTCACCTGGAAGCCAAGAAAGCCAAGGCGCGCGATGAGCGAACCCCCACTGGAACCACTGAAGGCAACCTGGCAGGGCATCGTGGCAGCCGTGGTTCCAGTCGACATGGATCAAAGAACTGAATGATTCTTAGATGACTTAGATTCTATTCTTACCCATCTAATCCCATCTATACATATATAGTGTAGTTAGTAAATATAAAACCAAATAATAAGAGATCCTTAGACTATTAGATGGTTGATGCTATTTTATCCCTCTATAGATGGTCATAGATAGGAACATGTTAAACCTATAGCCTATATGATAAACCTGCCATAAACCCACCGGGGGATAACTTGATAACTAGCCATTGATGGTGCATGGATCCTATATCTTCCCATGCCCAACTCCCCAGAAAACCTCCTCCGGGATCTCGCTCGAGGCGGAGCGTTCCAGCTGAAGGTGTTCCGACAGCCAGGCGCCCACACCGAAGTGGTAGACCTCCGACTTTTGGACGATTTGAAGCAGCAAATTGATTGGATCAACACATGGGGTTGGGTGAAACATCCGTGAAACTCACACAAATTGATGGTTTTGTACTCTGGCTGGAAGACTGGATGGAGATTTTTAGGGATTTGAATCAACAAACATCGGTATTTCAACCTGTTATGGTTCGGACTTGAAGCTGCAAGAAGAGGCGTTTGATGGCGTTTGAACATCTATAGAACTTGGGATTTAGGAAGATCAATTGAGGGTGGAACCTGCCAGTACCCAAATAGATGGGTCTTTAGCAACAAACTGAAATCTACTGCGACTTGATGCTTTAAGATATCAAAGTTGTCTAAATCAAGAACTATAAAATTCATCATGTGGAAATATCAGAATCATGGTCTTTCCAAGCCGCACATTTTTTCACAGTGTGGATTTGCGAGCTGCAGAAACAGGGTGTTTAAACAGCATGGTGATGGAATGCCAAAGGCAATTTACTGAGACCACCGCGGTGATTTGAACATCATCAGAATCAACAAACCACCGGAGACCGGAGACCTAAAAGTGGCGTCTGCCACCGTGTGAAGTTGCAAAATAGCCTTCATTTGTCCGAAACACAATGAGAGTCTAGCCATTCTCAGTAGGATAGCTGGAATAGTGTTTCTCCTTCCAAACACAGCATTTCTAGAAGAAACCTCCAATGTTTTTGTTAGAAACAGACGCAGATGCCAACTTCCGGTCCTCGCATCGGCACCAGAATTTGACGTCCAAGACACAAAAAGCCAGCCACAGGAGTCGAAGGAAAAGACCACGCGCCTCGGCACCAGAAATCGGGTGGAGTTTTTCGACGAAACATGGGGATCTGATCCAGAACGGAGATTGAACCCCCAGAAAAATAGTGCATCTGGAAACCCATAGGATCCATGTATGCTATATATGGTAACATTTACCATCAATATACCCCAAATGTTAGCATATATACCATACATGGATCCTATGGGAAAGGAAATGCAACAAACATGTCACGAACAGAAAATATGGATACAAGACACTGAAAGTCCAGAAACAGCCAGCAATCCCTCAACATCGTCAGTGCCCTGTGCCCCGGTCTTGGGGTCAGCTGGACCCAGTTGGAACTGATCGGATTGATGACTCTGTGAGCCTCCGATCTCCGAACAAAGCTCTAGACTTTTCAGGATATAAACATGGAGAATCATGCATATGCTTGCTCACCAAAACATGTGTCAATGGATGATTCACCCTACAGAACTAGATCATACTAGATCAAGTACCTTGCAAAACATGTGATGTTCCAATGCCATGTAAATGTGGTTTCTTGACCCTGTTTCAGACTATCTCAACATCAAACGGCAATCCTCCCTGTGGGTCCATCGGCCCCCCATGTCTGATGCACATCAAGTTCGGAAAAACCATTGATCACGGGGGATATGAATCACCAGCTGAAATCAAGTACGGAATGGTGCTTGCATGACCATATTCATCCAATTTCATCCATGTACATGTATTCTATAATGGTTCGCGATCTTTCCTGAAGCCCCCGATTTCATTCTCCAGACGATATACTAATGGCTGCTCATCCGTGATCACCCCTGATCCTCACCTAGGAACATAAACAAACTCTGCCAATTTCTAGAGATACACACACGATTTCAGGGTCGAGTCAAGGCACGGGGTGGTACGTGGCGATCCTTCCCGATCGTCGGGCGTGGGAGCGACTGTGGAGAACCACTCCTGGGAACACCCGATGTGGGCACTCAAAATGAATAGATCCAGTACCAAACGGTGGTTTCTAAGGGGATAATTAATTTAACTTATTGGACGATGGGCCTTGTTTTTCCCAAGGGTCTTTTAACACTTCTGGTGATGTTATGGTTCATACTATGTGAAAGGTGTAAGTAACAAAAACGAAGAACCACAAGACTTGGAAACAGCGAAGAAAGACGGTGAGCAACAAAAACAGGAACCGAGAAAGACGGGAAACTCACAAAATTAAAATGGGAAGCAACCAAAGCATGAAGCAAGAATATTGGGAAATACCAATAACAAGGGGAAACAAGTCAAACATTGTCAAACTTATGAGATTCTGGGACCTTTGTGTTGCCTGTGCTCCATTTTGTACTTGAAAGTTGGCCACATGTTTCGGACATCTTTGTCGGCGTCCATCCATGAGAGCCCCAGCAGGACTGCACCCCCCTTTTGATCTCCTTTTGATCTTCAGGCTAGTTCAGTGGGAACTGAAGAATCTGCAAATATAAGTGAATAAATATGAGAAACAACCAACACTGGAACTAACAAAGAAACGCATGATTTTGTCCAAACAATGAGGTACCCAGAGCCAAGAATTTAGACATACTTAGACAATAAGTTCGATAGAAATACTTGCGAACCTGGCCAGGATCCGTCCATGGTTTGGGTTGCTTGATGTAAGACCTTGAGGTTCCTTGCAACTTCTAACATTAGTCTTGTGATTGGTTAAACCAGCCCCTTTTGCTGCTTAAATTCCGACTGTTGTTTGTACAGAACACCATTTGTGTTCTTTTTATCGCAAAGACGATGCTGTGATGACCTGTAATGATTTCATGCATCTGTGATGATCATAGAATAATATCGTTTGAACACACCCAAATTCCAAATATCTTTCATAATTTTCCAGAAAATCATGGACTTTGTGGGTAAATGGCCCAAATGTTGAAACTTTTTCACCAACACAGCCACCTTTTCCAACAACTCCAGCTGAACGAATCCGCATCCGCGGTGCCGTGTAAAGGATCAAGCCATTGGCAATGACGAACAAATGTAGCCAAGCCTTGGTTGGTTGATGAAATCGGACATTCGTGGGATTTCACCCCAAAAAAATTGCAGACTTTCCAGTGACTGATGGGGGGTCATTTTTATGTGGGTGTTTGAAAAAATGGGGTAGTAAAGTCACCAGCTGCTTGGAAAAGGGGATGATGATAATTTTAATCAACCAATGGATTTACGGGTACTACCCTATTTCCAGAAAAAAAACATAGTATGTATGTGAGATGGGGGTTCAACACTTAGGGTCTCACGAGGACATTATCTGGTTTGACACAGAAATCATTGCAAATTTGGGATTAATACCTCAACAACCATGGGTGGTAGCATTTCACTAATCATGGGAATATGTCATGCGATCATATCTACAATTTTCTACCAATATGGGGGCATGGATGATGCCAACCATCAGCTTGAGATGGGGGATGCAGTGTTTCTTTTGATATCACTATGGATTTTCTTGTTACCAACCATATACTATCGGGGTTTGGTTGGTCCTCAAACGGGTGCTTTATCCCAAATTTAAGGCCTCTTTAGTGGCGAACATGATGACATGAATCATGGGATTCTATGGCCTATGGCGAATACGTGGCCATTTCAGAGTTCAATTGTCATGGCTAACCTTGTATCTTAGATACTATCTTAGATACCCTGCACAAACTCAATCTTTAGCAGGATAGTTTCATGCCCCCACTTGTGCCAAGTCAACGCAATTCATGAAACTACCCTCCCCCCCATCTGGATCATCTGGGTATTGGTCAAAATGATCAACCCACAAAAATGAACGGATCACCAGCATTGATATCTGCCGAAGGACCAGTTTCCAAGGGAAATGCCCCCAGGTGGCAGCGGCCAGAGAATGGCTGGCACAGATCAGGTACCTCGATTTTTTTCCGGACATGGTGGATTTCAGCTGGAAAAAATGGGAAACGATTCACCATGAAAACTGGGGGCACATGGGTAGTTTAGCTTGTGAGAGTTGAGGAATGTTGAGGATTTCACCAGGGAAATTTGGGGGTTCAACTCACGATGCGATTGGATGTTTACCGACAAGGGGGATAGACATGCATCGGTTGACAGGTATTATATTGGCTGAATCTGGAAAACCATGCCCACAGGCCAATGTGGGCATAATATTGCCAGTTCATGGCTAGGTCTACTCATAATTGCAACAAGCAAGAAATACACGATGTGCAAAGATCAGCAACAAAAATCGGGTGAAGACCAGCAAAAAAGAAGATTCATGATGTAACCACCATGAACCAACCATTTGGAGAAATGTCAAAGTCACTGTGTACCACATACCTCTGCCGCAGCATCTTGAATCCAAACAACTATATTCAGCTCTTATCCTTAACTCAACATCCCAAGTGGTATCGCATTATTCACATCCTCCACATCTCCCAGATTAAAGTCAAATTATTCTCATCCCAAACAGTATCCCTGCTGCCAGGGGGCTGTGCAATCTGCAATCTGAAGACCCAACTGGCGCGGAATCGCACCTGCTGCCGCTGCAAAATGGTCAGGGGCTGTAAGCTCACCCCATGTAATTCACCCTTGAATTGGCCCCATACTTCCCAACCATCTTGGGCTTCCCATCAGGAAATGGATTCCATCAAATCATCTAAAAATTACCTTCTGGTTATTTAACATAGCCATGGTATAGATGGCCCATTTATAGATGGTTTTCTATTAATAGCATGGTGATTTTCCATGGCTATGTTAAATACAGTAACCAGAGGGTACCATTTATACCACAAATTACAGGATGAAACTACCCCATCCAAGGTTGACCATAGTCAATGGTCCAGGATCACATCAGTCAGATTTCTTATGGCACCTGAGCCTTTGCATCGTCGGAGTCCGGCAGTAAGCCTCCGTGTGGAAACAGAAGAAGAGTTACTCCCAATGCAACATGCCTGGGCACCTCCACGCTACCGCAACAAAACAATCCTTTTTTTCTTGGTCACTTTACATATCTCTATATAATATATGTTTTCGGGACATCTTCCACGGCCATCATAGCCAGTTTCGGCATCACTATCAGTGGCAATTTCCGTGCTTTTTTCGTATTTTTCATTTTTGGTGCGAGAGGTATTTTTCGCATCGCCAAGCGACTCAGGCTGGAATAGAGACCATAAATGACCTGAGCAAATCACTCCGGAAGTGGCAGATGCCAATCCAAACCGGATCCAAAACTCATCCATTTGGCCATGAAATATGCCATTTTTTTTTGTGACGCGCTGAATGCAACAAAGTCATATTAAGTAAGGGCATGTAAGGTACCTGGAAGAGAATGTTTAGACACAAAACAGCATGAACAGACAGTGTGTGGTCATACTACTTGACAAAACCTCAAAGTCTACACCAAAAGTGTACTTTCCTGTACTGTATTCTACTGATAAATGGCGGTGAAACGGGGACTCATCGCTCTATCATACTATCACTCATAGTTATGATGTGCTCGTTCTCTCCCGATGCACATCTTGCTTCAAACCAATGTTCAATGGGGAAGAATGAGTTGGGTGTCTGAAAATGGCATACCCTCCAAATGGTCATTTTGAAAAGGAACGTGATTATTAAACATGACTAAACATGATCAAACGTGATTAACCATGATCAAATTTCGAGCATTTTTCCCAAAATTTGTAGACAAAACCCGGACTTTGCCCCAGTCTTCATCACCTATTTCACGGCCAGTGGCGCTCTGACAGGCTGAGCTCACGAGGGCAGGCACGTAGGCTTCAGCGCTACAAACACAACGACAAGCGATGAACCAACCCCACCTAAGAGTCGGGGATGGGGATATGGATGATATGATATTTCCTATAGCCATGTATAGCCTGTAGTGGTATTTGATAGTCATAGTATATCATAGTAGATCATATTGTGATATCAATGATATGTATGAACATGGGGATTACAGTATCTGATCTGATATTATTTGTAGCCCCCAGTAGCTGGTGGCTTGTTGCAGCTACCATGTATCCTAAACTCTGCTTCTTACAATTGGCAGGGAAGTGAACATCATAAAATCTAACATCATCAGCCCGGGTCTCACATCTTCTCAGCGACAAAGCTTCCGCGACGGGTTCTCCAGTGCGATCAAGGCACAAATTTAAAACCTCGTCTGCCGCGACAAGTTAAGGTGATTCAAGCTGCCAACACGAAGTAGGTTACTGAAAACAACCAAATTATCTTTGGCATTATTGGTTCTCTTGTAAGCTGATCACTCCCCATGGTTTCTACATGCTTTTACTGATGATTTTCATTGATTTCCCTACTTTTTGCGGACTACACAAACTCAAGGTTTCACTGCCTGATTGACTCACGTGAGCCGCCACGGCACCCGTAGATACACGTGCAGGAACGAGGCGCCTGGCCGAGGCGTTCATACAAAAACGTACTGCTGAAAGAGAAGCCTCAAAACCAATGATTTCCCGAGATTGGCAAATTATAGCATATTTTTGGGCAAACTATTTCAATTTTTGGGCAAATCATAGCGAACTTCTGCAACTGGCAATGAAACATGGCAAACCCAGCAGGGTGTGCAACTTGCTGTGGGCAGCTTTTTTTGGAGAGTTGATTTCAAAGGAACTTTTTGGGGAAATCAGCAGCTTTTGGGGATCTTTTTCGGAGAATTGCTGATTTTTTCCATGAAAAACATCTTTAAAACATGGCCAATCTTGGATAACTGCAACAACATATATTATACTTCTTTAGCTGCTTAGGTAAACATAAAGTATTACTGTACAGTATACAGAATTATATAGTGTATTGAAATACTCAGCTAAAGTTGGTCCAGCATATAGGGGTAAAGAATGGTAAACTTTGAGCCAGGTTAGATAGGGTGGTTCGTGCACATGAAGGACATCAATTTGTTCCATTTTGGATTTAATGATTCTCTAACTGAGAAAGAGGATACCCCCTGTTGGTCTATGCCATGGACAAGTCTGCCACCACGGTATGTCCAGTATGAATATCTCTACCAATGTGTCTAACTCAGCTGGTGGGAAAGTGTCGTAAAATCACCGCTTTCAGAAGTCGTACCCTCTGGTAAACTAACATAACTATGGAAAATCACCGTTTTCAATGGGAAAATCCACTATAAATGGTCATTTTCAATAGCAAACTGTTAAATTACCAGAGGGTATCAGTCATCGACCGGAACTTTGGCGCAAGATTCCGCAGTTCCGGTGCCTTTGAACTTCTTCTGCAAGATCATGAAACCAGTCTCGACCAGCTGCAACTGGCGACCTGCCAAGCAATGGGGTCAAACTGACAGAAACCATCAACCAAACGAGAAGCATCATCATCGCCACCATCATCGTAGTCGCAATCATCAACTACTACTAATAATAACAATATTTGCTACTTTATAGTCATCATCATGATTGCGAGAAATGCATGCACTCGTCAAAAAATGATAGTGGCACGAAACCATGGAATTGTAAGGCTATAGCAAACTCATGAGTGACAAGCATTTGACTGCAAAACGCATGAAGGGCTTGAAAGTTCCCCTTTAAGTGGTTCGTCTCAAAAACTAGGCTACACCCCGCATCTGGACGAACGGGTTTCGGGGTTGACCCAGATTGGACCCCAAAATCCAAGCGGCAGTGGTACTGCAGCCACATGAAATAGCCCAAAGCATGGCTGTTCTCGCTGACGTCCAAGTCATTCCCCCAGATGCGGATCTGTTGCTCCCGACCCAGTTGCACCAACATCACAAAACCTCGCAACTGGGAACTTGGAAGTGAACAGTGTAGAGCTGCTGCGGAATATATAACCTTTGTTAACCTTTTAGGTGAAGGAAGTGTTTAACGTGGATTATGGTTCTCGAATGAAACAAGATGAAACAAGTGTTTGCCGTGGAGCCTCCAAAAGGCCTGAAACACTTGCAACTTGACTTCTCAAACATCAACTCAAGTTCCCAGAAATAGAGACCTCTCCCCTCTCGTCGCGAAACAAACGTCTCTTCTCATCGGGTAAATTTTGCGTGTATCTCATATATTTGAGTGTCAGATGAATGACACTGAACCAAGGAATAAGTGCCGTAGGGCTGAGCATGATCAGCATTTACTCAATGAACATTTTACCCCTGCTGCTAGTCTATGGCAACTTATCACCAGATCCCACATGATGGTTTAAAACACTTCTTTGGGGTTGTTTTTTCATTTCCAGAGAAGCACAGGGCTGTGGCAACTTGACAGCGGACATTCTGGCAATTAAAATTGCCGTTTTAGGGCATATCGTACTTCGGCTGAGTGTTTGGTTAAAGGAGATGGGCTCAACAATTGCTTCAATCATCTCTCATGTTTATTGATGCCGCCTCATTTGGTCCATGTCTGAACACACTATCTGCTTGAGATCACGTGCGGAACTGTGAAAGTCCCCTGGATCTGAGGGATTTCACAAGCCCTTGGATGACCATCCCACTTCAGATCTGCGGAATGATGGTTGGTACCTCCAATTTTCCATATCTCCAAGTAGGATCATAACTTATACCATGCTATAACCACGCTTAACAAGCGCTTAGAAGAACCATGGAGAACCCATCTCTACGCGTCAAATGACGAGGAACAATAGAGATTGTAGCAACACCTGGCAGCTGACCGATCTCCAATGATGGCCCAATCATCCCTCGTGAAGTGGTTGTGAAAGGTTATCTGACTATCGATAAATCATTTGGGGTCAGAACCGCAGAAAGATGATGAACGATGCAGGTTTTTGTTGGTTGGGATTTCACAAAACATCACAAAACCAGGTTGCATTTCCTGTGCTTCGATTTGCTTCGTTGTTCTGATTGCTCTGTACCTTCTTTGACGTTTTTCGACCTGGTTCCTGCTGACATATGGCGACTTCAGCCCAGTCACTGGGTCACGTTGTGCACCGCTACACATTCAAAGATAAAGTTCGTAACCTGGAGGCAAAGCACAACGTGAAGAGGACGAAGCGGACGAGGACATGCAATCGATGCAATGTTGGCTATAGGAAACCCAGAATTCTGGCGCAGAACAGCATTCGCAAAGAAAGGATTCTCCACTGTTGTTTCAAGAGGAACACCTCAAACAACCTGCGGCTTGTGATTCAATAAGAAAGAAACACATGGATATATCGGTCAACCCTAATCGGTGCTGATTGAACGGTGCCTATAGTGCTGTGAATTGTGACGCGTGAGGCCTTTTGCGTACGGGTACAAAACCGAGGCCGATGGCAAGGAATAAAACACAGCAACCATTCCATGCTTTCGGGCACAGTCACAGGACTGAAAGCAAGTAGGTGGGCGGCAAAGCTTCGCAAATGAACAGTTGAAATAGTTGTGATGCCTGGTGCCCGTCCACAGCACCTTAAATAGTACTTGAATGTACTTGAAACATTTAACTTCAGGATCTGCTGCATTCAGAGTAGCTCGGTCCATGGGGGTGCCATTTAGTATGTCATAAGAACATATAAGAACCATTTTTTGCCCAGTATAACCCAGTGATATGTGGAAGTTCCCCAGTTATATCTGGGTTATGAACCACTTACCGGGACATCTAACCACAACGAGACAACGACCACGACTCCATGGATCGAAACATCTCTGGGATGCCGCGCAGGTTCCTTTTTTCGCCTGGGAGCTGAATGCTACCAGAACCCCTGGTGGGATGGTTGGGTCAATATTGGTTTGTGCAAATAAATGGTGGTGTTTTTGCATGGGTTTAGCATCCCTGGTGGACAGGTGATTGGATCTCACATTTTCCACAACAACAACAACAACAACAACACCTTTCTTTACTTTTTACCAATAAACCATCATAAACCGGCATCTGATGGTTAAACAGAATATGCAACACCCCCTCCAATCCATTTCCCACCCACAGCTATCCCCGGTCTCACTTCCGATCACTGCCATGACACTCCATTCGTCCCAAGGCCAAAAAGGTACTGGAAACCTCACAATGGACAGCTGGGATCCCCAAAATTACATTTTCTTTTTTCCAAAGGACCTAGAGGACAACCTGGTCAGAGGGCATCCATGAGTCTGAGCCAACGATACGGTCAATTCTCATCAACATTATTAAATGGGATTTCACAGATGATTTAATGAGATTCAAAGATCTTCCGAAGATCTTTTAGTGGGATTCAACAGATGATTCAACCATTGAATCTGCTGGGGCTTGGGATCATCCGCTCATTTGGGGGCTCGTGATCACTCCTCGCGGAGGTCGTTGTGAGTTCCTTCGGTGATGCCCCACCCTGCAACGGCCCGAGATGCGTAGATCAAGGACAGCAACGTGGCGAAGGATTCGCTGACCTGCGATGAATCGATCAACTGAGAGATTGATACGTGGCTTGATTTGGATTTTAGATGGGGGACTTTTAAGAATATATCCTTGATCTATCCTTGATTAATCAGACATCAAACGAAATCTCATGATTACTTGACTAATCTTGAATCTGATTCAGTTTAAATGATTTGTATAATCCAAGTTGATAGATCTTGCAATTCGAACTATTCCTGGGCTGCTTTGCGTCGACCCCTTCACTGATGATCATCCCAGGCCGCAAGCGAGTGAACTTGCCTATGGACTGTCCTAGTGATTTGAGTGAATGGGAGAAAGACCCAGGGGAAGCCTTTTGTTAATTGGACCAGGCATTGATTTCTCGCGGCAAGTTCCTTCATGGGATCATCTGCGAAAAATGGAGAACCCCGGCACACCTCTGAGAAGGGTCCCCCTGGGCGTGCTTGCAACACACCCGTATCCACCTAGCGACATTGCGCTTGTGGACTGTGGTGAAGTGGGGAGATACTCCAGGTCTTCTCCAGTTCTTGGTGTCCCCTATGAAAATCAACCAGGCGATCTGGGACCCAAAAATTGAGTGTCCGGGTGGGTCCCATTGACTGCCAGCCATGACAACGATGTGTGTGGTGTTCAATTTCAAGGGATACCCCAGTCCGGTATCCATGACGGGTACAGTGTCCATCAGTCTTGACCCATATCATCCCATTCTCCAATGAACAAACGCAGATCTAAAAGCAGCAACTGCACAGCCCTTCTCTTAGTAATTTGAGGTATGGTTCACAGAATAGTTGATAGTTTTGTCTTGACCCAGGCCCAGGGCCGCTGAAACTGTTTGCCAAATGTTGCAGAATGTGGTTTGAAATGAAGAACCAGCTGCAGGCCCTATGGATTCAGCAAAAACACACAGTTAGTATGGTGCATCTGGATAAATCATGATAACAATGATAACTCACGAACCTGAATAGTCCGGCCATTTGAATGGGATGATTCCCCATATAAAAAAATCACCAATCAGTGTTGATTACACAATCACTCATGAGAAACAAACATCGACAACTACTGAGTGATTAATCCCAATAATTGGTGATACATGCCCCCGATTTGGTGATATAACCCTGATAGACCATCATAAACCATGAACTTTCCATTGACTTACCATTAACCATTAACCATTAACATCCATTAACCATTAACCATTTCTCCATTTCTCCAGTCGTCCCATTTGTTGGCGGAGCCCTGTCGCCAAAAAAGCGCCATGTCGCCTTCTCTTGCCATCGGCTTCTCCCGAAGTTGGCCAGTGCTGGAACCTCGGGAAATGGCTAAAGTTGTGAACCACCCAATGGAAAATGGCCCATTTATAGATGGTTTACCTATTAATGGCATGGTGATTTTCCATGGCTATGTTAAATAACCAGAGGGTATATAAAAATCCCAGTTGATTGATGATTTATATGAATTATGTGGCTTGATTTGAGATGATTTATAACCATGTGATCGATCAAACATGATCAATCCAATTCCATCAATACAAACATGGGATCTCGGTGGGAATTAGGTATGATTGACCGTTTTTGCAGATTGATGATATCGATGTAGGATTCCAACCAGAACCATTCTTCGGGAATAATTGGATCGTCAGATCGGTCGTTTTCGGGTGAGAATCCTACTTCCCACTCACCAGCCTTGCCTCAAAAACCACCATCATCAGTTCCATCCTCCAACCTCCCCTTTTCCATCGAATCCCACACTGCAAAGAACACCAGCTACATCAATCCAATCACCATGCAAGTCATCAAAGTTAATCCAAGTCATCTAAGTCATCCAATCAGCAAGGCATCCAAGGTGCCACCTTCAAAATGTAAATGGCCGTGATGAAGATCATGCACAGCACCGGCATCAGCCGAAGCTTCTGCCATGGTGGTGCCGAGTTTAGGACATCCACCTGGGAACCGACAAACATTGGGCGATGGGACGGGTGATGAACAGGGTCATGTTTCATGCTACAAATTCTTGGAATAACCATTTATAACTATATGTATATAACTTATATAACCATAAACCATGAGAACTATATACATAATATATATATATATAATGAAATAGTTCTAAGTTCCTCAACCTATTTGTCACCATGCGGGCGCCTGGGTCAACTTCCCTCGGCGCAGGTCCGTGAAGTCGTCCCAGCCGGCCATGGGTCCATGGATCGAACGGATTGCTGTAAGGCCACTGTAAGGGTTGGACTGGGTTGGGAATTCTGGGATTTTGTTTTTTTTTTGGGGGGGGAAGGGATCTGAGATGATCTGAGTCTGGTCTGAGGTTTCGGATGGCTGGATGACAGGAGAAAGATTCATGCGACGGGATTTTCCACATGTTTCCTCTCAGGCTCGATGTATTTTCATACCATTTCATACATATAAAATAATTGTTGATAGATGTTGATAGTTGGTGATTGGTGCTATGCACTTTCTTCTTTCTTCATCTTTCTTGTTGTTTCCCAGTTCAGTACTTCTCTGCAAGAGACCTCAGGACGTTGCGCATGACATGTCGACCTGCTCATGGAACGCCAACGCTGAGATCGGCCACCCAGCGAAGCAGTGGAAACGAAGGGACAAGCACGGTGGAACGCCAAGTACCGGAGGTGAACCACCCCCAATAAACATGTGATTTTCGGTAGACAAATTACGAATTGATGCGATTTTACACATAGAAAAATGGGGGGTTCTCCCATATTCGAGCAACAAAACAGTAGTTGGGGCTGCAGTTCCACTAAAAAGTGGCTCAACCAAAGTTGTAGGGGCCCCACATCCCAACCATTTTGGAGCTTATTAATTATTACCATATAGTTATATATGTATATATATATATACCATCTGGTTATTTAACATAGCCATGGAAAATCACCATTTTTAATAGGTAAACCCAGGTAAACCATCTATAAATGGGCCATCTATACCATGGCGAACTGTTAGTCATAACCAGAGGGTATATATATATATACTAACCTTATATAATATACCATATAGTTATAATATACTAACCTTATATAGTTATATATATATACACATAATATATACATCATTAGTAATGGGCCATCTATACCATGGCTATGTTAAATAACCAGAGGGTATACATACATTTTTCCCAACCTTTTGGAGCTTGAAATCCATTCAGATCCCGCTGCACCGCTGCCTGGAAATGGCCTAGGTATCGCTGCAGCACCCGCCGTGAAGACAAGTCCCAGAGACGAATGGCTGGACCTTCCTGGAGCGCTGAGACCTCGGAATCCATCGCTGAGTGAGGCGATTTTATGGTGATTTTATCTATCCAATATGGTAATTTATGGTGATTTTATCTTTATCTATCCCATGGTTCAGATATTGATAGATTTTATCTATCCAATATCAATAGATTGAAATCAGTTGAAATATTGGAGTGTTTTAGTGGGATTTTCACTACCCATTATCGTAATTTATGGTAATTTATGGCGATTTTAGTGGGATTTTCATTACCCATTTATGGTGATTTTCATGTGATTTTAATGGGGTTTCCCCCACCCATCAATGATCATCAATGTGTAGGTGAGGTGGTTTTGTGGTCGCTATGACGAAACAAATGTGAAGGGAGATTCCTGATCTTGAGTTTCAACAACCCAAGTAGATCAACAATCTATCGCCACCCCCCAAGGTATGAAGGACAAGTGCGATCTTGATCAGGGGCAGCCTACCCATTTGAGGGTCATTTGTGAACCTAACAAAAATGTATAGACAACGCCTTGCACAACTTTTTAGAGGTTTTCGCAACAGGTTCAGTCTGCTCATAAGCTCAAGACAAACTGACATGGGAATGGCTAAAACTCAAGCCCAACCTCCCCAAAACGGATTAACATGTTGCCAGCCTATTTTTGCTCATTATCAATGTCGGTCACATGTCATGGGCCAGCTGAGACCCCCAGACGTGTTGCGCCACGTTCACCAGCAACTCATCGCGCAAACGGGAGACGCAAATCTCAGCGTGGCCAGTGACCAGGCTGTGGATGACCCAAAGCTGGTCCACTGATGTTGAGGTGTTTTCCTCACCAAAATCAGCATGGTTTAACATAGGGCTGCTCCCAACACTCCAAATACAAGAGGAACATTGCAAAATGGAGAGGCAACATTACAAAATTCATCAACATTTCCAGAAAAAGTGGCTATCATGTCTCCTGATACTTTTTCACACACACACACAAACATGGCAAAACATAGCAATCATTCATCCCATGTCTTCCAGGTGCTTTCCATGGTATTTTTCATACTTTTCTCCAAGCCAAGCAGCAGAGGTGACAGCGTCGCTCTCGGGGAGGCTGATCATGGCGTTGCGCGACTGCACGTCAAAGACCTGGCTATCTCAGACAGGGATGTTTACAGTTACTAATACTTGGTACATGTCGAATGATATATATATATATATGTATATATGTATATATATGTATATATATATATATATTCGGTGTCATGATGTGTCAGGGGATATATTCGATTTTAATCATAATAAAGGTAGCTTGGTGGTTGACCATCATCTAAGAGCTTTCGCCCCTATGTTTCAGGTGATCATTTCGGAATTTTCCAGCGCTGCACCTTCACACCTTTATCGGAGTCCACCACCAACAGCTTGGAACCATCTTTGGTGGAAGCCTCAACTGCTGATGGAGATATTATTGATACTTCTCCTGGGGTTATCCTGGAGATGATTCTAACTATCTTCGCATCAATCGTCATATACAAATAGCAATTTTTTGTCCGCAACATAGGCCTGCATCGAAGTCTTATTTGGCAATAGTAGTAGGGGTTATATCTAACTTACCGAGATTATTACCATAGTTTTTTAATAACTGCAAGTGGTGTGTGTTGACTCAGCGTTGAGGACATAGTTTTTTTGTCATGCCAGGTCCAAACCCGCACAAGTGGAGTCACGTTTTCCGCGGCCTTGGTGAAAAGTCACATCTGCATTGATCGAACGAAGCAGCGTTGGCGCCCCCACCAGGTCTTGAATTCGGCAGCTAAGTTCCCACTTGTGTAGCCTCGGCTAGTGGCTTCACTTGGGAAATTCCATGGGAAATTTTCCGGATCTTTGGATGATCAACCAGCAGTCTTGGGAGAAGCCTCGGATCCGAGCTGTAAAATTCACATGGTTTGGACACATGAGAAGTTTCGGATCCTTTTGGGATTGGTTCCACTGGAAAGTAGGCATTCCCGCAAGGGCTTCTAGTTATTTGGGGCACAAAAATCCTTTGAGTCCATCCCAAACATTGAGATAGCACGTTCCCAGTGACAGGGACGTTTCATTTCACCCTGACACTTGACGTCCTCACTTTTGTGTGGCTATATCCTAACTTGTTGTTGGTGACACACACACACACAAACACAAATATGGTCAAACTTGAGGCACGAAAACCAAAAAAACAGTAGGGCATTTGATTTTGAGCTATGATCCACTAAGTGGACAATCTGATTTCCGCTTGAAATACTCACAATTCCCCCTATATTTGTTCCCTTCAATCTTAACTTGTCAACATACATCAAACGTTTGGGTAATTTTGGGTATCAGTGAGTACCATCAGGATCTTCCGCCCTGCCGGCGCGCAACAACGTGCCATCAGTCTTCCACAAGCAGATGCACCTGGCACCATAGTGGAAATGGAGATAGTGGCTATCTGGCTATACCTTTATGGTATTCTACTATGTATATCGAATCTAACCAATATTTCCAATTGGTATCTTATTCATTCTCATGCACCTGTCGAAGCCGGCGGATGCAAAGTGGATGCTGTCCGGGAGCCACGTGACCTGAGTGTTCCAGTGAAACTTTTGGAAGATCACTAACATATTAGACTGACTATTCCATATTAGACTATTGGAAATATGATATGATATATCACTATCATTTGGAAAACATTAATATGAAAATCCTATATTACGTTGCTAAATCACTTGCAAATAGGCTCTAGTGCCTGGTTGGGAAATAACGATCTTATGCTTGTTCCAATTCCATCAGCAAGAGTCTCTGTCACTGTTCGATCTCGGAATCCAACAGTTCGAACCCAACAGTTGGCCATAGATTTAGCCAACTTTAGGAGCTTTCAGAACCGTACTGAAAAACAGGGCTTCATGATTTCTGGGATAGTTACTAAAAGATAACCAGTTTATGATATGTCACACGGTCTCACATTTCGGGATCTGTTCATACCACCACCCTTTTAATGGGGGCTATTGCCCATGAAAATGGGGGTGAAAACCAAGCAAAAAATGCATAGAAACATAAACCCATCTCCTTCCCATGCTGGCCAGTGGTATTTTATGTGGGGTTTGAATCCGGAAAATTATGGGTGGAGTCAATGAGAGTTGGGAATTCTCATATCAAGATGGAAAACCCAATCTGTTCAGTCAAAGAACGTTCAGCATAATTGGAACTACGAACTGGTTGGGTCTCAAAATTTCAACAAATCACTTCCCAAATATTCCAAGTGGTGTTTCTTGACCGTTCCCTTATTTCTTCGTGGGTCCACTCTCTCCGCTGGGAAGCCCCGTCGGATGTCACTGGATCTGTGTGTTTGGACAACACCAAGCGCGCCTCGGAACCTCCGTGGGCGGGACTTCGGATCATGCATGGTTTGAGATCCTTTCCATCCTTTCCAGCGTCATGAAAATGGGATGGATTCACACATAGACATTTATATATATGGTGAAGATGGGATGGATTAAGACTGATTAAGATAATCCACACTAATCAAAATATCATGGTAATCCATATACGAATGGTATGGCATATTTTTCTCATATGTTTTTCCATAATTCCATTCATGGGATGGATTAGCTGCCAAAACATGCCGAAACCAGCCGAAGGCCCACCTGGTAATGTCCAAAGGCAAATGGTGCCTCAAGCCACGACTGGGGGAAGCACCAAGGAATGCAGGGGAAGTTGATGCTGTTAAGGTATGTGAACAAATAAATCATCATGAATTAGCATGAATTCACAAGTGATAGTGAAGATAGTGAAGATAGTGAAGATAATGAAGTGACATTTGGCAAAACGGGCTTTAACGTTTGTTTCAAAGAGGATGAACATGTGCATGAAACAAATGTTACCAGAAATCCACCTAGCTTAACCTTTAGGAAATCTGGATGATAACTCTACATCTACCAGGATCTCATTCCTGATAGTTGCAATTTCCCTTTAGCAAATCTCCAGAACAAGGGAATGTACAACAGGTTTGACACTCCAAGTTGTACTGAAAGTTGATCCCCAAGTTTTGCAACACGCTTCAGCTGAAAGGTCAATTTTTGGATCACCTTCCCATTTTTCCCCGGTGCCAAGCGACAGTTGGAGGCTGAAAGGAGCTGCTGATCATCCGGACTCCAAGCTAAAGCAGAGCAGGACCTCACAGGGTCTTCAGTGGGAAGCACACTCTACAGGAAAACAATGGAAAACATCTTCAACATCGAAGTTATAGCTGTTGTTCAACATCAAAACTATAGAGAAATCAAGTCTGTGGTATTTTTTTTTGGTTTTTCTTCAGTCGTACAATGATTGGGCTCATCAATGATTGAAAACTTCGTCATTCACAACATGATTGGGATGGAGCAGCAGTATCTGACTGAAAGGATCCAAGAAGGTGGAGCTACGGCCATCAAGGGAACATGTGGGAAGACGATGATTTTCCCATGTGGATAAAATCGGGTACCGCATTTTCAGAAAAACCCATATGAAGATGAAGGGGCTGGATCTTCGATGTGTTAAACATGTGAAGCGATTATATTTAATGCTTCCGTGTTGGTTTCGGTTGTTTTCTGTTTCCTCACTCTATGTCTTTGTCTTCAAAGATGGATCATTGGGATGTCAAGAAAAACATATGTTCGTATCACGTGGCTCACGTGATTTGTGGCAACAAAATTCGAGTTCTTCCAAGTTGGGTTTCGACATCCATAGTGTATGTCCATAGTGGGCACATGACTCGGACTCAAGGTGGATCTTATTGTGAATGGAACATTGGGTCAAATTCCAAGCACAAGGGATGCTGGCTCCCCTGCCCCCTGAGCCCCAACTCGCTATAGGCCAACAACACCTCAGTCACCTTGGTGTCAGATCTTTGATAGCATGAGCGGTGTATATATATCTATATATATATATTATATATTATATATATATATATTATATATATTACCATCTGGTTATTTGACATAGCCATGGAAAATCACCATTTTTAATACCTGGAGATTCCTGGAGCAATGCGCACTTCCAAGCATTGGAGTCCTTCTAAAAGAACACAACAATGATCAGGAAGTAGGGAACCTCCATGTCCATACGCACGCGCTCCAAACAATCGGAGCGAATACGGCACTGGTAGCGCTGGGGGTTGAGAGTGCCGCCGGCCTTTTTTCCTACACCGAGCGCTTTGTGGCGGTTTTGCTGTCAGAAACAGCTGCTTTGCATGACAAGATGCAAGCAGCATCTGTGATTCCCAACACTTCGAAAAGATTTTCCTGGGAAACCAGTTGCCACCAATCAGTATACCAATAAAGAACATCCTAAATCTGGCATGACAGGTCTGGGTGTTGCCGGCAACGTGCCTAAAAATCTCGATCTGGCCTAGTTTTGTCGGGGGTTGAAATCATCAAAACCTGGCTTTTGTTGAATACTTGCGGAGGTCCCAAAGAAGTAACCTGAAGGATTTGATGTGCCGGAATTCTGAGTCACCACTGGATGGGGCCAAAACTTCGAATCTGAATCTTTCGTTGTTCGGGGCTCTTGGAGGCTATAAATGACCAAGACTGTTGGAGTTTTGCAAAAAGACACTTTCCAATGATTCAACTCTTTCCTGGAAAATGCAAAAACATGCGAAAACCACGTGGGACCACCCTCTTTGAATATCTTGATGCTACACCCTGATGCATTCCCGGAACCTCTTCGGAGCAGGGATCTAACGAGCTTGTTGGGCTAAGCCGCACGACAAAAGCCGCGACCGAAACACAGCGTCGGGCTGTTTGTCTGTTTGCACGACTGGGAAATGGGCCCTTGACGTGCCCAGGTCAAAGCAATGCAGAGGGATCTGGCGTTGGACCATCTTTTGGATTTCAAGTTGATCACCCCTTTGTGTTGGCCCCTGGCATCCCTTGGCTGAAACACTAGGTATGAAAGGACCACAAATTTGCTGTTTTTCATTAGACGAGACCGTCCCTTTTTTCAGCCCATAGTTGACTGGTCATTGTTGATTGTTGATATTCTTGGGGCCGTCCCTTAGCGATTTCTTCCCGGACAACATTACAACATGCCCAAAATCAATACTACGCGTAATTCCAGATTTTGAGCACTCGCATCAAATCTACTAATTATACCATCTCGAGCCATCTCGCTTGGCAATGGGACATTTTATTTTTGCCATGCGCGCCGTCAAAACATGATATATGGGTTAAGGTCATCCATCCCACAACAGGCATCCTGCGGCATCCTTATAATAGGAATAGACTGATGACCCTCCCCCAATACGGGTCACCCAACTTCTTGCAGTCAACCTTCGCAGTGATTCCACGGATCCCACGGCAGCACGCCACAAAAGATTCCCAGGGCAGTACGCCCACGAGGATTTACCTCAGATTCAGGCAGCGGCAGGAGGTTTCGCAAAGCAAGTGGGGCCCTTTGGAGGGCCCCAAATGGCTGTTCTCTTTGAAATCTCACACTCTGACCCATTTCATACCTTAGATTTGCATGATCCCCTAACAAAATCACAACATTCTCAATTTGTCTACCTCTTTGACCGGACATCCACCAAATCACAAGACCCGCCCTAGGCTTGCAGCCCAAAGACCAAAATGGCGCGTTGTTTGAACTGCGCCAGCGGACGCGCACATGGGGCGCACTTAGCAGCTTAGCGGCATAGCGGCACTCAAACGCCACACACCATGTTGGCTGGGACGGCTTCCTTGGAGGCTCCATGGGAATCTGCAGGGCTTTGGCTCTTTGGATCATCTTTGCTGAGACAAAATTGTTGAGATCCATCTGATATCGCCAACTTTCTTCTCACGTTTTCGATGTTTTTGGCAGGTATCCCCTTGATACATGAGCCAACGCCTATTTTCATCCCGGGGCTGACCCTTCGGACTCCTAAGGAGATCCATGTGGGATGAGTCGAAAAAGCTCTGGGCTGAGCCCCGGTAAAGTACACACCGGGTTTCACAGATCTTTCGATCGGATTGTTGGTATGGGTACCAATTTAGAGGGATTCAAACAGGTGTTCTAAAAATGTGGAAGTTCATGGATTGCCCCACTTCTGCTAATAAAGGTTCTAAACTTTCAACAGTTTCTTGAACTATCACTATGGGTGGCGGGAGATCAAGAGGCACAGCAAACAATTAAAACTTTCAAATGTGACATGCCATGACAGCCATTATCAGCCAAGACACATCCATCATCTTCGGGTATGGCAGCTTGAGCTCTTTCATTATTCTCAAAAATTCCTCCTGGCCAGTCCGTGCTCAGGTTTTCCATGTGTTGCCGCCATTTTCTTCACTTGTCATTGCTGGTCTATTATCTATGGTTGTTGGTATTTGTGGGTTACTTACCCATAAATTCCTCCGCCATAATTCTTTTCATCACGTCTTGAAATCTCTCTATGGTAGCGCTACTGATGCTCGCGAATCGTCCACTTCCATTTTGGTTGTCAAGTTCCCGGGGCACTGAGCCAGGTGATATTCATTGAACATTCATTTGCTGATTCCCAAGGGAACATCTCCAACGAATACCAATCAACCCCAAATCACGGAACTTGTGATCAGCCCCTCTGTGCATTGAGCATGGCGGTGTTGTTGTTGATGATGGGGATGGTGGTGATGGTGATGGTGATGGTGATGATGGTTGTGGTGGTGGTGATGATGCTGGTGATGATGGTGGTGTTGATGATGATGATGATGATGATGATGATGGCGATGGCGATCATCCTTTTTCAAAAGCACTTTTCATTGTTATTGCTGTTATTGTTATCATTCTGGTTACGATTACGACGATTACAGTCGTGATTATTGTGACACAAGATGTTGACCAGGACAACCTATCAATTCAGGGCTGGGCAAACAATGGCGCCTCATCTGTGGGTTGCTTGTGGACAAACAGAGCATGGTTTCACGGCCAAAAATCCATGCAATGATCTTGATGCATGTCAGAAATTTGACTATACTACTCTCACCTTAAAATAAACCGCTTTGGGATGTGCGATATATACTCAGAAAAAGGACAGCTCATCCTATTCTCTGCGATCACCTAATGATTGGGTCTGACCCATAGCATCGGCCAGCGATCAAAAAACCGAATCAGTTTCTTGTTGAGCGCTCGAACGACAACTCTCTTTGCGACGTGTTGAAATTTTGTGTACCCAAAACTCAGGGTAAATATGGGTAAATACTTTTCTCAACTCCAGGTGGAAATGGTCAAATGATGTCAAATGCTTCGTGGTATCTTTCCCATAAACCAGATTAGATAAATGAAAATCACCATTTTTAATGGGAAAACTCACTATAAATGGCCATTTTCAATAGCTATGTAACAAATTACCAGAGGGTAGTTTCCCGGTGCCTTGTTCTGCGTGAGTCGAGGATTAAATTTCTTCTCCTCCGCAACGCTGGAGACATTTCCTGATCCCATCAGGTCATGCTACGAGCACCAGCGGACCCTTGGGATACCAGGGCAAAACGACAAAACGGGCAGGAAACCGTGGTCAAATATGGCCAAATACCATGCGAATAGAATTTCAATGGTGGCAAATATTGATGTACTGTTGTTTTATCCTAGTTGTAGTAGTGAACTGATGCTCTTGAAACAAGCTAAGAACTAAAGTGGACCATCCAAAATAGCAATGTCCAAAACACCTTGGCTTTAGAGCAACGATCTCGCAGCAGGCTTTTTCGAGCTGTCGCGGGACAGTCAAACAATGGTACACTACACAATGCTAGCATTTTGATAGATGTAAAAATTCAGCGAAAGCAGGGGAAACTCATAACCCTCCATATTATGCAAATGCCATTCAACCTCCATTTTACAGTCAGTATGTCCTGCAAATCCATAGGTCGCGTTGGACTCTTGTCCGAAGAAGGGTCCGTAGAAAACGCTCACATCGGTGGAGTACTTTGGGCTATGCAGTTTGGAGAATTCCTTCTGCATGCACTTGGCTGCGATGCTCCCCTCCCCGTAGTTCTTCTGCCATTCGAAGCATTTAAACAGTTCCTCCTTCAGCGGCAAGAATGTGTGTTCCAAAATGGTCTTGTCCGCCCCGTAAGCGTAGCAACCCGGACCTGGGAGTTGTGTCCATGGTACCCAAAAACTAAACACAATTTCCATAAACAGTATAATACACCAGCAAGTTTCCCCTTTTTGTCTCTTAGTCTATGAGGAAAATATTGTGGAAAGTGAAACATCTCTCAGAAAAACCAGGTAACCGACATTCATATATGAACCCCGATGTGGCGGTATCGGGATTTCTTTGGAATATGTGGAGATTTGCTTCGGCATCTCATCCTTCATGTCACGGAGGGCATGGATTGCCATAAAGAAACTGATGACCAAGGCGACCTTCATCGCAACTATCACCGGGTTGGTCACCAACGAATCAAACAACAAGAGTTTTGCTTGAGCCAAATGTTCTGTCAATATTCTTCGACTTCTTCGACATAGTTCTTTGCAGTGTATGATGTCGCCAAGAGGGCATGACATAACATCACCATTGTGGGATTTGGGTCGAGACGCGATATGTTTCATTATGCAATGCGGGTTGCATGAAAACTGGAACCTAGTCGACACTGCTTTTCAGCAACCTTTCAATTGTTATACTGATTCTGGCTGCAGTATTCCTCATCTTCCCCCACAGGAATTCTCAACATCTCGGCAACGCCAAGCATCTCCCATTGTAATCGTGGCCTGCATTTTTTTGGCTTTGGATAGAAACAACTCACGGTGGAAAATGCGTAAAGTAGTAGTGAACTGATGCTCTTGAAACAAGCTAAGAACTAAAGTGGACCCTCCAAAATAGCAATGTCCAAGAGTTGTTTTATTTTTAAGGAGTTCCTGCTAGTCTGGGGAACACCATTTCTGATGCAATCCAGCGAGGAAAAACATGGGTCCCGATAAATTCTGTTTCTAGATGTTTCTAGGATAGTCGTGGATATCTCACGGTTTTATGGCATCATAAGTACAGCTAGATACGTTGCAAAACAACAAAGACTTGAAATCCCCAATCAAATTTCAATTGTTGCTGAATTTTCCCCATCATCATCATACCGGGCCAGTCTTCATTCATTCAATGGTGGTTCTAAATCTGATATATCCCCAAGTGGTCAATAAATAATTATATGTCTGTTCTTTATCCGCATAACCAGTGATTCATAAATGCCAATTATAGGGTTTCCAATATCAATATGATATCATAAATTGGTCATAATCACTGAATCATTTAAATTTCTCCGTTTTCCATGGGGTTTCCATGGGGTTTCCATGGGTTTCCCCCGATCCTGCCGGTGATGTCACCGATCTTCGATGAATTTCTGCTTCGCCGGGCCTGGATAGATCTTCGTGTCCTCGGGCAGCGAGAAGATCTTCTGATGCACCGATTCGTAGAGCGCGGACGCATTGCCCTGGGCTGCGCGGATGCGGCGGCTGCGGCGGCGGATGGTGCCCTTGCGTTGGTCGCTGCCAAGGGAACTTGGAACTTGGCTGGCGATGAAGATATCATGACTATGAAGCATTCTTATGATGCTGATGGTGGTGATAGATGGTGATAGATGGTGATATCTCATGAATGAACGTGAGGAGATGGCTCACTAATGCTGGGAATATCGGAATATCACCTAGCCAGCTCCAGTTGATGGGATTGTGCTGGATTGAGGACATAACTGATGATAAGGTGTACGGGAGAACGAATGACTATGGCTATCTTGCGCCAACAAGAGGATCCCAATGTTAGCTGATCGAATGACAGCTTTGGTGGACCTTCTTTCGAACTATCTCCAATTTCTCCAATCTCCATTTTTATCTAGAGCAATGATGGCAATTTGCTGCTCACTCCTGCCCTCTCCTGCTGGAAATCTGTTCGCCCACATCCTCGGATCAGCAGAGTATCACCTCGGCTCGGTGCATGGCGATTTCTGGGATGCTTCCTGAAACTAAGTGGCAACAGTGGCAACTGGAGAAAGAAATGGTTGGAAATGGAATTCTGGTCCCAGTTGTCACTGTCATTGGGTAGTGGTTCAACCCCCTCAATAAAACCAACCCAACCAAGTTTTTGTTGGTTTACTGTTGTCCCAGACATAACACGCTTTATATATATAAGCAAGGGGGGATAATTCGCACGTATCCATCACAACCAGTGACCAGGTTCTTCCGGTAGACCTCCTCAGATCTAACCCGCGGGCAGAGTTCCAGCACATCCAGTGGTTTTTTACCGGTTGTCTCGAAAAACTTTAAGGACACTTTCAATGAATATCGATATAGAAGTGGCACATTCTCGGTCTCATTCATAATATTTCAATATATTTCATAATTGCCCATGTTGCCAGTGTTGAACTTTCTACATGTGACAGACTGCAGTCGCAGTTCAAGCATAAGAAAAAACGGATTCCACAAGGCAGAACCTCTGTTCCAATGTGCAATTACTGGAGATTCAACATGTGAAGTCAAAGTACTGTGCTAACCAAAGGGTTTGAGTAGAGCTCCACTCACACACACACAAATGGTTTCATTTCTCCTGTAGTTTGGGCTATTTGATTTTGGGCATGTCTTCAAATTCCAAAGTCGTGCTCTGAGGTTGTGGAACCCAACTAGGAACCCAGAGCTTTGCGTCTGTAGTCACCACAAATCCGTTACATCTCCTTTACTTTTCTTTCCTCTTGGTTGGTGTTTCTTTTCAGATAGCAACCACAGCCAAAAACCCGGGGCTGGTATCGTTATTTGGGTATGGCCTGGTCAAACATTGAGGACAGAGGTATGGACCCCTCAATTCCAACAAACGCCAAAAACAACCAGAAATATACCATCTGGTTATTTAACATAGCCATGGAAACTCACCATTTTTAATAGGTAAACCATCTATAAATGGGCTATTTTCCATGGCTATGTTAAATTACTAGAGGGTAAATCATTTTGGGGATGATTCCGTCACAGCATCTCTGCCAAGGGGGTTGTACCAGTTATCCGGGTGCATTTCTGAAATGATCACTGAGGACACCCTTTGTTTCGTGCTGTGATCCCAAGATTTGGTGCCTGTGAAAGCAGCTTTGGGTTCTCCAGGTCCTTCCAGCACAAAGGTCATGCCTTGGTTTTCCGACGATGCCGGTCATGTGGTTTTCCACTTTTCGGGCATCTTAGAATGGGGGGATTCCCACCGTAGAAAGCATCCATGAACCGCGAACCGCTTCTGGACCTTGCCAAGCAGCAACCATCCGTATGTCCTGGCGTTGCCACAGACTTCAAGGCCTAGGTTGGCCAAACTCACCTGTTGACGACCCACAAATGGGCTCATTCTCTTGTTATAATAATAATAATATTAATAATAATATATATATACGTATATATATATATCATATATGTATACATGTACACACCATAAACTATCAAACCATCCAATCTTTGCCAATCTGACTTGGTCAGTCATTTTGACCATTCTTCACTTGAGTTTATGAAGAAGAAATGGAAATCCAAACAAACGAAGAAACAGGGGTTGCATCAAACGTATGGAATGTGACATACTCACTGGCCAAACATGGATGGAAACAACAACATATGTCTATGTTTACCAAACATGGTATGTTACAAAACTTGATGATATAACTAATGGGAAAACCAGCAACTAAATTATTGAATGGAGAGCTTGCGTAAAAATCAATGAGCACCTACAAAACTGTCAAACACTTGGATCTTTCACCAACAACGGGTCTATGTCCTAAACTCAGCACTACTAGTATTTCAGCAGCCACACGATAAACAAACCAAGTAAATGGGAATGTGATACAGGCAATGGTGGGTAAATTTCACTTAGAAGGGGCATGTCACTGAACAACAAGGGGGGTTCTATATATATGTCTTCGGGTCAAGATGTTTTCGGTCGTTGGCTCTAGTAGTGCAACACTCAAACCAAGATGCGATTCATTTGCAAAGGATGATCGGACAAACTGCTTCCTTGTTGTCAAGAGAATCCCGGGCACTTTCTCTAAGTCAATACGTCATTCCGTCAAGACTTTTGCCTGGTCTCACTTGCTGGTAAAATCAAGCAGCTATAGATCTATAGCAGCTTCACCATTTCTTGGTGAGCCTGTTTTGAAATCCCAAAGCACCATTAATCCCCTCCAATCTTCTCCCATCCCCATCGCCAGGGCACGTAGTCTCCAAAGTGCACCTGGTCCCCATCCTTCAACTTCAAGTCCGCCGCAGCGCCCGAAGCAGCTGAGATCAAAGTTTTCACCTGAGTTTTTGTATCCAAGGGGCTGTCCTCCATGGAAAATCTCCGAACTCAATGATCTAAATATATCTAAATGGAGGTTGTTAGCTGGGAACGGGAGAATCTATTAATGGGAGATTTTCTAGCTGTTTGAGGACAGAGGGTTGGAAAATGGTGACATATGAAGCGAAGCGGTTGGATTCATTGGATTGGAAATGGCCAAGCCAGAGGTTCACCCGGCTGATTGAATACACGTGGCATGTAAAACTCAACGGCTTCTTTGAAAATCCAACCGGAATCTTGCCTTTAAATAGCAGCTTTCGGGAGGTGTAGCATAGAAAGATACATCATCTGCAGCTTTATGGCCTCTGGGTGCAATTTCTTGATGGCACCGCCAGATGTGATGTGATCCGCGTGGCAGTGAGTGTTCAGGACATATTTCACCTGACACGGTGGACTGGCTCGACTGGCTCGACTGGCTCGAAGGACCAAAGGACCAAGGTCTGACAAAAGGATCAAAATGCAATGGGCATGCGGCATGTGTTGGGGGATCAAAGAACTTGTTTTCATAAGATACCTTGGATCCTCTTTGTTCCATGTCACCTTGTAGAGGAAAAAACCGATCATTGCATCATAGTCTTCTACTAGCATTGATCCCAGAATTGGATTGCATCTAGTTGGTTGCTCGCCATATTTCAGGACAAACATGTGGAAAGATGATTATCGAATTTCGCAAATGGCTTTGCCTGAAAATTACCATCTGGTTATTTAACAGTTCGCCATGGAAAATCACCATGCTATTAATAGGTAAACCATCTGTTTCTATGGGTCATTTCCCATGGCGAACTGTTAGTCATAACCAGGTTGGGTATGTGAAAATTAGGAAAAAACCTATTCCTAAATCCCATGGTTCATTGTCCCATTCAATATTCCACTCAATAAATATTAGTAGTGTTATTTATAATTAGTAGTGTTATTTTATATTATCAATAATATTATCGATAATTATCAAAAAAATAGTTATTCCCCTCAATAAACATTATCAATATATTCCATTCAATGTACCCATTGATAATTAGTAGTGTTATAATATTGTTATAATCATCCCATGTCCCATGGATCATATGTGAAAAACATTGAAATATATTCCATTCAATCGCCATATCCTTTTTTCATAACCAGATGGCGATTCATTTTGGGACCCCTACAAGATCGGAATCCCAGCTCAAGTGGCCCCAGGGCCCCAGGGCCCCATTGGTTTCCCCATTGGAAAAATTACTCTACTTCGTGTGATCCCCACCATGACATGTCAGGATGTATATTTGGACATATATTTAGTATATTCTGACATCCTATCTGACATATATTCTGGCATATATTCTGGCATTCTATCTGGCATATATCCTGACATTCCACCTGGCATTCTATCTGGCAGTCTATCTGGCATTCTATCTGACATATTTTCTGACATTTCATCTGACATATATTCTGGCATATATTCTGGCATTCTATCTGGCATTATATCTGACATATATTTTGGCATTCTATCTGACATACATTCTGGCATATATGTTGGCATTCTATCTGGCATTATATCTGACATTCTATCTGACATTCTATCTGGCAGTCTATCTGGCATTCTTTCTGGCATTCTTTCTGGCATTCTATCTGGCATTCTATCTGGCATCCTATCTGACATTCTATCTGGCATTCTATCTGGCATTCTTTCTGGCATTCTTTCTGGCATTCTATCTGGCATTCTATCTGGCATCCTATCTGACATTCTATCTGGCATTCTATCTGGCAGTCTATCTGACATTCCTACATGAGGTCCGGCAGGGAACACTTGGCATGGATACTCGCGGTTGAGGTCCGGCAGGGAACACTGGGCGCGGATGGTCGTGGTTGAGGTCCGGCAGGGAACACTGGGCGTGGATGGTCGTGGTTGAGGTCCGGCAGGGAACACTGGGCGTGGATGGTCGTGGTTGAGGTCCGGCAGGGAACACTGGGCGTGGATGGTCGTGGTTGAGGTCCGGCAGAGAACACTGTGGATCGCGGGTCGCAGTTGAGCAAGGACGACGAGGACGACGAGGAGGACGAGGAGGAGGAGGAGAGGAGGACGAGGCAGGAGGAGGCGGAGGAGGAGGAGGAGAAGGAGGAGAAGGAGGAGGAGGAGGAGGCAACTGACATAAAATCTAACAACCCTCACCTGGCAGGTGGGGAAAAACATGGCACACCTGGAATCCCAACTCATCTGCCAGCGCCAAATCACGGCCCTCCATGCCCAAGACCTAGGATCATGGGAGACTTCAAAGGAGTTGACCAAAGAAAATGTGGGTTGAATGAAGTTCACTTAGACCTCTTGGAAGGGATCTTATGGATCTTATGGATCTTTTTTTTTCGAATTAACATGAGATTTCAGCCGCAAAAAAAAATAGAAATTCTACCAGCAACAATGGCTTTTCAACAATTTTAGCACAGAATTTCTATTATTGGGGATGACTCGTCTAAACTTTTGCAGGGCCCCAGATCCCACTGTCCTCCATTTTCAGCTTTCCGATGGTTGCAGAATATATGGGTTGCAGTACTTCACAGTAAGTTTGAGTTTTCCGTAAGTCATATTTCTGTTAGTATTTTTAGAACAATGACTGTTGAACGTCAGTTTTTTTTTTTAGTGGGATGATTTTTAACCTGCCGTGTTTGCAAGGTAAAGGGTTGAACCCTGAACCCGCACAGAAGGGATGACACTTCAGATCAAACCTGTCTCTTTCTCTGTCAATATCTGTCAATCATCACATACCGAGTCGCCTTAGGATCCTCTTGGGCTCACTAACACGGGTACATGGACTTGTGGGGTGTTCCTTGTTTCATGGTTTGAGTTTCGAAAAAACACACACACACACACATCCACTGGTCCACTGCTGCCCTTTCCATGAAAATCTCTTCCAGACTCATCAACAAACACCAAGCCAGGTGACCGGGTCAATCAAGACAGCTTCATGACTCTTGGTGCATCCCACCAAATAGCTGAAGGTTGAACTTCCCTGGGCCATTTCAAAAGTGGCAGCTTCAGTTTTTTTTAAGGTCAACTAAACTTGGAACATTTGGAAATGATTTTTGACATAGAAAATTGATGAATATTATCCCAGCTCTGCAATAGCATTTCTACCATAACAAGTAGCTACAGAGATTAGAGATGTTAGACATCAAACATCAGATAGGTAGAGCTGTTCTTGGCGGATCACCCGATCACCCCGTCTTCGTGGGCTTGACCCATATAGTCCTCATAACTGGGTGAAATAACTATGGTTATTAAGCACTTACTAAGTAGGATACCCCAACCAGAGATGGGTGAAGATGGGTGAAATAAACATCAGTGCCTGTGTGTCGAAGAGCTGTTCGATCACGAAACCTGGCTTCTCGACCGCGTTCACTGTCGCCTTCCAAGTGGCTAGGACCGTTTCAACCAGGTGGAAACTGGGGAAACCAAGAGGTAAAGCGTGGTGAAAACTACGAAATTCTGGGTAAAACCTGGCAAGACGACTGGGCATTAGGGGAACATTCGAAACCATTCGACTGGGACGATCTCTGTACAAAAAACTGGGACTGGAAAAGGTAACATGGGGTGATTCTGAACAAATTCATCAATGCGTGACGATGGGGATGATTTCTGAAGCAAGATGTCGGTGAGTCGGTGACTTGGGTCAGCATCACCGGAAAATAGTGATCAGCCGTGATCGACCCTCTAATCCATCTGATCTTTGCTTCTTCAAGAGGAATTTCCTATTGTGTGAAACAAGTCTAGAGGATTATTTTCAGCACTGTGACTATTTATCGCTCGGGAAATCAGCTTTGCTCATTTCTGAGTGATGCATTCTGATATCTAGTCTTAGTTCTCTCTTGCACCATACCAATTTTCCAAAGCTCTATAAAATTGGAACCAATGGTTGATGGCTGGTTACCAATGGTGTATTGCAAAATTGGGACTTTCCACACTTTGGTCATCTCTCCAACTGTTTCTGCTTTAAATCGATTGGATTATCCAATGATTAAAACTCGCGTATCATCTTTGGTCATCTGTACGATTGGGATTTGCCATTCTTTTCACATCAAGTCAAACTTTCATTCAATGTTCCTACGGACAAACACGGTTGTAATTAATTTGATCCAGAGCCATATAGAATCATATGTGCTGGGGTCAAGTTGCGTGTGGATTATATGATGGTTTATGGTCATCCATCCCATGCCATGGGAATCCTTCTATGCGTAAACAATTTGTACAATTCAACTAACTTGACCATGGCACATTTAAAGTTGGGGCACTTTCTCATGAACTCCAAACTGGTGCACATAACTGGCCGTATAACCCACATAGCTGCAGTATATGTATTATCCAGTCATAAATAGCCATCAGTTATTATCCCTTGATCCCATATATCCCATATAACTTATAACTGAGGTTGGTGTCCCATATAACTGGGATATTACCGCGATGATATTACCATCAACTATAAAGCTGAGCATAACATACATTACCATAGATGGATATCCCAAACGTATTCTATATATTGCAATGGGTGATTTATCAATTTTCATCCAACTTTCATCCAACTTTCATCACCATGGACATCCAATTTATCACCTCCTCATTTGGCCCAGAAAGTTACTGCATGACCCAGTCGCGCACGGGGCCGCACCTCATGGGCAAGACATGGTAAAATGACGTAACATGGGCTGTTGACTTGTTTGGATCATGCAACCGGAATGATTTGTATTCATGGAAGTTACCATTTTCTCAAAATTGATGAGGGGTTTCACCGCATGGATCCCTCATGCTCAGCAGGTATCACTCTGCCAAAAGATTGATACGTCCTTCAATGAATCTCCATCTTCACTGGAGTTTTATCCATCATTCTTTCTCACATTCGATTTTCAAATGGGTTTGTCTAAAAATTGGATACTGCATCTCAAATTTTGATGGTTTATCGGTTTATCGACATTTTCCCTATTGAAATTGGCCATGGGACTGTCGTAAAATCCTCCATGATCTCCATGTTCAAACCATTCATATCCATTCATCACAACATATCACAAGCATCACATACATTTCTTGGATTTCCAATGGTTTTCATCAGATTTTCCCCAGGTTTTCATGGGTTTTCCCATGATTTTTGCTGAGGCGCTCGGAGCAGCTGGTGAAGAACTTCAGATCCAAGTCGTTCGCCAACAAGGCCGCTGAGGCCCTGGCGTTTCACCATTGTTTTCTTGGAAAATCCATGGATTTTACTATGAAACTTGGGGAAAAATGGCGTGGGGTTTTCCCCTGGAATCAGATAGAAAACATGGATTTTCATATGAAAAGTCGGGGATCAAAGTTACGAAATGGATTTTACCATCAACACCCCGGGATTTACTCTCTGCTAACCAGTTAAAGCTATGGAATAGCTATGGATTTTGTGATCAAACCTTGCAAACTTACCATCTGGATCCATCTGGTACTCCATCCCGGCAATGACAACACATATTTTTAAACGATGTAGTAAGCTCCAGACTGTAGACTTTAGCACCCAAGAAGTTGCTGTCAAAAAAATACCAGGAATATCAACCCCCTCAGAAACTATGGTGGATGTAGGAGAGCGGAAAAAACGGGGGATGTGATTTCTCTTCAACTTGGGATGATTGGAACCCCTAGAGGTCGCCCCAAGGCCCAACGACAAACTCGCCTGTTGTGTCCCAAGGCTTTCGCCTGGCATATTTTTCAGTGGGTTACCATACTGGAATCCCATGATGCCGGCTGGTTCAAGAGGGGAGAACCTCATCATCCAGAATCGTGAAAATATCACCTCCTTTTTTTGGTAGATCCTTAGGCCATAGATCATACTCACTGCTTTTCAGATGATGTTCCTCTTCCACAGTATGAACTTTCCACCCAGCCATGTCGTTTTGTTTGAAAACTTCCAGGTTTTTGGGCACCTGTGACAGTAGCAAGGCGGCACCAGCTCGGTTTCCGGAGGTGCATTGCAACATCCTTAGCTGAGGATGAGATGAGAAAAGTTTAGGGATCATCCAAATTAGAGATGGTGATTGTTTTCAATCATCACCCTGGCAGTTTTATGGCGATTGATTGTTTTTTAAAGGAACCATTGGATGGATGGATTCAAGAACCACTTTTAAGACGATCGGAGGATTGGATGATCATGACCCACTAGTGACCAACTATACCAACAGCTGCTTGGGTCATGCCATTTGGATCGCCAAGCTTTGGGAACGGGAGCCGAAAAGTAAGATGGGGAAGCAGCAATGATGAACAGTTAACCAACAAACATGTGATAATTACCAAGTGAATATGGTCTGTAAATGACAGCTAATCCAGGTGATGTGAGTGGGACAAACATATCAAAAATGGGTCTTGAAATTCTGCTTTCATTTCCATTGAATGGGGATTTTTGTCTCATGTTTCTTAGGTTCAAGAGGGGTGGGCTTCAACCCCTTCGAACAAAAAGCGAGGCACCGTTTGATCCATGAGGATAACAAATTGTGAGTGCATTGCACTAATTACCTTTTTGATCTTTTTGATATCCCCCAAGAAATGGAAAGTCCATGATTTATAGTTGATTTCCCAGTTAGAAACCTCCAATCATAGGGGATTTCCCATTATGTTTGATGACACCGGAGAGTTGGGATTGTGACTTCCGGGATGGTCAGACCGGCCATTGGGATGGTGAAGAATCCATCCCACAGCATTCAGTCCATTCATCGCAAGCAACATTTCCAACCATCAAACTCCTCCAAAGTCAAGCAGAAAAACCTAGAAAAAACCATCTCATCCCCCAGATCTTCCCCCTTCAAGACTTCACTGCATCTGGGTGTCAAAGGCTTGGGAAGTTTCTCAATGGCAGCAATGACCTGATGATGGGGAAACATATGGATATGTTGGGGAGATAAATCGACGAAGAAAAAGGTACATACTCAACACTGATATACGCTGATTGGTGGTTGAGCCATTTATGTTACATGGGATATCAGGCTGGTTTTAAGCAAAAGTTGCTGGTGCAAGCTTGAGCAATTCAAAACTGTGAAAATCAATCGGGATCATACTCCTGGTTGCTTTTTGGATGGAACATGAATCAAGATCTGGTTGGTGGTTGAGCCATCCAAAACATGGGTCGAACCGGAGAAACTCACCAACAATATCAGCAACCGAGGTGTATCAGAAATCAGCGGCTTCAACGGATCAAGAATCATCTTCTTGGTGCCTCAACACCTCTGTGCTTGGAATTAGTAACGCGTGCCGGAAACCAGAAAATCAAGGGGATCCCAAGACATCCCAAAGCCAGATCACAGCTGGAGCGATCTCCAGAAAATAGCTGGTGGATGTCCAGAAATTGGTCATAATGATTGCCCCGTTGAGCCTGGAAGCATAGCTGGTCCACGCTGCAGTACCGTTTTCCGCATAGCTCTCTGCATCAGGAGAGGCACTGTACACAAGTGTGACATAAGGCTGCCGTGTAACATAAGGCTGCCAGCACAAAATCTGTGAATTTTGGAAAGGGCCCCCTATCGAACTCCTCAAAATCATGTCGCTGGAAGTTGCTTTGGGGTTCACCGGAGGCCCAATCCAGTTTCGACAACAGGAGCACTGAAAGTCTCCCAAAATCACCACATGGCTGTACAACATTTCCCCATTAGTATCCCATGAAATACCCTCTGGTAATTTAACATAGCTATGGAAAATCACCATTTTTAATGGGAAAATCCACTATTTCGACTGGGCCATTTTCAATAGCTTTTTGTATGTTTACCAGGCCGGGTATCCCATGAAAAATCACCATTTTTCGCCAAAACATCTTCATCCTACGCCCCCGCTTCCGGCAACCGCGGCATCTGCTTCACCGCCACCAGTTGTGTGGACTCTCGACCGTCATTGTGGAAATGAGGCGCATGGCCTTCCGTACCAAGGCCATGACGGACGCCATTCCGCTGAAATATTTGTTTTCCCTAGATGTTGTACTTACCCATAGGATCCATGTATGCTATATATGCTAACATGACTGGGGTATATTGATGGGATCCATGTTACCATTTATAGCATACATGGATCCTATGGGTTATGACATCATTTTCCTGAAATATGGAGCACATGAAATAACATGAAGAACTTTTGTTTTGTCCATCACCATATTGAACAACTCAAAAAATGATGACGAATACGGCACTTTAATCTGCCGAAACCTGGGCACCTCAACCATTTTCAGCAAATCCTGGTCAGCTACCAGAAGGAAACCCAAAGCGGTTTCCTTCGAAAGCGAAGGAAAAAACACGATGGATTTCAATCCTCTAGACGTGTTTTTCCAATATATCCCACGCATCTGATTATATCCAGTTTTTTTCTAAATCCAGCTCATCTTTCCAGATTCCAGAGAAAACTGTAGTTTTTTTCATAGAATCTGGAAAAATGATCTGGATTTAGAGCTAGATAAATTTGGGTCAATGATCAGTTAAATTCACAAAGCCCATGATATGACTTCGCCCCAAATGATGGATGATTCCACCAAGCCAATTCCCATCATTTGAAAGTGACGTCGTGACCTAAGGTCGTGGTCAAACTTATCCACATATTTTTTCCAATATATCCCATGATATCCCCATTAAATTAACATCAACTAACATCAATCAACATAAATTAATATCAACTAACGTCAAGTTGGTTAGTGATATGCCCATGAAATCTCCTATAGAATCTCCCATGAAACCATATGAAACCACCATTTTTCATGGGTTTTCCATTGTTTTTCCTGTTTTTTTTTTTTCCATTTTTTCATGCCAGCTTTTCCAGGTTCCCCGTTGAAGCCACAAACAGGACCTGGATGCCGATCTTCCCTGGCCAGGAGAACCTGGAAACCCGCAGCTTCCAAGGCGTTTTTCAGCTGCTGGGCAGTGACCTTGGAAGGGATTGGATGGATAATATAGTATAATATAGTGTAATAACCCTGAGTATAATGGGATTTACCATATATGAATGGGGTTGCTAATGGGATTGCTAATGAGATTGTTAATGGGATTTAACCATGAGTATAATATAGTGTAATTGGATTATATCAATTATATCAATAATTTACTATTCTTGTTCATGGTTTTTTCCACTATTTAGTTTCCAGAACAGGCCACTGTGGGAGTGCGCAAATTGCAGCATTTCCTGTGCAAAGATCCAACAGCATATGGCGCAACCGGACAAAATTGAATTCCATTCCTCTCTGCTGTTCATTGGCTGAATGCACTATGTCATAGCAAACATTGCTGTACTGTAGTGTATCGACCTTGCTTCTAGTGCAACCACTGACAGTGCCTGGCAATCTCTGCTTGGCACATCTGCAATGGCTATCCACACACAAACCAAAAAACCAAAAAAACAAAAAACCAAAAAACCAAAAAACCCAAAAAACCAAAAAAACCAAAAAGACAAGACCCAACACTCTGCATCTGACCCCCTCCCCTTGGGGTGTGCAATCTTGGTTTTTTTGGTTTTTTTGGTTTTTTGGTTTTTTGGTTTTTTTGGTTTCTTGGTTTTTTGTTTTTTTGTTTTTTTGGTTTTTGCCTGCCCGGCCTCTAGTGCAACCACTGACAGTGCCTGGCAATCTCTGCTTGGCACATCTGCAATGGCTATCCACACACAAACCAAAAAACCAAAAAACCAAAAAACCAAAAAACCAAAAAACCAAAAAAAACAAAAAAACAAAAAGACAAGACCCAACACTCTGCATCTGACCCCCTCCCCTTGGGGTGTGCAATCTTGTTTTTTTTGTTTTTTTTGGTTTTTTGGTTTTTTGTTTTTTTGGTTTCTTTGGTTTTTTTGTTTTTTTGGTTTGTGTGTGGATAGCCCAGACCTTGCCCATGGGTCTGAACTTTTTTTTTTTTGTGTTCTCGAGGTTTTTGGCCAAACTGCAAAAAACCATGGAAAAACCAAAAAAACAAAAAGTTCAGACCCATGTCCCCTGCCAGGCCTCTCCCAGACCTTGCCCATGGGTCTGAACTTTTTTTTTGTTTTTTCCATTGTTGTTTTGAATGTTTTTCATGTGAAGATGCTTTCATCACAGTACCTCTCAAAAAAATGCGCGTCTCTACAATTTGCACACCTGCGCCCCCCAGGCCAAACTGCAAAAAAAACAATGGAAAAACCAAAATTCATTAATGACTTATATAATGACTAATATAATGATTAATGTAATGACTTATTTTTTCAAGAATATAATGACTAATATAATGATTAATATAATGATTAATATAATGATTAATAAAATGATAAATAAAATGATCAATATCATGATGAATATAATGATTTGTATAATGATTAATTTAATGATTATTAAAATGAAGAATTTAATGATTAATATCATGATTATTATCATGATTCATATAATGATTAATGTAATGGTTCATATAATGCCTAATGCAATGACTAATATAATTCATATAATGATTAATATAATGATTCATATAATGATAAATATAGTGATTCATTTCATGATTTATTTAATGACTTTTATAATGACTAAGATAATGATAAATATAATGATTTTTGTAATGGCTGATATACTTGTTAATTTATTGACTAATTTAATGATTAATATCATGATTCATATAATGATTAATAAAATGATTAATATAATGATTCATTTAATGATAAATATAATTATTCTTTTCATGATTCATTTAATGACTTTTATAATGACTAGTATCATGATTATATTTTAAGAATGATTAATATAATGATTACTATTATGATGAATACAATGATTATAATATCATGAGTAAAATACTGACTAATTTAATGAGTTTATATATAATGAGTAATGTAATGATTAACAAAATGATTAATATAATGATTAATATAATGATTAATTTAATGACTAATATAATGATAAATACAATGGCTGATATAATGAATGTTAAAATGATTAGTATAATGATGGATATAATGATTAATATACTGATTAATAAAATGATTAAAATAGTAATTCATATAATGACTAATATAATGATCAATATAAAGATTAATAAAAATGATCAACATCATGATTATTATAATGATTAATAAAATGATTAATTTAATGATTATTAAAATGAAGAGTTTAATGATTAATATCATGATTATTATCATGATTCATATAATGATTAATGTAATGGTTCATATAATGCCTAATGCAATGACTAATATAATGATTAATATACTGATTAATATAATGATTCATATAATGATAAATATAGTGATTCATTTCATGATTTATTTAATGACTTTTATAATGACTAAGATAATGATTAATATAATGATTTTTGTAATGGCTGATATACTTGTTAATTTATTGACTAATATAATGATTAATATAATGATATATATATATATGACTAATATAATGATTAATAAAATGATTAAAATAATGAATTATTTAATGACTGATATAATGATGATTCATTTTATGATTCATTTGATGATTAATATAATGATTCATAGAATGATTTCATATAATGATTCATATAATGATTAATGATTTTTAATGACTTATATAATGACTAATATAATGACTAATATAATGATTAATGTAATGACTGCATGGAAAAAAGTGCACTCCCACAGCGGCCAGCTCTCTTAGTTAATGGGATAGCTATTAGTCAATTATTGGATTAGTAATAGTCAATTTAGTTAATTCTTAGTCAAAAACAGTCTATAATCGGATTATATCAAGAATTAACTATTATTGTTAATGGTTTTTTTCCACTGTTTGTCAATGGTAGTTAATGGGATTTGACCAACAACAAATCATGGGAGTATCATAGTTTAATGTGGGATACCAATCCCAGTCATGGGTGGATTAGTGTTTGGGGAACATCCCAGAAACTCAACTCATGTCATAAACCACCCATGACTGGGAATGGTTTATATATCCACCTATAAAAATGGTGAAATTGGGGATGGTTTATTATTGTTTTACTCACATTATTGATTTCTACGTGTGGAATCTTTAATATAACTGGTTGTACTTGATTCCGATATTTGATCATAATATCATTTTAAGTTTGACCAAGCTTAGAATCACCCTCTAATTGAGGGGTAGCGAGCTTCTCTTCTGTATCCTCTAATTAAAGAACAGTTTCTGATGAGTCCCCAGACTTGAAACGGGGCAACCCTGTCTTTCTAACCATTCCGTGAACGTGCTCACTATGTTCCAGGCATTTTCAACGCTCAGCCGAGGCAAACAAAATGCCAGGTCGTTGGAATTCGATGCCAAGCAGCCACATGGAAGTAGGAGGGGAAGCATGACATGGCCCTTTCATCTGATGACAAAGAGGCCTAACGGCCCACTGGCATCCACTGTTCACATTTGGTGCTGTCATCTGGAATGCCGGTCACCCAAAAATAGCAGACACAGTTGGTGTTGTAGGTTGCTGCACTTCAAACAAGTGAGTCATGAAAAATACCCCTATCCCGTCCCATTGTACTGGTTGGTTCATAGGAATTCCCAGTTCATGGATTATGATAAGCACCCAATATACTAGGTGGTATAACCATTAATATAGCCGTCCCTATAACTAATTCATCAGCAATGGTACTCTTAATGGCTCAAGTCCAACAACAAACCGTTGATACCCCCGTGATCCAAGGCCTGTAGCTCGTGAACCAGTGCCTTCAAGTTGATGTCCTGTAGCTGTGCCACCCCTGTAGCCCCTGCCCATCAGCTGGATCATCATTTTATGGGGATTCAACCAGATCAGACCCTATACTTTCTAGCTATAACGATCCTATTTTTCCCGAAAATCAACACGCAACCCCTAAAAAAATGTCATGAAATTCATGAGTAAAGTCATCCTTTAGTTACACCCCTTTTTTCACGTTCAAGTGAAAATTGGTGGAATGTACCATCCACTAGTCAAACATGGCAATGGAAAATGATTCATTCATAGGCTATAAACCCTCATTTGTAGGGGGTTTCCCAGCTTGCCATGTTCGATGACACCGGAGGGTAACTTCAGTTAATATTACATCAATATTCTATAATAATAATTATATCCCATTAATATTCCATTAATCCCTATTACACCACGATTTTGTGTTGTTCAAATCCCACTAAATCACCACGAAATCACCATTCCCTCTCCTCTCCCGGCCATTTGTAGCCACTCTGTTGTCGTTCATCGAAGATCCTCCGCCAATGCGCCCCCACCGGGCAGTTGCGGCCGCTGATGTTGGCATAGGGCGAGAACATGGTGATGCACAAACGACCACCGGGAGCCAAGAGGTCCTTGAGGACTTTGGGGATTTCACCAAGGCGGGATCATCAGATTTAAAATCTGATTGTTGTTGGTTCTTTGCTAATATCGATTCTGTTCTGTTTCAATGACAGACTTTTTTGAGTGTTATATATTATTATTATTATGTTAATGTTAAGAACATGTTGAGTGGTTCAATGCCCACATGATGTGTAAGCACGCCATCGCTCTCCTTGAAGTTCTTGATGGACTCCTCAATCGCATCACCTGGATTGAGTCATGTCATGCCATGCAATCGCTGATCGTTTCCCCTTAAGATGGCTCAATCCGAGGCTTTTAAGATTGATCCATATTGATCTCATAAATTTTTGGTTGACCCTTCTTTTCAGGAGTTTTAACACATCCCATATGCACAGATCTGCCCATTGAAGCAGATTTCGGTTCGTGGCTTGTCTAAAAATTGGCTACCCCCAAATTAGATGACTGAGAAAAAACAATTTCCCTATCAACCTTACCATGTCTTGGGCAATTGTGGGACTAACCCAATTTCGGGCTAACCCGAAATGGATCTTGTTGGGCCTCTCACATCCCAACACATATCCCATTATGTATACTCACTCATATATCCCATAGCCCATAGATATAATCTCCCGTGTAAATCCCCATTTCTCAATCTCCTCGTTGAACACACACCCGAGCTGCACCCAGTGACCTGTCAGGAAGTGCAGAACTTCCGAGACCAAAATACCACTGAAGCCACCTACCTCTGCAGCAATACCTGGCATCTTTGGGCCAAAACTGGTGGAATATGGTGGAATTGTGGCCCCAAAATTGGCACAAAAATGGTGGTTTCTGAGCCATTCTAAATCAAGTTCATGAAGTGTCAAACAAGGTGCTCAAATGTGATATATATATATATGCCCAAACATGTGCGCCATTGGATACCCGAACATTCAATAATTAGACATATAAGAAATATACGAATCTACTAACCTCATTTTTTGAATGGTCATACAACTCCAAAAGATTCAATATTAGGTATGAGGATGATACATTTCAATTTTTTCCCAACATCTCATACCACCTGCTCGTGACAAATGACTATGGCTATGATGACATTGAGAAGCACTTGACACGAACAAACAGTTGCTACTTTGTGAGTATCACCGCCAGCATGTTGATTTGGTAACAAGGTAAACATTGGTAGAATATGGTAGAATGGTAATTCACAAGTCATCATATTCATACATATTATATAGTAAGCCCCAGACACATTGAACAAATAAAATATCACTAAATACCACCATTTGGGTAGATCTTAAGTTTCCATCTTCCATGTTGCTATGGTAATGTTCCTCGCAACCCCGGCCTTGCACTTCCTTCAGGTCGCTGGGCAACATGCCAAAGACCGTGCGGATCTGTGGCGAAGCGAACACTTGGAGCTCTTTTTTGGATGGTAAAATGTGAGAAGTTTCAAAAACCATTCATCCAAAACCATTTATCATCCAAATGAGCTATTTCCCCACCTGCCAGGTGAGGGTTGTTAGATTTTATGTCAGTTGCCTCCTCCTCCTCCTGCTCCTCCTCCTCCTCCTCCGCCTCCTCCTGCCTCGTCCTCCTCTCCTCCTCCTCCTCGTCCTCCTTGTCATCCTTGTCGTCCTTGTCGTCCTCGTCGTCCTCGTCGTCCTGGCTCAACTGCGACCCGCGATCCACAGTGTTCTCTGCCGGACCTCAACCACGACCACCCACGCCCAGTGTTCCCTGCCGGACCTCAACCACGACCATCCACGCCCAGTGTTCCCTGCCGGACCTCAACCACGACCATCCACGCCCAGTGTTCCCTGCCGGACCTCAACCACGACCATCCACGCCCAGTGTTCCCTGCCGGACCTCAACCACGACCATCCACGCCCAGTGTTCCCTGCCGGACCTCATGTAGGAAGATATGGGACAAAGAATGTGCAGAAGAAAGTTAGAAAGAATGTCAGAAGATATGCCAGAATGCCAGATATAGAATGCCAGAGATCAGAATATATGCCAGAAGATATGCCAGATAGAATGCCAGAAGATATGTCAGATAGAATGCCAGAAGATATGCCAGATAGAATGCCAGAAGATTGCCAGATAGAATGCCAGATAGAATGCCAAAGATATGAGAAGATATGCCAGATATGCCAGAAGATATGCCCAGAAGTCAGAATATGCCAGAAGATATAGAATGCCAGAAGATATGCCAGATAGAATGCCAGAAGATTTGCCAGATAGAATGCCACAAGAAAATGCCAGAAGATATGCCAGATAGAATGCCAGATAGAATGCCAGAAGATATGTCAGATAGAATGCCAGAAGATTTGCCAGTAAGAAAATCTATAAATGTCATGGTGGGGATCACACGAAGCAAAGTAATTTTGATCATTTTTTGGATGATCAAAAACTCCATTCAGCTACTTTCGCGACCCTTTCGCGGCGTGCGTTTTGGCTTTCGCGAACGCAGCAGACTTAACCATCTGCATAGATCCTTTCCTGGGGGGGTTTTTGAAGCTGCTCATGTGAGTTTCATTGGAGTTGAAGAGCTTTAAGCCACCAAAAATGACGATTATTTCTGGATTTGAGCATAATTTCGCGGTAAAAAAACCAATGGAACATGGATTAACCCCCAAGAATCGGAGAATCTGATCTGGGAGTTTCACTGATTTCACCACCATAGTAGGAAGTGACCAAAGCGAGCGGACCAAATCAGCTCAAGCAACGAGCTTGGTTTTAGGGAATATTCCCTTATAATAGCGGATTTGGTTTATAAAATTTTAAATAATAGCCCTATAGCTATCATATAGCTATTCATAATAAATATATATATATATTCATTTGGTTTATGGCCCTTACCAACTATCATAATAGCGGATCATAGGGCATATTGACATATATTGACCAACAACATCGCCGGCAGGGTCCAAGCTTTTTTGCGTCAGAATGCAATTCCCAGCGTTCCCACCTCCGGAATCTGCAGGGCATCCACAGCATCCAGGTGCTCTTGGGCGCAATCGCAGGCGATCACCTGCTGCAGAAGCAGGATTTGATGGGACCCTGGAGAACACTGATGAAGATGTGATGATGTGATCATACAGGATCGGTATTGAAAATAAATAACGAAACACATCGAAAAACTTATTTTCTCCGTGGCTTTTGATGAAATTTGAATCACCCAAGTATATCACCAAGTTGTTCAATACCACCTTATGGTACTCCTGGACTCAAACTAACTTGGGGAAAATAAAAATGATGGAAATGGATCGAATTCGCCCAAGGATGGATAGATATGGATAGTTGAAGTTCAACATGGCCAAAGTCGCTTTTTTGGGGTCCTAAAATTGTGACCCGCCAAATGATTCCCTTCGCTACCTTAACCTTGGCATCCTCATCATACGGAAGCAGCTTCAGGGCGCTGCAGACGTTGCGGCCATAGGCGCAGCCCATGTCCTTGGTGGAAAAAATGGGCAGATCGTCAGCGACCAAGTTGTAAGTTATACCATCTGGTTATTTACTGTAACATAGCCATGGAAAATCACCATTTTTAATAGGTAAACCTCTATAAACGGGCCATTTTCCATGGCTATGTTGAATGACCAAATGGTAAATGATTAGTACCAAGCAGATTAAATCAGAACCATCAATTGTAGTTAATTGTAATACAATGATTACATAAGTTTGGTATCCCATACAGTACAACAAATTGCTTGTACAGTTACGCATCAGTACATGGAGGATTTCCAAGATGATCCAATTAAAGTGAGCATGTTTTGCGAAGGTCATTGGGATTTATCCCCAAACATGGCAGCCTTAGGGGATGATACAGTACCATATCTCAATCATTTTGTCAGCATACAATCGTCCAAAACTCATGATACAAAAAAACATCAAATCTAACTTTTAACTTGCCACTGATACCAGCATATGTTCCACCTTCCACCACACATAAATATAAATAAATAATTACTGCTGATATTTACTGTCTTCCCCATCCCCACCCTTGGTGCCCCGTTGATTCCCCATTGGTCCAGCATCCAGCAGTGGATGCTGTCCATCATAGGCCGCTGCGAAGTGCTCCAGCAATGGACTGGCCATCGCCATCTCGAAGCCCGTCTCATTGGCGGTGCCTTTCAGGGTCTCCGTCATCACCTGGCAACGTTGTTGGGGTGAACCATGGATGACAAAAAACGCCAAAAACGGCTTTCCAAATGCTGATGTTACTGATGTTTGATGATTTTTTTGGTGCCATAAATGATGTTCCTACATATTTTCAGCAAAAGCATCGATTCATCCTGTTTTTTTGGGGGTTAGCCAACGAATTAAGCTCTCTCTCTCTCTCTCTGATGGTGATTTTTGGGGTTCCCAGCTATTTGTGATCATTTCATGTTACTTCTTTGCTGGGATTCACTTCATCAACTGCTCCAAGCTGCATCTCCCACATCCGGGTAGGTTGCCATGACGGTGTGCAAAGGACAAGGACTTCGGAGCTTGAGGCGATGGCTGCAACGTCTTCCAATCAAACAGAACAAAAACCGATACATTTTGGACAATGTTTTGGAACACATTTTGGATTTTCGAATGCAGTTTTATGTGTGACCATGGATTTTACATTTATTGATTATTGGCCCCATTGGTCACACATAAAACTGCATGAGTTGAAGCCATCAGGATTCGGTCGATGTCTCCCCGTGAAGTTCTCAGTAAAGATCATCTCATTGGAAATATGGCAAGACATCCAAACAGCCAAAGAAGTTTCAACCAGGAATATCATGATCAAACATTATCAATATCTATGGCATACCCTTATTTTCAAACCAAATCCATATCTTGGGCCACTGAAACAACCACCGCACGCTGCAACTTCGCCCCAACCCCAGCCCTGGGCTTCCCCAACCGCTGCAGCGTGCTCAGCACCTGCCACCCCTTCCTTCGGGGTAGGGATGGGAGCCACTTCCACCTGCACCGCTGACGTGTTGGGATCCAACAGCAGCAATGAGGTTTCCATGGCTATGAGGGGTATGAAGACTGTACCATGGATCCATGGCTTCTTCCAATTCTTTAATGAACATAGTAACATAGATCAAGGCAGCAAGTTCAGGGGAACAGTGTTGGAGAACTGCATGTATTGTGGCCCAAAAGGTATTTCATCGTGCTTGGACGTATGGTCGTCCCACCGTGCCGTGGTTGAACCATGGTTGAACCATCTTTCATGCACCAAAGAGTCACCACCATGTTTCAAATGGATCCAAACATGGGGGTATACCCATATCCACCAGACAATTCCATCATTTCATCAAACTTTCATCGCATCGCATTTCTATATTTCGTCCAATGTTATCCATCATATTCCGAAAAAGATGCAATGAATCATCATAAATTATTTGGGGGATCCAAATATGCCGCACCTGGCACCCAGCAGCTTCGATTTCTTTTCGATGGAAGTGCTTGCTCTCCTTGGTGGTCGGAGAGACCCTTTATTGAGGTATCAATGGATTCCATGGTCGTTTCACCGAAACTGGGGGTTTTAGAAAGTTTGAGGATACCGTCTTAACTTGATCAAGTCATATACAGGATTCAGCAAGCATCAGCTTTATCTAAGAACTGATGAACAACTGGAATTTTTCGATACTGCTGAGCCATCCCGAAGAATCTGCCGATTGGAGTCATCCCAACTGAAGGTTTCTTGACAAATTGTTGGTGCAAAACAAAACACCATTCTTTTTAACCAGATAAGTAGAACCACCTATTCTTCAAGTATGGTGAATCAACAAAAAATCCCATGAAATCGGCTGGAACCCAACCCCTGGGTGCTGCGTGCAACCAAGTAGCAGCTGGGTTCAGGTACAACCATCCCTTATAGCGCGGTGCCAACTGCGCTACCACCGATGCTTCAAGGTTGCCTAATGAGTCAGCAACACGCAGTGGCAAGATTAGGCAAGATATTGACTGGGTGAAAATCTGAATGATCCATGTTTTAAAATATCGCTCCCTTTTTTCCCAGATTAACCATGCATTTAATTGCCAACAATAAGCGTCCTCAAATTTACAAGTCGAAGTCTTTATCCATCACCCCAAATCCTTGCGGATCGCCATCAAAAAAATCAACGTCACCTCAAGCCTACAAGACTCACATCTCCCGGAATCTGCGGGGTTGCGACACCTGGCGTGCGCTGAGTCAAGAATGGTCACAGCAGCTGTGCAATGATATTATTCCCCAACAGCGTAAGCTTGGGGTCTTCAGCCATAGTAAAGGTTCCGGAGCAGGTCGGAGCAGCCAAATCCGCTGGGAACCGGGTTCCGGGGAAGGTTCCGGGGAGGAGTTTCCTTTTACGGGAGAATCCCTCGGGGCAGCCAGATCGGCACGGCGCAAGGTTGGGAACCGGGTTCCCAGCAAGAGGTTCCCAAGCAAAGTTCCCAGGAACAGGTTCCCAAGCAACGGTTCCTAGCAACCAGGAAGAGGTTCCCAGCAAGGTTCCCCCCAAAGGTTCCCCAAGCAAGGTTACCACCAAGGTTCCCAGGAACCGGTTCCCAGGAACCAGTTCCCAAGCAAGGGTTCCCAGCAAGAGGTTCCCAAGCAAGTTCCCAAGCAAGGGTTCCCAGGCAAGGGTTCCCAGGCAAGGTTCCCAAGCAAGGTTCCCAGGCAAGGTTACCAGGAAGAGGTTCCCAGCAAGGTTCCCAAGCAAGGTTCCCAGGCAAGGTTCCCAAGCAAGGTTCCCAGGCAAGGTTAAGGTTCCCAGCAAGGTTCCCAGGCAAGGTTCCCAAGCAAGGTTCCCAGGCAAGGTTCCCAAGCAAGGTTCCCAGGAAGAGGTTCCCAGCAAGGTTCCCAAGCAAAGTTCCCAGGCAAGGTTCCCAGGAGGAGGTTCCCAAAGGTTCCCAGGAAGAGGTTCCCAGCAAGGTTCCCAACAAAGGTTCCCAAAGGTTCCCAAGGTTCCCAGGAAGGTTCCCAAGCAAGGTTCCCAGCAAGAACCGGTTCCCAAGCAAGGGTTCCCAGCAAGAGGTTCCCAAGCAAGTTCCCAAGCAAGGGTTCCCAGGCGAGGGTTCCCAGGCAAGGGTTCCCAGCAAGGGTTCCCAAGCAAGGGTTCCCAGGAAGAGGTTCCCAAGCAAGGTTCTCAGGAAGAGGTTCCCAAGCAAGGGTTCCCAGGAATAGGTTCCCAAGCAAGGTTCCCAGGAAGAGGTTCCCAGCAATGCAAGGTTCCCAAGCAAAGTTACCAGGAGCAGATTCCCAAGCAAGGCTTCCCAGGAAGAGGTTGCCAAGAGGAATGTTGCCAGGAAGAGGTTCCCAGGCAAGGTTCCCAAGCGGTTCCAAGCAAGGTTCCCAGGAAACAGGTTCCCAAGCAAGGGTTCCCAGGCAAGGGTTCCCAGCAAGAGGTTCCCAAGCAAGGTTCCCAGGAACAGGTTTTGCAAGCACGGATTTCAGGAACCGTTTTCAAGGTTTCCAGGAACCATTTCCCAAGCAAGATTTCCAGGAACATGCTTTTCCAAGCAAAACAAGGTTCCCAGAATAGGTTTTGTTCAAACAAGTGTTTCCAGGAAGAAGTTTCCACGACGAGGTGTCCAAGCAAGGTTCCCAGCAAGCTGGTTCCCAAGCAATATTTCCAGGAAGAGGTTCCCAAGCAAGGTTCCCAGCCGCAGGTTCCCAGGAACAGGTGCCCACACAAGGTTCCCAAGAACAGGTTCACAAGTAAGGTTCCCAGGAAGAGGTTCCCAAGCAACAGGTTCCCAGGAACAGGTTCCCAAACAAGTTTCCCAATAACAGGTTCACGAGTAAGGTTCCCGGAAAAAGTTCCCAGGCAATGTTTCCAGGAAAAGGTTCCCAAGCAAGGTTCCCAGGAACAGAGTCTGAAGCAAGGTTGCTAGGAAGAGGTTCTCAAGCAAGGTTCCCAGGAAGAGGTTCGCACGCAAGGGTTCCCAGTTGCTCTTGGAAATTTTGCTTGGGAACCAGCTCTTCCTGGGAACGCTTGCTTGGGAACCTGTTCCTGCAAGCCTTGTTCCTGCTTGGAACCTTGCGCCGAAACGGTTCCTGGGACCTTGCTTGGGAACGGTTTTTGGGAACCGTACTTGCAAGCGGTTCCTAAGAGCTTAATTCGCCTTGCTTGGGAACTTCTTCCTGGATACCTGCTTGGGAACCTCTTCCTTGGAACTTGCTTGGGAACTTTTTCCCCAACAGCGTAAGGTTGGGGTCTTCAGCCACCCTAAGAACAAGATTTCCAGTCAAATTTACCAGGAACAGGTTCGCAAGCAAGGTTACCAGGAATGATTTCCAAGTCAGGTTCCCAAGAACAGGTTCCCAAGCAAGGGTTCCAGAAACAGTTGCCAAGCAAGGTTCCCAGGAACAAGTTCCCAAGGTTCCAAGAACAGTGCCTCAAGTTCCCAAGCAAGAGTTCCAAGAACAGGTTTGCTTGCAGGGTAGCAAGGTTACCAAGCAAGGTCCTTGGGAACAGGTTCCCAAGCAAGGTTTCCACGAACAGGTCCCAAGCAAGGTGCCCAAGGACAGGTTTGCAAGCAAGCTTCGCAAGAACAGGTTCTCAAGCAAGGGTTCGAAGAACAGGTTCCCAAGAACTGGTTCAGGTTCCAAGAACAAATTCTCCAGGAAGGTTCCGAGCAATAGGTTGCCAGCACGGTTCCCACGAACACGTTCCCAAGCATGGTTCCAGGTTGCTCATGTTCCCAGGAACAGCTTTCCAAGAACAACTTGCAAAGCGAAATTTCAACCAACATCTGCAAGCAAGGTTGGAAGCAAGAACAGAATCCCAAGCAAGGTTCCGAAGGACAGGTTCCTAAACAAGGTTCCCAAGCAAAGTTACGAAAACCAGGTTCCCGAGCAAGGTCCCAATGAACAGGTTTGAAGCAAACAGGCAAAGTTTCCAAGAACAGGTTCCCAAGAGAGAGTTCCCAAGAACAGGTTACCAGGCAATGCTCCCAAGAGCGGGTTCCTAAGAATAGGCTCCCAAGAACAGGTTCCCAAGCAAGGTTCCGAAGTGTCAAGCAACGTGTCCAAGAACAGTTGCCCAGGCAAGGTTCCAAGAACATTGAACAACAGAATCAGGAGAACTGCAAAGTTTGAAGACTTGTTCTAATAACGGAATGGAGAGATTGAAGAAGAACTAGTTTTGCTTCAAAACATGATACGGCACTCGCACATGGATAGAAACACTAGACGACAGCGTGGCATGAAAGAAAGCAGGAGGGAAGAGACGAGAAGATCATACACAAGAAAAATGATGATGGTGATGATGATGATGATGACGATAGTGATGGCGATGACGATGGCGAGGATGAATGGCGATGGAGATGATGATGAATGATAGCTGACGCGAGTCAAATGTTATATATATCCACGATTTCATGCCTTTTTTCTCCCCGCAGAGGGTTTGCTCCAGGGCTGGCACCTGAGCGACAGTCAGAATCAAAAGACACGTTGTCTTTACACAGCGAAAAAAATTACACAGAGAAGATTTTACACACAGAAGCCTTTACACAGAGAGGGATTTACACAGAGCAGCTTTTACACAGACGCTTTTGCACACAGACGCTTTTATATACAGAAGCTTTTACACAGAAAAGCCTTGTCACCACAGAAAGCCTTTAAACAGAGCAGCTTTACACACAGACGCTTTTTCACAAAGAAGTTTCTACTCACAGGAACTTTAACGCGCAGATGCCCAAGCTTTTACACACAGGAGCTTTTGCACACACATGCCTTACAAAAAGAAGCTTTTAGACACAGAAACTTTTACAGCCTTTTCACAAGAAAGCTTTTACACAGAAGCTTTTGCACAGAGATGCCTTTACACACAGAAGCTTTTACACACAGAAGCTTTTACACAGAGAAGATTTTGCACAGAGAAGCTTTTTCACAGACAAGCGTTTGTGGGAAGGAACTTTGAGCACAAACGGTTTTTACATACAGCAGCTTTCACACAGAGAAGCCTTTGCGCGGACCAGCTTTTACACTTAGGTTTGTTTTCACAGAGCAGCGTTTATGCGGAGCAGCTTTTACACACTGAAGCTTTGACGCAGAGAGGCCTTTACACAGAGAGGGCTTTTACGCACAGAGGTTTTCACACGGAAGCTTTACACAGAGAAGCTTTGACACAGAGAAGCGTCTAAACAGAGCATCTTTTATACACAGAAGCATTTACACGCACAAAAGCTTTACATACACACAGAGCTTTTACACACAGACGCTTTTACGCATAGAAGCTTGTTCACAGAGCTTACAGACCGAAGGTTTGACGCAGAGAGGCCTTTACACAGAGCAGCTTTTACACACAGACGCTTTTACACAGAGATGCACAGAGCAGCTTTTGCACACAAACGCCCCCAGGCTTTTACGCACAGAAGTTTTTACACACAAGCTTTACACAGAGAAGCCTCTACACAGAGCATCTTTCAAACACAGAAGCATTTACACACAAAAGCTTTACACACACACAAAAGCTTTACACACACACGCTTTACACACACACGCCTGTACACACAGAGCTTTTACACACAGACGCTTTTACGCATAGAAGCTTGTTCACAGAGCAGGGTTTACACAGAGCAGCTTTTACACAGAGAGAGGCCTTTGCACAGAGCAGCTTATACAATCTTATACACACAGAAACTTTAAACACGCAAATGCCCAAGCTTTTACACAGACAGGTCTTTACACATAGAGGCATTTACACAAAAGTTCTTCACACAGATGCGGCAGATGCTTCTACACATAGAAGCTTTTGAACACAGATGCCTTTCCACACAGAAGCATTTACCCAGAGAGGCTTTGACATATACACGCCTATGCACACAGAAGCTTTTAGACACAGATGGTTTTTCAGAGAATCACAGAAGCTTTGACACAGAGAAGCCTTTACACAGAGAATCTTTTACACACAGAAGCTTTTACACACACAAGCTTTTCCACAGAAGCTTTTACACAGAGAAGCTTTTGAGCACGAGCTTTTACACACAGACGTCTTTACAAACAGAAGGCTTGTACACACAGGGCTTTTACGCACAGAAGCTTTTACACAGAGAAGCCTTTACACACAGACGCTTTCCCACAGAAAAACCGATTCCACAGAGCAGCTTTTACACACTTCAAAAAGTCGCAATTTTACGTTTTTGACGTTTGGCCATCATATCGTGCGAAAGGGTTGCATCCGGCGTTGGAAAATCGCAATTCTTGACGTTGGACAATCATTTTGCGTGAAATGGGTTGCGCCTGACCTTGTAAAATCGCATTTTTACACCAGTTTTATTTCACGTGAAACAGTTGTGCCTGACGATCCAAAATGGATAAAGTCGCAATTTTACACCAATTCTTGAACGTTTGCATCTGACGTTAAAAAAAGCTCAGTTTTCCCACAGTTATTGCCGTTTAGCTTTCATGCCACGCTTGCATCTGAACTTTCAAAATACACCAGTTTTTGATGGTTGACCCTCATTTCGTGCGAAGGGGCTGCGCCGGGCCCTGCCAAATTTGCATTTTGCCACGTGTTTGGATGTCCGACCTGCGCGATCTCTGTCTCCGCAGACGGTTGCTGCGGGCCCAAGGACAAACAAGACCCGCATTTCGCCACACGTTTGGGTATCCGACACGCCGCAGAGGGTAACGTTTCGTAAGCCACCGCCTGGCTGTCGCTGCCGCCAGAGAGAAATAGAAGAACTGGAGAAGTCTGATTTTGCAGGAGTTCACATACAATTTGATCACTGGAAGTTAGCTGAACTCCTGTGTAGCAACTCCTGTGCAACAATTTCTGCGCAAATGACCTTGCAGGCAGGACTCTTGTAGGAGTTCAAGTAGAAGTGGATCACCTGCAAGTCAACTCCTGTGTAAACAACATTTTTCAAGTTTTGTAGGAGTTCCCTAGAAGTTGATCACCTGTAGCTGATGTAGGTGTCGTTGTCTATGTATATGGTGATGATGAGGATGATGTTGTAAGTCTTGTAAGTGATGTAAGGTTAGATAGGTTTGAAGAGGTAGGTGATGTAGGGATGCAGCGATATAGATGATGATGTAGGGCATGTATGCGTTGTAGATAATGCATGTCATGTAGATGAGCTGATGGAAAAAGAGTGGGTAGGTGATGTAGATGGTGTAGGTGAGATAGATGATGATGGTGGTGGTGGTGATGATGATGATAATGATGATGCAGGGACGATGGTGCAGAAGATGTAGGTGATGTGGGTGATGTAGAGGATGTAGTGATGTAGGTGATGATGATGCCGGTCATGTATGTGTTGTAGATAAAACATGTCATATAGATGAGGTTGATGGACAAATGTGTAGGTGGTGTAGATAATGTAGGTGAGACAAATGTAGGTGATGATGATGATGATGATGATGGTGCTGATGGTGTAGATGTAGATGTAAATATAGGGAAGATGGTCTAGAAGATGGTATAGAAGATGTAGGTGACGTAAAGGACAAAAAAGATGTGGATGATGTATGTTAGGTAGATGAAGTGAAGAGTGAGGCGGACAGCAGTTCTTTGGGAAGAGAACCCTTTGCACGAGCTTCGGGCATGTTGGCCACAGTATCGCAAACGCTTTTGGAAAAACGTTTTTTTCATACAGTGTTTGTGCCGTGATTGCAGCTTGCACGCCCGACCTCTAGAGTAAAAAGGGCGGGGCAATAAACATACTTCATTCATTGCGTGTTTGGCAACTGTTTTTGTTTCTCGCTGTTGGGGATACTCTTTGGGCTTTTTCAAATCATCCATCGTTTTTTTTTGGGGGAAAACCCATGCTGAAAAAATGGGTCCCCAATTTGAAGAACACCAGAAATGAGAAACAAAAAAAATACTCAGTCGATGTGGAAAAACCATTGGGATTTTTGTCCTGTTTCAGAAATATGCACTTAGCTCCTAAACCTATAGATGAGCGAATTGCTGGAGCGCACACATCTCCCACATCCCCCAAAAATGATTTCATCCATTTTTCATGAGATCATATATTGACCACCTGGGTCAAGCAGAGCTGAATCGGAGCTAAATCGTCGAAACATATGTAAAAAACATCTGGAAAAAACCGATGTCGTGTCGCATCCAACCTGCAGCGGGCAGTTGAACCAGACATAGGTGGCCGTCTTCCCCGTGATCTTCGGTTTCATCCCTGAGATCCAATTGCAGCCCCTGGGCGGACCCTCGGGGCCCAGATTCGGACATGGCTTTGTCTCTAAATACGAAAGGGAAAACATGGCCAAAACCCACGAAGTCCATTAATCATGATTCATCCATGGCAAATCATTTGCTGAATTTCATTTCTGAAACTGCCGTTTGTTCAACCCATTCTCACACACACCTAAATCTTCCGGTGCTTTCTTACCGGAGGTGGCTTTGTCTCTATGGCACGGTATCCTCCATTGGCTAAGGTTCTTGGGCGGGCTGTTGATTCTCTTCGGTGCTCTTCAAATTCGCACCTCAGATCAATCCTCAGAAACTGTCAGAAACTGGGCCTTTAGCTGGTAGTTTAACATAGCAAAATCACGATGATTTTTAATAGGCAAATCATCTATAAATGATTTATTAGACATGTTCAATAGCTATTTTAAATTACCAAAGGGTAAACCTAGTTAGGTCTCAAAAAAATGTAAAGCTGCTATGTAGGTTTGCGATTATCTTAAGAGTGGAGAAGAGTATTCCTGGGCGAATTGAGCTGATGGCGTTTTTGTTAGAATAATAAGTAGTCAAAGGCCTCAGCATTTTCAAAGTACTGGTAGTTTGGGAACATAAGTTCTTCCTGGCCCAAGGGCTGAAAAAACGGGGACTGGGATCATCCAACTAAATGGGTGAAGCATTCCATCTCCTGAAAAGAATGCCACCCCCAAACATATGGGTGTGTCGGACAACTGTGTATACCCCAAATAGGTATATATACTATATATAGGCATATATATATATACATACATATGTATATATATATGTGTATGTATTTATGCGTGTGTATATATATATATGTGTGTGTTTGAATAATGTATACAAATTTACATTCATTCACATATATAAATGTATATAGATAGAAATGTATAAATAATATATATATATACACATAATATAAATATATATGCAAATATATGTATAATGTGCATATATATATATATATTCGACACATGACTGCATATGTAAAATTAATATATATATATATATATATATTGTGTTCATTATGTTTTCAGCATGGGGATAGATCCATAGCTATTAAAGCTATTAATTAATATCATTTAATATCAGATCATGAAGGGATACAGGCTTCATCCATAAATCACGAAGCCTCGGGCGGAGCGATGACTTCTTGGTGGGCTGAGGCATGTGGCCCTGGCGCACGGATTTGGCCAACTATATTGACCTCGCGCCTTGGAAAGTTGCCGCAAGGGCATGGTTGTTGTTTGGGCATCATAAATGAATCACCAGATGTGGAATTTGTTGGTGAATGTTTTATGATTCTAAACAACCAAATCATAAACCTGGGGATTGAATGGGCATATATCGCCAACATTCACCAACCACAATACGGTAGAACTGAGATTTACATAGATTAATGGGATATAACGGATGGTTGTTGCCCATGTACCAGCTGTAAACTGCTGGGAACATGGGGGCTGCACACAATCATCTTCAATAGTTGAAATGCTGATTAAGCCAAGGGTATGTTTAATAGCTATGTTGAATTATATACCAGAGGATAAACCCGATAAAGCCAACAAAAATGGTGGATAATATGATGATTTGCTGTCTCAGAGGCATAGGATTACCCTCCGAAAAAAAATTGTTACATCTCTATGATATAGATGGCCCATCAATAAATGATTTAACCATAGCGAACTGTCAAATTACCAGAAGATATGCACTACTGTGTGTATATATATATTGATAATGTTTCATTTCATTGGTTTATTGAGATATCTACTTGTTGTGGAAGTGCAATATGAAGCTAGGAAACTGTGTTGCTTTACAACCGGTAATGGGCATTTAACTAGCAAACATTGCATTTGTTCAACCGACCTAAATGGATATTTCTAGGTGATTTCACCAGCAAATGGATGGCTCAACCCCCCAGCCCCAAGCGCGGCTCTGTTTCGGAGTTCCTCGTCCATGTATCCTAGACTTGGTTTAAGGGGCAATATCCAGTCCAAAACAATTTTCTTGGCAAACACATCTACAAACATAAGGGGTTCCTTTATTGATATCTATATCCAATATTATCCGACCAGGTGTGTAATAATGGGAACTTGATACTAATTGGAAATATACAGTGCTTGAACAACAAATCTGAAAGAAATCAAAGATGAAACATCAGAGGTGAATCCATCATTCACCTTCCCCAATTCAATAGTATACACAACCCCAGAAACCATGGACTAATACTGTAGGGGATTTACACATACTTGTGACCATTGGACGGGTGTGATATGATGGGCATGGGATTATGTCTCTAGATCCCATGAAATCACATGAAATCCCATCAAATGGGGTCATTTTGGTAGGTTAAACCCAATGAAATTCCATTGAATCCCCTTTCTTTCGGCACGAATTCTGAGGTCATCAGTTCTATCCTGCAGGTGGTTTTGTTGGGTGTGGCCCCCATGGTGACGCACGACGAAACCAAATCCATGAAGGCTTTGGGGTTTTCTGGGGTCTTGCGCTGAGGGGATGATATTTCTTGCAACCCAATATATGGGGATATCATTGGGATATAGTAGAGATTTGTATAGGGATGCCATAGGTATAAACCATGATAAAACCATGCAAAACTTTGATTTGCTGAGTAGTTGTTGTTTTTTCCGCCCCAGTGGTTAATCCACCATTTTGGGAATCTACCCAGGTTATTGTCTTGGTGCCTTGCTTTGTTGGTCGCTCCTGAGCAAATCAAGGAAAAGATGGGGATATACAATTGGCGATATTGTGGGGATATAGCCAGCAAGGATGTAGATAAACCATGATAAACCTACCATAATTCTGGATCCATGTTTTTGGAAGACTTTATACCGAACATGGATTGAAACTAAAGATTTAAATGCTGTAGAAAATTTGGGGTCGAACATGGGCCAAGCATAGGGATGCAATGGAGATTTAACCAACCCAAACAAAGCGACGATGTTGGTTTTGCAGGAAATCGGCCGACCGCGAACAAATCCCAAACTGGGTGTCTGTATATATATTTATATATACATATTATATATATATGTATATATATATATGTATATACATATGTATACATATCCACGTGCGTGTGTGCACCAAAATCATTAAGCAATTTGTTTGGTCAATCAAACTACTTCACTAACCAAAATTTTGTGTACCAGTCAGTACAGGATATATCTTCCAAGCCCACCGAAAAAGAAACAAAGACAATCTAGAGATTGACACGCACATACACTTACATCCTGTGGATGGTTGCGAAATCTTGCACCACCAAAAAGATGATTGAAAGCCGAAGTTAAAATCATGGGATGTTTTGGATGCTTGAAAGCCGAACAACATATCGAAGAAAATCGTGGGATGTTTACCATATAAACCATGGGATAAATCATGGGATAAACCAACATTTTCAAGAAATCATGGGATGTTTACCATCACCTGGTGGATTTCCGCAACCACGGAAGTTGGCCGATGTTCCCAGGCCATGGGATGGATCTTGGCCGTCTCCGTATTGAGTCCATTGGTGGTGGGCGACCTGACATGAAAAGCACTGGGGTGGCAAAAAAGTAGCCGTTTTAATGGTGAAAATGGTGAAAAGGTCAAAGAAACGCCTTCCAAAACTCTGGGAATGATGGAACTAAAATCTTTGGCTTGAATTGAAACCACAAGTGATAAGTGATCCATCAGACCGTCAGCTCTGAAAATCTCTCGGCCTTTTCAACAAACCGGCCGATCAACAACGGTCCGAGGACTTGCGGCGATTTGCTACTCATGGTTGCGCCATTATCGCCCAGAGAAATCCTTCGGAATTTTCCTTTGCCACCACAAGGGGGGCGCAGGGAGCCTGTGCCGCTTACTCAAGTTGCTGGGCGTCTTGATGCTTTGGAAGTTGGAGGGTTTAGGGATCTCAGGCGTGGGCCAGTGGGTGCCCCCTACATTGAAACATCGAAAGATGAGATTGTGAATCAATATGAATTGATGATGATGAGGATGATTGAGGATGAGGATGAGGATGGATTTGGTTGCGTCAACTACTTCGATGTAAACCTTTGTGGACAGGTTGGTGGTGGCCAAACACAGCAACACGGAAGTCTTTTTGGACTCTGATCAGTTGGAAGATTTGGATCTCATCTTCGCCTCTGGGCTGGTCTTGATGTGGGTGGTGCACCACCAAGAATTTTCCAGGGAACTCGGGAAAACCAGAGCGTTCAACAATTCAACGTTCAACTTTCATTGAATAATCTTCCCAAGTTGATTTCTTTGGAGCTTGATGATGTTGATGTTAGATTGACATTGTGTTGATGTTGATGATAGATTGAAATTAAAGTGGATGAACTTGGGATTTGGGACTAGGGGCGACTACATTACAAGCTACAATCAATGTTGCAAGCTCCATGAGGTTTGACATGGTTCTCGACATTGATGTAACTATGTCCCTATGTGCAAGTTTTACACATGACCACTTGGATAAGCACAATTTGATGAGCAAACATAAATTTGTTTTACTAGATATTAGACATTGATTATTTGATGGTTTTCCTCCAGATCCTTCTCCTCTAGGATACCATCCGCGTCAAGACCAAAAGTGTGGTGGTGGTGCTGACATCTGACTTACTGAAGCGAATGTGGTGTGCTGGTGTCACTCGGCTAAATTCCAGGAGGTGGCTGTCCGAATATGCCTGGGATGGGGGTGACATCGCGATTCAGATGATGGGGTCGTTTTGAAGATGCCATCAGAAATGGTTGGACATCCGCAGAAAATTCAATCGAAATCAATTGAATATATTGAGTAGGGAAAATGGCCAGAAACCATGAGGTAGGGTCGGGTTCCAAATATTTGAGACAACGCCTTTTCTTGTTGCCATTCCTGCTACAAATCATGAATTACCATAAGTATTGGCTAATGGCATTAATCTCTGAAGACGTGTTACCACCAAGGAAGCAGCTGAGAGCATAGCCGCGCTCCCCTCCCAACCTAGCAATGTAGAAAGTTCATGAAAGTTCACCATACAAACAGGATCGTTTTTCATACAAAATGGTGCGCAGACATCTGGATGGATAATTCTGATGATTACCGGCAGGTTTATCAGCGGGAGGAGCATTGGGTTCTACCAATTCCTAAACATGTTCCCATTTTTTGGTAACAGAGTCTGAATGAACTTAAGGAGCTAAATGCCTAAATATTCCCATTCAGCATGGTTAAGTTCTCCCCTTGCTTGCTGGAACAATTCCTACATGTTCCCATGTTTGATTGGTTCACTTCCAGTATTTTGCTGGGCATAACTGGCAAAACCTCATTTCTCGCGGGGTTCAACTGTGGTTTTGCGCAGGAAATTGTGACCGCCTGCAAGAATCGTGTGCGCACTGTGCCATTGATTTGCGATGGCTATCAGCCCTTGAAATTGGACACCAAGGAGGAGGATGACGGATGGAAAGCCAAAGCCATAAGCCATGCCCAATGACTTACCTCTAAATGAATGGGATTGGTTAATGGAATGGTTTGCCACAGTAATGACCATACTTACTACCCATTAATAACCATATCAATCATCATTATATAATAGAATGGGCTAGCGCCCTGGTGCCGCCGACCCCCCTATTGGGGGTGGTCCGGTAGAGAGAGAGAGAGAGAGGGATCATTGCGCTTAGAATTGTGATAGCTACAGGAAAGGTCTGCCGCGGCCTGAGTGGCGCCTGGGAGCTGCAGGGAAGGGTTTGGGGAGTTTTGAGGGCTGGCAAACGGCAGCCTTGAACGTCCATAAAAAGACGCTGCCACGGCCTCAGGGACTTGTTAGAGCTGCAGGAAAGGTCTGCCGCGGCCTGAGTGGCGCCTGGGAGCTGCAGGGAGGGTTTGGGGAGTTTTGAGGGCTGGCAAACGGCAGCCTTGAACGTCCATAAAAAGACGCTGCCACGGCCTCAGGGACTTGTTAGAGCTGCAGGAAAGGTCTGCCGCGGCCTGAGTGGCGCCTGGGAGCTGCAGGGAAAGGTTTGGGGAGTTTTGAGGGCTGGCAAACGGCAGCCTTGAACCTCCTTAAAAGGACACTGCCACGGCCTCAGGGACTTGTTGGAGCTGCAGGAAAGGTCTGCCGCGGCCTAAGTGGCGCCTGGGAGCTGCAGGGGAGGGTTTGTGGAGTTTTGGCGAGTTTTGAAGGCTGGCAAACGGCAGCCTGGGACCTCCGTAAAAGGACACTGCCACGGCCTCAGCGACTTGTTGGAGCTGCAGGAAAGGTCTGCCGCGGCCTGAGCGGCGTGTGGGAGCTGCAGGGAAGGGTTTAGGGAGTTTTGAGGGCTGGCAAACGGCAGCCTTGAACGTCCATAAAAAGACGCTGCCACGGCCTCAGGGACTTGTTAGAGCTGCAGGAAAGGTGTGCCGCGGCCTGAGTGGCGCCTGGGAGCTGCAGGGAAGGGTTTGGGGAGTTTTGAGGGCTGGCAAACGGCAGCCTTGAACGTCCATAAAAAGACGCTGCCAGGGCCTCAGGGACTTGTTGGAGCTGCAGGAAAGGTCTGCCGCGGCCTGAGTGGCGCGTGGTAGCTGCAGGGGAGGGTTTGAGGAGTTTTGAAGGCTGGCAAACGGCAGCCTTGAACCTCCTTAAAAGGACACTGCCACGGCCTCAGGGACTTGTTGGAGCTGCAGGAAAGGTCTGCCGCGGCCTGAGTGGCGCCTGGGAGCTGCAGGGGAGCGTTTGGGGAGTTTTGCGGGCTGGCAAACGGCAGCCTTGAACCTCCTTAAAAGGACACTGCCACGGCCTCAGGGACTTGTTGGAGCTGCAGGAAAGGTCTGCCGCGGCCTGAGTGGCGCCTGGGAGCTGCAGGGGAGGGTTTGTTGGAGCTGCAGGAAAGGTCTGCCGCGGCCGGAGTGGCGCCTGGGAGCTGCAGGGGAGCGTTTGGGGAGTTTTGAAGGCTGGCAAACGGCAGCCTTGAACCTCCTTAAGAGGACACTGCCACGGCCTCAGGGACTTGTTGGAGCTGCAGGAAAGGTCTGCCGCGGCCTGAGTGGCGCCTGGGAGCTGCAGGGGAGGGTTGGAGAGCCTTGCAACGTCCCATAAAAGGACACTGCCCCCGGACTCAGGGCTTGTTGGAGCTGCAGGAAAGTCTGCCGCGGCCTGAGTGGCGCCTGGGAGAGGCAGGGGAAGATTGGCGAGTTTTGCGGGCTGGCAAACGGCAGCTTGAAAGTCATTAAAAAGGACACTGCCCCCAGGGGGGCCTCAGCGGACTGTTGGAGCTGCAGGAAAGGTCGGCCGCGGCCGAGTGGCGCATGGGAGCTGCAGGGGAGGGTTTGCGGGGAGTTTTGAGGTGATGGCAAACGGCAGCCTTGAAACGTCCATAAAAAGACGAGGCAGGGCCTCAGGGACTTGTTGGAGCTGCAGGAAAGGTCTGCCGCGGCCTGAGTGGCGCCTGGGAGCTGCATGGGAGGGTTTGGCGAGTTTTGAAGGCTGGCAAACGGCAGCCTTGAACTCCTTAAAAGGACACTGCCACGGCCTCAGGGACTTGTTGGAGCTGCAGGAAAGGTCTGCCGCGGCCTGAGTGGCGCCTGGGAGCTGCAGGGGAGGGTTTGGGGAGTTTTGAGGGCTGGCAAACGGCAGCCTTGAACGTCCATAAAAAGACGCTGCCACGGCTTCAGGAACTTGTTGGAGCTGCAGGAAAGGTCTGCTGCGGCCTGAGTGGCGCCTGGGAGCTGCAGGGGAGGGTTTCGCGAGTTAGGCGAGTTTCGAAGGCTGGCAAGAGGCAGCCTTCAACGTCCATAAAAAGACGCTGCCACGGCCTCAGGCACTTGTGAGAGCTGCAGGAAAGGTCTGCCGCGGCCTGAGTGGCGCCTGGGAGCTGCAGGGGAGGGTTTGAGAGTTTTGAGGGCTGGCAAACGGCAGCCGTTGAGGGCCAAAAGACGCGCCAGGCCATTAGGGGACTGTGGCGAGCTGCAGGAAAGGTCTGCCGCGGCCTGGCGCATCGGGAGTGAGGAAGGGTTTTGGGGGGTTGAGGGCTGGCCAAACGGGCAGCATTGAACGTCCATTAAAAGACGCGCCACGGGCCTGCAGGACTTGTTGGAGCTGCAGGAAAACGGAAAGGTTTCTGCCAGGCCCTGCTAGCTTGAAGTGGAGGTGGGAAGCTGCGGGAAGGGTTGCGGAGTTTGAGGGCTGGCAAACGGCAGCCTTGGACACATCCTTAAAGGAAAACGGCACTCAGGGACTTGTTGGAGTTGCAGGAAAGGTCTGCCGCGGCCTGAGTGGCGCCTGGGAGCTGCAGGGGAGGGTTTGGGGAGTTTTGCGGGCTGGCAAACGGCAGCCTTGAACGTTCATAAAAAGACGCTGCCACGGCCTCAGGGACTTGTTAGAGCTGCAGGAAAGGTCTGCCGCGGCCTGAGTGGCGCCTGGGAGCTGCAGGGGAGTTTTGAGGGCTGGCAAACGGCAGCCTTGAACCTCCTTAAAAGGACACTGCCACGGCCTCAGGGACTTGTTGGAGCTGCAGGAAAGGTCTGCCGCGGCCTGAGTGGCGCCTGGGAGCTGCAGGGAAGGGTTTGGGGAGTTTTGAGGGCTGGCAAACGGCAGCCTTGAACGTCCTTAAAAGGACACTGCCACGGCCTCAGGGACTTGTTGGAGCTGCAGGAAAGGTCTGCCGCGGCCTGAGTGGCGCCTGGGAGCTGCAGGGAAGGGCTTGGGGAGTTTTGAAGGCTGGCAAACGGCAGCCTTGAACCTCTTTACTGCCACGGCCTCAGGGACTTGTTGGAACTGCACAGGGTCTGCCGCGGCCTGTTGCGTTTTGGAACGCCGTAGAAACAGAGATTGCTGTGGCATGAGTGGCTCGTGGGAAGTGCACAGAAATTGCTGTGGCCTGAGTGGTTCCTGGGCGGTGAACAGAGGGTGCTATGGCCTGGGTGGCTCGTGGAAAGTGTAAAGCATTGGGAACGAAAAAAAGTTCCACACCTGCGGTGGTCCCAGGCGCCGCCCCTGCCTTGGCTAAGGCAGGGGTCGGCGGATAAGGATTAACCACCATGAGTGGGTTGTAAATGTTTTTTGGGATCCCTGGATGATATTTGTTGATTAGTATTGTTATGTATTGTTAATGTGGGTTTACCGCATTGTATCCCAAAATGCTGATGAACCTGGTGGATAGCTAGCAAACATCTCTATTTGCAACTGAAAATGTTTGGGTTGGGCGGTTAAACCCTCAAAGAATATCGAACAATATATAGGTGCCCAGCAAGATAGGGAGAAACAACAACACATGGAGATAAAGCATGATAAAGCAGCAACGATAGTAATTGTTGAATTATGTTTCGTATTGAGATCTGTCAGGAGGGTAGTATTGAGTCATGTACAAAAGCATGGGATGATTGATGATGATGATGACGACTTTAATAACATAGGCCCACATTGTTTTGATTCCAGTTCGATTTGCAAGGCCATGTTCCATCAAGACGGGTTTTTCCACCCAAGTGATTGACCTGGACGATGTGTACCATCCAATGGTTGAAGATCTCATGATATCTCATGTGCCCCAGTCTTGCATTGATATGATATATGACCGCATCAAATGTGTTTGGAGAATTCTTGTAATCCACCTATTGTACTGACACTAAGTATTTTCCATAAATTATCCTGCAATATCCCATGATTATTGGTACTCAAAAACCGGAACTTTTGGAGGAGATCGAAACCTTTTGGACAGTGCAGCAGAAGCAGATCTTGGCCTATCATGGTATCAACATGTCAGATGTGCACTCCGTCGCTGGCCTCGGCTGTGATGGTGAGGGATACCAGGGATACCCCAAGTTATCCAAGATATCCAACTGGTGGATCATTTCTTCCCGTATGAATATGACTATTTGGAGGTGAGCATATGAGTATACATATAACCTATATATATATATACAAACAATATTATTACTTGATTTTTTAAGGGCCAACTTTCCGCTTGGTGTGGCATGTTCTCCTAGAGAGGAACTCAACCATGTCTCTATCATAGATATACGGTTTATTAATCACAAAATATCACATACCATTAGCCATCGTTCATTATATAATAACAGTCATCATCGTCGTCGTTATCATCATCATCATCATCATCATCATCGTCATCGTCATCGTCATCGTCATCGTCATCGTCATCGTCACCGTCACCGTCACGGTCACCATCACCATCACCATCACCATCACCATCACGATCACGATCACCACCACCATCACCATCACCGTCACCGTCACCGCCACCGTCACCATCACCATCCCCATCATCACCGTCATCAGCAGCAGCAGCAGCATCACCACCACCACCACCACCATCACCACCACCACCAGCAGCAGCAGCAGCAGCATCAGCATCAGCATCAGCATCAGCATCAGCATCAGCATCCTCATCATCATCATCATCATCATCCTCATCATCCTCATCATCCTCATCATCCTCATCATCCTCATCATCCTCATCCTCATCCTCCTCCTCCTCCTCATCATCATCATCATCATCATCATCACCATCACCATCATCATCATCATCATCATCATCATCATCATCCTTGTGAGTAATTGAATAATTGAATAATGATAATCATCATTATTTTCTTCTTCATCATCACCACTGTGAATCATCATCCTTCATTTTTATAGAAGTATTGATCATTATGATTAAGCATGATGGTTAACCACTATTAACCACTATTAACCATTCCTAACCATCACCCTGCGGATGCTATGCGATGCCCATCCGCCGCAGCTGCGCCAAGGCTTACCTCTGGCTCCGAGACGACTTGGAGCCACTTCACTTGGCGCGTTTTGGCACGCCCAGTCAGCGCGAAGAGGTGCCACTTGGGCGGGTTTCGCCATGTGGAAGCAATGGGAAAAAAAAACAATGGATTGTTTGGGTTGATCATCATTTTTTATGTCAACATTTTTTGGGTATACATAACCCCTATTTTCAGAGACATGGTTGTTTTTTTAATGTGGGGTTGTGATTTACAAAAACGTGGATTGTACAGACAACATGGCGATGATTACATGTTTTCCCAACAAAAGTGCGTTCAACAAACGAGTTGATCATGGTTGATCCAAGGACCTACGGTAGTTATGTCATGTTGTATCCACCAGCTCTTACACTTATATGAATGTGGCCTCCTCAAGTTAGTTTGTTTATAACATTTTATAACCCCATCAACAACTATAGATATCACTTATATCCTCCATAAACATCCATAAACCCTAGTTCGCCAAAATTATATAAGTCAACTCCAGTAACATCCCCAGTGAGATCCAGTCAAATCCATTCGGATCGGGACCGCACTGGACCGCAGGTGGTCATTCAGATGCTCTCCCGCACGGCTGTGGGGATGCGACTCTTTCGGCCCTCGGTGGGTAAGAGCCTTGGCCGCCTTGGCCACGCCCAAAAAGGTGGAGAAATGTGGAGAACATGTCGACGACGTGTCAGTGAAAGTTGTTGGTTGATGGTCATGTTGAGGCATAAAATTTGTTTGTGAGTTAAATCAATGATTACTCACTTTCTCCAGAAGGAATCCAAGATCCAGCTCGAAAGCTAAGTTATGTCCCAAGTGGACGCTATAAATTTCTATCTGTAGGGCAAACCCTTGGAAGCCCCGGCAAAGATAGAATGGGTGTGGCTCCGAGAGCCGGGAAACTTCCAGCAGGCAAGGTGTTCAATTTTGGGTTGTCATTGATTTTGGGACAGTGTGACGCAGATGATTTTATTCAGGATGCAGGGTCAAAAGTCGACATGAGTAAGCAAGTGTATGAATGCTTGAAGATAGCACCTTGGCTGAATGCAAACTGAATGAGGGTGAGCCCTAAAGAATCTTCGACATCTACCGCCATGAGCACTTGAATTTCCGCTTGACAGCAGTCAAAACATGAAACGGTTCACCTCAGGATTTATTACCCTACAGGCCGGGTTGAACGGTTTCAGTTATACATTTCAACAGCAAAAAACCTGATAGAAGCCACGAACCCGAATGCATTTTTAGCATGTTACGGAGAAGTGAAGTCATAGACAGTTACGCACTTTTTTACCCCGCAACAGCTGCGCGATAGTGAAGTCGTAAAGCTCGAAGCACCTGACGAAGAATGCATTCACTGGACATAATACATTCACCTAAAGCACCTAAAGCGATAGTGAAAAACCGGACAGTGTAATACATTCACCTTCTACAATGAGTGAATGATGCAATTGCAACATCACTCTGAGCCACTACGGCGAAACAGATGCAAACAGGGTTTGCGCAACCAAAGCCCACCTGCGCAGCAGCGAGACTCCGTGGAACCAGGATTGATGTTACTCAGATACTCCAGAAGGAACCCAAGATCCAGCTAGATAGGGGGAAGTCATGTTCCAGTCCCAGGTGTTTCCGAGAAGTGGGACTTAGCGTGATGCGGGTGATTTTCAGGATGCAGGCTAAAGAGTCTACTTGAGTAAGTATGAATGCTCCAAGAGAACACCTTGGATGCAGGACTTGTGTTATTTCATGTTATTTCATCATCCGCAAAGTGAATGCAAATTGAGTGAGGGCGAGCCCGAAACAATCTTCGACACCGCCATGAGCACTTCAATTTCCGCTTGACACCAGTCAAAATTGGAAAGTCTTCACCTCAGGGTTTATTCTGACATGTTGCCGAGATCAATTTGTAGACAAAGAATTCATCCTCAGGTGCCCCCCCTCCCCTGTCCGGGGAAAAAAACGGTCAGGAAATCCAAAGTGAAGGCGCGGATATTGATCACTGGCTCAGATTCTTGGCTCAGCGTGGCTCCATCGGATTGAGCCCATCGGATTGGTTTGCTGGGTCCCAAGGGGGACCAATCCATTGATCCAAGACTGTTGAGGCTTACCTGAGTTAACTGGTTTGCAGATCCTGTGGTTTGGCTTCATTATGGTGTTAGACCATATGATGTCGGGAATCTCTGACGTCGAATATGGTATTTCTAATGCAAGAGTTAGCAACTTAGAGAAGTATAATGACAAGTCCTCTTGTTTCCCACATGCTGATGGCTAAATTGTCTCAAACTGACCCTCCAATTTGTTCCGAATTGGTGGTGGTTGGTGGTTAAGTCAAGCAACCCTTCTGGCTGGGAAATCCACCAAAACACCAAAAGGTCTTCATGCTGGAGCCCCAGTATGGAAATCACCATGAAATGGGATTCCCCTTATTGAAGTGACATTGTTGGTCAATTACATCCTCATCAATTTTTTGATGTTTATATAACTATATCTCAATATATCCTCATAAAAATCCATGAGCTATATCATCTATAACATTGACAATGGGATGATATTATTTTATCTATGAACTATATCTCATTATATCATCCTATTGTCAATGTAAAATCCCCAGAAAATATCACCATCGAATTTTGGATCAAAAAATCCAGTCGTCCAGTCATGTCCAGTCACCCAGGTGAGCGATGCAGAGGCATTGGCCACCTTGGAATCTTGGGGCCGCGGTGGTCCATTCGACTGGTGGCCGTTCTGTGGTGAACCAATTCATGATATCTGAGAAATATCGTGACCATATAATGATTATAATTGGATAATTTATGATAATTCTGATAAGTGTTAATCATAGGATAATTGAGCAGGGTTATAGTGGGATAGTTGAGTAGTGGTGCTAAACCCCTGTTGGTTGATGATGATAAGGAATTATATTCACGAATGCATTGGGGATAATAACAATCCATGCGGGGAGTCCCGTTCTTTTTCAAGCAGTATGTTATTATGGGACGACGCAGGCTTTTCAACACTGTGCAACTGGACATGTTGGGGTTGTAACTCAAATTATTCTTAACTTTCATATATTTTCATATACTCTCATGCTATTACCATGTTCCAAGTGAACAAAAAGGTGAACAGAAACAATCTTTGTGTTTGCAGCAGTCGGAGGTTGGGAGTTCGAGTGGATAAATAATGGCAGCAGGGATTTACGGGGCTTTATATTGTTGCATTTAATATTATTGAACGGTTGAACGGTTTTTATTGCAGCTGTTCTTGTCAACCAAGGAAGTCTTCCAGCATTTGGTTACGAAGGAGATGCAGAAAGAGTGCGCAGTGGTCCGCTCTGCCCGCGAATTGCTCGCCTACAAACCCTGGGCCTACTACTTTGTAGTGCCTGGAAGAAGCAGATAAGATGGGTCAAAACCGGTGATGGCTCAAATCTGATGTTAAATTGGCTCTCTTTTGAACCCACATATTTTAAACAAAATGTTTTTGAACCAAGTTGAAATCCACAAACTTTATCAACATTGAGATCCCCATTCTTCTTGCCAAAATCCGCAGAACTTCAGGTCCTCTTCTCTCGGGGCATTCTGCAAGACCCTGGTTTCGCGGAGACCTTGCTGAGTACCTACGTGGAGGGCGTGGAGGGCGAAGAGCAGGAACGGCAATTGGAGATGGTCACGGTGAATGTTGCTGGGCATCCCATAGGTCTCTCTGGTTAGCCGGTCAGGTGTGAGGATTCCTGAACAGGGATGAAATATATGACATCCAACACCTAAACCAGCCGAACCCCCCATAAATATCCATCAATTTTGAGTCATTCATCATTCAGCTTCCGTTGTCCATGTTCGTTTTTAGGGGGTTGGCATGTTGGTGAGGTAGAAAAAGACGCGTTGGCAAGGCAGAACGGCACAAATGACAAACCCAAGAAACTTCAATGGAGACCACAAGATTGAATAGAGCGTCCATATTTCGATAGTGTTCCCCTGAACTTTTGAGCAAATGCTCCGGGTTCTTTGAGTGTGTTTGTTTACAGGACATGCGCTATTGAAGGGTAAAAGCCAGATGGTTTGCTGATGGTCTGGGTGTTTTTGGGATGTTTGAGCCAAAAGCGTATGCCAATCAATCATGAATATTGAATATTGGCCGATGCAGTCCCTAAATGTGAATTCTGAATTTGAGATGGCAATGGAAAATCTTCCAGTTGAATATGCAATAGACGCTTTGCATACTGAAGCTGGGGCTTCCCATTGTTTTTGTTTAATTACCATAGGATAGATATGGATAGATAGGTTTCCCTGCTTGCGACAAGCTTCGATATGTCCAAGAGGCATAGCTTGGGTTAATTCCATTCAATTTCCTTGAATACACTGCCATGTGCTGGAGCAATACCTCATCAATGAAACAGCGTGTCATGCTGCATCATTGATATACAGTACCCGTTGGTGACCATTCGGCTGAAGGCTTTGCAGAATTGTTTCCTTCCTCATTCCTTATATTTGGGTTGAGCACAATCCAGTCAACTAAACTCCCGAAGATGCATTGGAACTTCAAAGTGGTTCCAATGGGCTGGTGGCATTGGATTTTGATTAATGATTAATGCGAAGATATGCCAAGTCACCCCCATATGTTTGAAGATATTTAGCTTCCAACTTCCAACATCTTTGTTGCTTCCCATTCTCGCAGACCCTGAGGCTGATACATCATTCGAATTTCCCAGCCCAGAATTCCTCACTGATTTGGAGAAGAATGGTCACCTGCCTGCAGATGGGAAGAATGAGCACAACTTCACAAAGAACTGACTATTGTGTTACTGTGGCCTTTGAGCTTTCAATTGACTAAGCGCAGTCATACCCAACTGACGATACTGCTTGTCTTAAGTGCGTTATATATGTATATATACATGAATTATGCTATATATATTATACATATTAGATGTGTGTGCATAGAGCTTGTTGAACAATCACCGAGCGGAACCCTAGCACGTGGGCAACGAATCTCCCTCCATCATTGGGATGTAACGTCCAGCTGTCCAGGTCGTCATTTAAATGCCAAAATACCGGATGGCTGATACCCTTGGTTATATAAAATATAGATCTAGATTATATAGCCATAGCTAGGGAGATATGTATAGATGACCCATTGGCTTCCTTGATTTTTATAGATGATTGACCAAATTATTGAAAAACATTGTTTTTCATAGCTATATGTTGGCCAGAGGGCACACTTTCAGGAGGACATATGGTACCTGTCTTTTGGCTACCGATTCCAATCGAAATCCAAGGGACCATGATTGGCATGAATCCAAAATTAGTCAGAGCTGAAGGATTGAGGGGATACATGTTGCAATCACCATGGCTGGAGTCATGGCGTACCGGACCTGCCGCTAGATTTCCTTGATTTTGTTATCCCGTGACGAAGGGCATTTTTTTCCGCTGCGAAGTGTGTTAAATTTGGAACCGAGAATGGGACGATGTTCAATTCCCTATTGAATCTATTGATATTGCCATAAATATTTGGCGAAATACATCATACCAAATTTTATTGAGGGAAGTAATCACCAAAGTGTCCCCATTTGGTGTTATATGAATGGGGGAGGGGTTCATCGTGGTAGACCCAATAGTTAAATATGATACATATGATACACATCAATAAACCATAATCACATAATCACATTAATATGATACATATTACATATTAATAAACCATATCAATATATATATATATAGATATATACATATTCATATCAATTTATTAATTGTTGGAGCATAGTTTTTGTTCACATAACATGGTGCATTTTTCAGCCATGTCATGTCAGCCATGTCCGGGTCATCCAAAGGGCCGAGTCGCTCCAAGGTCTGGGACATGTGGGTCCTGACCTCGGAGTTCCTTTGTCGCAGGCCTATCGCGCGCTGCTGTAGCTTGGCCCAAGATGGACGTAGCCTCTGGTAAACATCCAAAAAACGATGGAAAATCACAGTTTTTAATGGGAAAACTCACTATAAATGGCCATTTTCAATTGCTATGTAAGTTTACCAGAGGGTAGCCTACTTGATTGCCATTTCTCTTTACTGAGATTGTTTGCATGTTATGCATGTTACACTGCGTGCTTTTTGGGCGGAGGTTCTTGCAAACAGTGTAGGTCACTGATGTCAGAAAGGAAGTCTGTCAGGAAACGCGGTGCGTCTACCGCGTTGCCAGGAATGTCTTGGCATTGCCATTGTCACCAATGGGCTCCGAGGGGCTACTGGATGCTTGGCTTTGAAGCGATTGCCAGTCAGCCTGTGAACATCTCCCATAGTATCTGAAATGATGATATATATATATATATCTTATACATTATATATATATTATATATAATTATATGTATATATATATATTATATCCCAAAGGCCTCAAAAAATCCTCTTCACAAAGGCAGACTCAACTAGCAACGAGTCGCAGAATTGGATTTAGGCTGGGTCAATATTGTTATGTAAAAACGCATGCTCCTGTTAAAAGAACATGAAATCAATGCAATTTACGGATGAATAGGTCCTTATTTGTTGCATCATCTCCCCATGTGGGTGAGTATAGAATCCCAAACATGTGTGCTTATCACCAACAAAATTATTAAATCAATTCAAATCACATTTGGTTACTGTAAAATCACCGCGTTTTGGAGATGGAAAATCAACAAATTTGACCAGTCTTGATGTTTGTTGTGGCTTACCAGCGGGCGTGGCTAAGGAGAAGCAAGTGTCGGAGATTTGTCGCCGCTTCCGGCGCTACAAAAACGCGGTGTTTGCGGCTGGACGTGGAAACGAATGGGGATTCGTTCTTAGCGTCGGACCTCGTGATCCTGAAATTGGAGCTGAAGTTGGAGTGGGATTACTGTAACATTTGGGATTCTCACGAATATTGAAATGGATTGAACATTGGGGGCATGGTTAAGGCCCTTTAAGGCTCTGGTTCAGGAGGTTTCAATAGATCCTAGTGATGGAAACAGCAAGTTCCTCCACTTTCGGCATGGCAGTGACAAAGATTATGATGCCATGGTGGTTGGAACTTGCTGTTTCCATCACTAAGATCTATTGGTGTTGCTGTTTCCATCACTAGCTGTGGTCACTTTCATGGTTATGATGGTTCTGATGCCGGATGGTGATGATGTCGATGATGCTGGCGGTGTTGGTGGTCGGTGGTGCCTGGTGGTGCTTAGGCAATGGCCTTGGATGATGAGGATGACCGAAAAACACCAGGTCGCTCGGGTTCCGCGGGTTCCGAACCAGGGTGATGGAGACATTCAGGTTTTTTGTGAGTCATTTTTACACCAAGAAAAGGTGGAACAGATTTATTCATCATAACTTATCACTATTTTATGATTCAGATTTAAAAAAAAACAACTTTGTGGCAAATGCATGCAAATGCAGTATCAATGGGTTAAATTATGATTGACCCATTTACATATTATTTTTCCAGCTATAAGCCTCATTTTATCAGTTTATTTCCAGGCAGCCATGTTGATGACACCAGAGGGCAATCATCATTTTTGGTTAAATCATCATCTATCATTTCTGGGCCATGGCTTCCATAGCTATGCTAGTCTTAACTAGAGGCTACTAGCTGGAATGGCAACGTTAAGGAGTATTAGCCATTAGCAAGCATTAACCATTATTCAAAGATTATTTATTAATCACTATTAAGTATAGCAATAAATATTGAATACTCGTAACATTAACCATTAACATTAACTTTCAACATTTTTTTAACATTAACTATTAAATTCACTATTGGCATTAACTATTATCTTTAAGTTTCACCATTAACTTTTAACATTAACTTTTAACATTAACTTTAAATATTAACTCGTAACATTAACTATCAACGTTCACTTTTACCATTAACTTTTAACATTAACTAATAACATTGCGTATTAACATTAACTTTTAATATTAACTATTAGCATTAACTATTAACATTGACTATTAACATTAACTTTTAACATTAGCTTTTAACATTAACTATTCGCATTAACTATTAACATTGATTATTAACATTAATTTTTAACAGTAACTATTAGCATTAACTAGTAACTTAAACTATTAACGCTATTGATCATTATAACTAATTACCACTATTGATAGCATTCCAGAGCCATGTTTACCGCCACCGGTCTCCAGTGGAGGTGATGGCGTTGACCCAGAGGAAGTCTTGCACCTGTCGGCCGAAAAGGAGGAGACGGTTTTTCCGCTTGGGAGAAATTCTAAGCCGAGGGTTTCACCAAAAGAAGTGGTGTAGGGGTTACCCGGCCTGGTAAACGTTAACATAACGAAGTGGAAAATCACCATGCTATTAATGGGAAACTCACTATTTTGTGGCCATGTTCAATAGCTATGTTAAATTACCAGAGGGTACACTCCCCATTGAATCTTAGGGATGATCACAATCCAACTGGGAAGGAACATGACTTAATTTAACCCCCCAAAAAAATCCGAGATGGCGATGGAGAGAGAGAGAGAGAGGGGACATCTATTTAACCATAAACCGATATTTAACCAAGAAAAATGGGTAGCCAAGCAAAACCGTGCATTTCATTAAACCATATTTTAACCAAAAGAAATGGATGAAATGGTGATTTAACCAACGAACAAATGCATTTAATCCGGAGAAATGGTTATGATCAACCAACGAAAATTCTAGTTTTTTCTACCAGATACGATGGCACAATGGGGATATACTGGCAATACATATTAAGCGGAGATAGATAGAACATTTTTTATAGGTTCCCGGGGTAAGTTCAACTTTGTAAAAATAACCAAAACAGGTTTGCAATAAACTAGCAAATAGAATTGTGCTATATGGTTTTCTTGCAGTACATGATATTCTATTTGTTAAACTGTGTGTATGTATATATTTATATACATATATATGTGTGTACATGTATGTAGTTGATATTTGTTGTTGTTCTTTTCCTATCATGAGTTACCATTGCGCTATATGCGTTTGTCAGGCGCACAGGCTGTGTTTGTGTAGAATATTTTGTGTCGGTGTTGAAAGCATTGCAGCTGAACATGCGATGGATGCACTATGTCTGATAAGGCATGGTTTGGAACGGTTAGGTTAGGTGTGTGTGTATTTTTCATGTTGCTTTGCGATAGTTTTTCAAATTGTTTGAAAATTGAGACGTTTAACGAATACATGTTGCTGTATGTTTTTAAAAATTGAAATAAAAATGATTAAACATCAACAGATAGAATATTCCAGCTACATGGAGTGCCAGCTTTGCTGGCAAGCCGAAAAAAGGAACAGACATGTTTCAAACATATGTGCGTAACCATGTATTCAGGCCATGTTGTTTGTAAACCAATGATATGTTGATTAAGCATCCATTTTTGCCAAGATCCCCAATTCTTCAAGCCATGCGCGAGACGAGGACCCACTTCATGAAAAAGGCCGAGACAGTGTAAAACGCCGCATCGGTCAGTCACCAGCGCTGCATGTGTTTGTTTTTTTCTCGGTGCCTGGATGAGAGGGTTAAGTAGTCTTCCAAGGCCCAACTCATGGCAGGGTCTATGTTTCAATGGATTGCAGGGAAAATCTACGCCGGAAACCATGGATTTTCCCATTAAATATAGGGGCTTTCCTGTAAAAAAATCCGTGAAACCAAATAAACCAACCCATTGATGTTGCCAATACAGAAACTTCCACTTCCAGGACCACCCAAGTAGGGCGGCGGTGTTAGTTCAAGGGTTGCTGTCCATGAAAAAGAACAATTTCGCACACCTTGAAAGCGACCTCGAAAACAAACTATGGGTAGTAGGAAATATCATCAAACAAAAATCCCTTAGATATGTTTGGTTAACTGCAACGCAGGGTTCCCAACCCATTTTATATATATATATAGTTATATAGATTCATTTTAAATCAGATGTTGAATTCCGCTACAAATTGGCCAAGGGCTTTGGGGGCCTACTGTATTTGGTTCCCAATAGGCTTTGATCAGTGTTTCTGCCTCTGAAATTAAATTGGCTATGGCTAGATCGCAACCACTATACTGCGCTACAGTGAACCCAAGCGCAAGCATTCGCAAGCGGATAGCTGAACCGGTGCTTCTTCCACTCCAAGTAGGTGTTTGCGGTGAATCTTGTGTACTTGGGGTTCCATCTTGGTCCTTCGAAAGGCGCTTCTCAATGCAATCTTGTCCGTTTCCATCAGGGTGCTTTTGTATAGTAAAACCATGTAAGACCATTTTGAAGAATTTTAGGGCTGACATAGGCTTAACATATTTCAAGATACATTCACAATTGGGTAATCTCGTTGGCTTAACATTGACATGACAGGAATTAGTAATAATTATGTCTTTTGGTTATTTTGGCTGACTTAAGATGCTTTACCCCGAAAGACCGCATTGTTGAAACACAAAAATCAAATCCTCACGTTTTATAGGGTACATTCCAATTTTTGCTGGTCAGAGTAGATCAGAATTCGAATATGTGGGCTGCCGATCCCTTGGTGGCACATCACGGTGCTCAGAAATCCCATAACATCACGGGCAAAAAATAACCATCCCATAAGCCATATCCCCATGGATCATGATGGCCCATCATGGGATACAGAAATCCACAACATAATCCAAGACCATGATGGATATATATGAATTCCATGAATATATATATATGAATCCCATGAAAGATCATGAAATATCATAATCACAGAATCATCAAATAATCCATGAATCCTTTCTGAAAATCACCTTTAAAATCCATAAATCCCATGGCTTTTCGGCTGGATCACCGCTGCGAGGTCCGTCGCCTGGACGGCTGCGGGTGCATTGGTCGAGCTGGAAGCCGACTTGGATCGATGCTGGGACCATGGCGAGGGGATGGAATCCCGATTGACCCGCTGGTAAAGGTTTACATAACTATGGAGGATCAGCATATGGGTAAATCAGCTAAATGGTCATGTTCAATAGCAAACTATTAAATTACCAGATGGTAAGGGTGATTTAAGGGTGAAATTTAACGGGTGAAGATGGTGAATAATGATGACTTAAAAGGTGAAGGCAGTGGAACAACAGACCATTTGACCAGACTGGTAATGTTTCAGTAGTTTTACGGGGACGATCATGATGATCATTTTGATTCACAACCAAAACGTGAAGGGTTGGTTAATTACTTACAGTAATTGGCCTATTCTTTTAGGGCCATAGCTCTGGATTTTTTTTGGTGGTTCACATAAAAATTACATACGCAGATTCGATGGATAGTTAGATGAATAGGTAGAAAATTAAGTTATAGATTGGATTGTTATAGTACCATCCGAACCCAAGAAGTCTACAAAATTGCAGTACTTTGATGAAAGATCGTCTTTTGAGCATATTTTATAAAAAGGTCGTCTTTTTGCCAAAAATTCGTCTTTTCTTGAAAATTCCTGACAACCCCATGTTTCCATGGTTTTGGAAGGGATCTTAAAAGGTATACCTGCATAATTTTTATGTTTATCCTGATGCAGTCTTATTTTCCACACCATTTTGTATCTATTATTTATGTGTCCTCATCTTTAGATAGATAGTCCCATCTATGATGCCCACAACATTACAGTATAGTGCCAGGAAACGAGGAAACAGCTCAGCGATCAGTCATTACAACTTTCATCGTGTTGATGGTGCCCAAATAACTGTATTTTCTGGAACCCGTAGAAAACCCGTACAAAACCCGTAGAATCCCACAGTGCAATTCGAAAAGACCGTTTTTCCACACGGTTTGGAAAAAAGATCGGCTTTTGCCTTTTGCTAGCCCGTGGAAAACCCGTATTTTGGCCGTGGAAACCCGTAAAAACCCGTCCGAAAAATATGGGTATTTGGTAGTTTCTGCGGGTCCCGGCATAATGTGCTCCCGTATGTTTTTTAGGCCTCCTTAGCATCTCATATAGTTTCAAATTCGATAATCGCAATTGGTGAAACATTTCTGACGATGTGAAGGTAAAACAGAGAAGTGGATTGTATCCCGTCAAAATGCCATAAATGTCTCATCCAGAATGTTCACGGCATTTTGATGGTATGTTTGTATATTTGGCACAGTCTTGGAAATAGCTGATTTCCAAAAGTTCGACTTTTTTGGGAAAAGATCGCTTTTTCCATGTTTTTTCCAAGGTGTCTGAGATTTCAAGGGTTTTTGGATCCCATGGTAGGTTATATTGGATTATATTGGATCGATATATACAGATTATGCAAAGATGAGCAAATACTTATTAGATACTTATAGGTATGTACAACAGATAGATGATTGCCAGGTCGCAAAATTTTCGACGTGGAATCGGTGCCTTCTTTGCCTTCAGATCAAAGTAATCTCGATGGGCCAGGCGTGGCCCGTTTTTTCATTTTTTATGTGTCGGAAATTAGGACATACCCCCAATAGGCTCTCATAGGCTATGATGTTTAATAGGAAGTAGCTAAATTTAGATTAAGTTTAAAAGGGCAACTGATGATTTTATGAATGGGTGCATTGGGGGTAGCCTGTGCAAACCGACCAACCCAGGTAACCCAGGCAGCCAAAAACATGTCAGCGTCCCCAAGTCGCCAAGGATATGGCGATTCAAATTCTCAAGGGGAGCCAAGCGGCTACTATAAGACTCTCGCAACCACATGATAGAGATATCACAGCAACAAAGTGGGTATAAGTGAGTGGTGTGAGTTTTATAAGAGCTATTATTATCAAGCATTTCAGATGAATCCGCATGGTTGTAGTATTCTAGTAAATAGGGGAAGTAACTCAACCAGAGTGCTGAAATCACTAGCCGCTAATCGCTAAATTTAGTTAATGGATATCCATGGAACATCAACAACAAAATGAGGTCCTTGTCCAATGGACCATTTACTGCAACCATCGCAATTGTTTACATGGGACATGATGATAAAAGCTTGTGAGTCTAGAGGTGTCCCTTGTTCGGAGACCTGGGATAAGACCCCAATGGATGGGCGGAAGTCCTGCCGAGACGATCCACGCCCCAGAAGTTCTAGACCCCACGCCCCACTTCTGAACCATAGTAAAGAACATAGGTTTGTAATCTCATTCCCAGCAAAACTTTTCAGTTTGGCAATGTTGACCTGGGATTTTCATGAACAGCTCCCTTTACAGCAACCCCTATAAATAAAGTGGCACCGGAACATTAATAAAACAAACAAGCTTTGCTGAGCAAATTGAATACGAACAAATCATTCAAGTGGGGATCCAAGTATCGCTGAACAAGTTGCCTAATTGAAAACGATTACATATTGAGAAGGAATGTGCCTATTTGAAACTGACATGGACTTATTTTAAATGGGTTCAAGTTGAATTAGAATTGATGTTTCTTTCGGATTTTTAGGCAGGTTCTCAGAGTTGGAGCACTTCATTCACTTGATTCAAGGGTCCTAATAAGTATGTAAGTTACCTCAAAGTATATTCACCCCGAATCCCAACGGAAAAAATATGTTACTTTACCATATAATGGGGGTAAACATGGTACAACATGGTACAACATGGTGCAACTGTAATTAGTTCCGAGGTGGTTCAAGGCTACCCCCTTTGCGCTTGTTTTTTTTGCATTTCTGAACTTGAATAAGGGGTTTCAAAAGAAATGGATGCATTCAGATCTGTGGGGGCATTTTTCAGAATTTAAGTTTCCTTCTGGACCACTGCTTCACTGACCACATCTCCAGAAAATCCTGCCACCCCCAAAAATTATCTACAAAACAAACACCACCGCAGTTGGCTTACTTTATTCACAGTGTCACAGGGCCCTTGATTATTGCCGCCGACGACGGTGGCTTACTTTGATCGGAGTGGATTTATTAATCCCATTTGAACATTTTATTGTAATATTATATCCAAAAAAGAGTTAGTTAGCTGGCCAAACATTTGGACTTAGACCATCTTCGACCATCTTGGGCCATCTTAGGCCAGTATCTCTAAATGGGCCATCTATATACAACTTGGTTGAACTGCCGGAGCTCCCCCCAGACCCCAGGACACCCCACTCTCCTGGTCGCTTCCCCGCCAGATCCTCCCTTGGTGTCTGTGACCTTGGGAGACAGCGACGAATATTTGATCAGAGAGCGGTTCTGATAGGGAGAGCTCACCAGATATGGAGGATTTCACAAGCGAAACACCAATGGGTTTCATGAAAAAAATGGAGGATTTTCCACCATCAGCAATTGGGATTTCACCACTTTGCGGGGAGCGGTTTCCCCACCGACATGAACAGACATGGGATTCAATGACTTAATCAAGAAATAGGGAGTGACCATCAATGGGGGTTTGAAAACCCTACAACTTCAATTTGACCAGCCAATTTTCGCGGAGATTTTACAATCAACATGTGGGAATTCAGCATAAAACATGGCGATCACATACCGAAATCGGAACGGATTTCAGGAAAATGGAACTGGATTTCCAACACCACGGGTATTGAACGGTGAAATGCCCCTGAACCGTCCAGCTCTGGTGCTGTTAAGAGAATTGCGGGAACTCTGTCAGGTCATTGAATATTCAGGTGCCTAAAATGGAGAGGTTCTGCCAAGAAATGCACTGTGGATGTGTATTTGTAAATGGGGAGTTCCTAGGGGTACCTCAAATCATCCAAGTCATTAGACCATTTTAGTATCGAAACCCATGGTTTTGGGTATCCCCCATTGTATGAAACCCCCATGTGTGTTGAGTTTTCTTGTCATATGCTTCACACGGCCACGTGACCATGAGGAACCTCCAAAGTTTGGGTAACTGATATGGCCCAAGGTTCCCAAGGTTTGAGGCGTTGGTCCTGGCACCTTAAAAGAGGCTCCTGGATCGAAGCTCGAAATGCTAAGGTTGTTAGTCAACCCATGGCTGCTTGGTGGTTTCACACATTTCTTTTGTTTCCATTTGTTTCCACATATATATATATTATTATATTGTAATATATTATATTATATTATATTATGTTATGTTATATTACATTATATTATGTTATATTATATTGTATTACATTATATTATTATATTATATTATATTATATTATATTATATTATACTATATTATATTATACTATATTATATTTTACTATATTATATTATATTATTTAATATTATATCATATTATACTATATTACGGTATATTATACTATATTATACTATATTATATTATATTATATTATTATATTATATTATATTATATTATATTATATAAATTATATTATACTATATTATATTATATTATATTTCTAATATTACATTATGTATTTGATTTAATATTGTGGAAGGGGGTTGAAACCACCAATCAGATTACTACTTCCGTTGAAAACGTTGAGGTTAGTGAATATGGGTATGGCCATTCTCAGCCATACCCATGTGGCCGGCCAATTGCATCAACATCCACCAGCTCTGTTGGTTAAAATGTAAAATGGTGAACCCTCTGGAAAACTTATACTGTAACATAGGATGCTGTGGTTATGCTGGCAGAGAGATGCATAACGTATGCCCATATTGCCTGCTTGTGCCCGTGGATGCTTTTGTTTTTGCGGATGATGAAGATTCTTGGGGAAAAGGGTCTCGGATGTGACAGGGAAATCGGATTCAGATGTGACGCGGAGGCTATGTCTCGGTTATGACGCGGAAACTCGCTTGTGACGGACATGTATGGCAAATAAGGTGATAGAAAACGTAGGTACGAGGCAGCCCAGGATGAGAATCAGGAAGGCCATGTGAAGGTCTGAGTAAAGGTCTAGTCAGATGCGGATGTGCGTAGCACCCCAGGCCGTCAGGTCACCAGGTCAGCATTGTCGCCGGGGCCGCAATTTCGTGACTTAGCATCCATGGGAAGATACATCGGGTTCCGAACCTTCACCTGAAACTGACATAAAAGGAATCCTGAGGGCCTGGTCACTTTCTGCATCCATATCCACATGAAAAACGCTCAGAGAGGTTCTGCACAGAAATGCGCTGTGGATGTGTGTTTTTAAATGTGTGTTTTGTATTGTTTTGTATTGTTTCGTTTTCTTGTCATGTGCTTCACATAGGCACCACAGGACCATGAGGGACATTGAGGGACCTCCATGGGTGGGCAACTGACATGGCCGAAGGTTCTCAAGGTCTGTGCATGACCTTAGCATACCATATAATTAGATCGAGGCTTTGGTCCAGGCACCTCAAAAGAGGCTGCGGGATCGAAGCTGGCTGCTAGACTTGTTTGCAACCCATGGCTGTTTGGTGGTTTCATTTTTTGCTTCCATGCTTGGGAGGATGATGTAAACTATTTTTTACTATAGAGCATTACCGAAGGAAGTTTAGAAGCCAAACTTCCGACTTATGGACAGATGCAGCAACAGTGGTGAGAAGAGCCAGAGAAAAACACACTGTTTTCCAAAGTTCTGTGGCTCCGGAGATCTCCGGGCGGGTGAGGATAAAAACAGGTCGGATAAAAATCAAAACTGTGTGCCGCTTTGGCACGAAGCACATTCCGAAGTCAACATGTTAAAATACCTCAGGTTCGGAGCAAGTTGAGCTGTCGAAAATGTGCACGCGCCTGCGGCGCGAAGCAAATTCCCAAGGCAAAAGAGGTAAAAGCACCACATGTTCACACCATTTTGGGAAATTTAATGCTTGAAAAAGTGCACGCCGTTGTGGCTGTAAAAATGGTCAAAGCACCAGCATGTTACCACCAGTTTTGGACGTTCAAACGTCATGACCACCCCTTTCAAGGACAAGATTAGGCATCATGGCCATGAGAACTCCCATAGACGTGGACGATGACACGGGAGGTCCCCCCACACCAGCGGCTGCTAGCCCAATTGTGAACCTCCCCGCAAGAAGGTCCGAGGGGTCGAAACTGGTGGCGTTGATGACTCAGGTACCCATCAGTTGATTCAAATGACACATGCTATGGTAGTGAGAATGGAAGAAAACATCGGAAACATATGACACAAACTGGACATGATGCAAACACAGCAGTAATCCCTCACTGAGACAGTCGACCAACACACGGCCCAGCTTGCGTCCACCTCCGAAGACCTTGGATCCATCACGGCCCAGCTTGCATCCAACTCGGAAGACCTTCAATCCATTAAAAACCGCGTCCACATCCTGGAGAACAACACCAAAACCACACCCCAGATGGAGAAGCTTGAGCTCCAAATGAACGACTTAGCAAATAAGATGCAGGAGATTTCCCATCGACGAGTCTCCTCTGCCCCGCCCTCAGCCCGAGACACCGTGCCCCAAAGAGACTCTTTGAGAGCTAACACTGTGTCTCCCACTCACTCCCGCCACGGTGCCCTCCCATCTCCTGGGACGCCTCTGGACTTGGAAGTAGATTGGAACAGACTCGTCATAGGAGGATGGCATCTCGACACCCGACGCGAAAAGATCGAATCTGAAGCAAGGCAACTCCTGCAAACCTTTGGCCTCCACGAATCCGTCACTGATGTGACCGTCTATGGCCGCCGGGCCTCCGCCTGCCATGTCCTGCTTCAACACTTGCAAACCCAAGAAGCGAAGAGACGCCTGGGCAGAATGCCAAGCCCAACACAAAGACAAACATGTCATCCCAAGCTCCGGCAAGGTTGCGTGGCTGACCCCTCACAAGAGCCCACAGAAGCGATTGAAAAATCGTGCCACCAAGCACGCAGCCAACATTGTGGAATCTCTCCTGGACAAAACCCATCCCGAGACTGTCGACATAGACTGGAACAAGCAAATCCTTTGGGCTCATGACCTCCGAGTCCTGACCTTCAACAAGCCCGATCTGCTTGTGACCTCCGACGGTGACATTCATCAAGCCAGCTACCTCGACCCCCGCAACTCTGATGAGATCCCATTCTTCATTGACCTCTGCAAGCTGGCCAAGGTCACTGGCAAGGAGATCCCCAACCTGAAGCAGGCTTTGCATGAACTGCAGGCCGAATGACAAAGGAAACCCTCCAGCACAGTGCATGCCCATGATCACCAGCGACACCCCCCTGACACTCCGCACCAGCAATTCCTACAGCTTGCCTCGTGGAATGTCAGGGGCAAATCGCTCTTTCAAGTTGCTGATGTGCTGTCAGATCAGGGAATTCACTTTGACATAGTTGCCCTTCAAGAAGCCGGCGGCCTTTCCCAAGGAAGCATCACCGCTGAAGGCCTTTGGAATCCTGACGATCCAACTGTCCAACTGCATGATGAATTGAACGACTACTGGATATAGTGGCGACTGATCAACTCAGCAGCCACCTTGGCCAAGCCATCCTCATTGACAAGACCTTTGCCACCGCCATCCTCCGCATCCTCAAGGGGCAGCGGTTCATTGCTGCGCGCATCCTCCACAAAAACGGGCTTGACTTCTGGGTCTACTCTGGGCACCTGCCACATCACCAACAACCCTTTGTCCACTACGAGACTGCCCTTCAGGAGCTCCGTCAAATGCTCACCAAGACCGGCCATCCCCCCGCCCTCACCCTAGCTGATTGGAATGCCACTCCTCACCAGCAGCGGCTGGACGAAAAAGCTCTTGAAGTCGAGTGCCTCGCAGCGGAAGAAGAGACCTTCTCCTGCTGCTGCCCCCCACCCCAACTTGGAAAGACAAAGTCTACGACTTCATTGCCTTGATGCCTGCCTTCCAAAGCTGCATTTCACCAATGTGCCTGCCACCCAGCTCCCCGCAGACTCTTGCAGTCCTGGACGACCTTCTCCCTTCGGACCACAAACTGGTGACATGGGAAACGGCATTCCTATCACCATACTCCCCTGGGCCGCGGCCCTACTGCCCGCACCGCAGAACTGGACGCTGGCAAGTTGACACCGGCCGCCTTCATGGCGGACTGGAGCAAACTACACCCAGCCAGTGTGACTGGCGTCAACTTTCCCTCTTGGCTCGCCGTTGCCAATACCGCCGCCCAAGCTGCAAGTACAAGGACTCCGTGGAACTCAAACAACTTTGCCGCCTCCGCAACACCCTCACAGACCCCAACCAGCGAGCATCAATGCCGAGACACATCCTCGCAACCCGTCGTGCTGAGCGAGCCCGGTGGCTACATGACCTCCATGCTGCAGCCTTAGCTGGCGACGCCTCTGCCATTGCATTCCTGAAGGCCAAACACAAACCCAAAACCACTTGGAACCACCTCATCGGGCATTCTGG